AAAACCGAAAGGACTTATTTGGCAACCCAATATTTACGAGATAATAATTTAAGAGTTCATTGGCAAAAATGGACGTCTACATTTCAACTTAAGTTTGCAAAGTGGTAGTAAAAGCTTAGTTGTTACTGAAATATTATACAGGTGAAAAAACATTTCGTGAACAAACTACAGACGGGCAAAGCAGATTCAAAGCGTTTTGTGGGAACCAGTTTTTGAACGTAACCAACCGGGAACTCAAATTATGGTTTTGAAGGGCTTTTAGGTCCTAGTGGTTTGTTATTATGGCATAACTCAACTTTTCTATCTTAAAAGTTTTGTTATAATTCGCGGTGATAAATTAAGCTTTGGTTAAGATCATCCAGGCTGTGGGACTGAACCGACAGGTGGTGGTGCTCTAGTGACAGGTGCCTAGAACCAGCCTCCTCTTACCTAACACCTAACTGCATCTTTAACTTCTAATTTCCATACTCACCTCGAGTTCATTTTATTGTTCGAAAGCTGTGTAGCCTTGCATGTCTGCTCAGGGTGCAGCATTAACATCACAAGGGGAAATATTCTAAGAATTCACTAAATGGCTCTTAAAATGCTAAATGAATTGAGTTCTTAAATTAATCAATTTCTTCAAAACTATAGATGGTTCTACGAAAAGTGCCCTTTTATAATAACAAAGTAAGTCTTTTTATAGTTCGGATCTGATTAGGTTTTGTGGTTTTCTCATGAGAATAAGTGCCTAATTTAATCTCTAACCGGCAGAATAGAACTTCTATTGCTTTTGACTCAATGGCCAATCAAAATTTTGAATCATTCGATTAAATGATCTATCAGCGGCCATTTAAAACATATTGGTCCTTAATAGTGAAGTAAAAGAAATTCAAAATTTTAGGGAAAAATTAATAGCTCTCAAAATACAAATGAAAATACATATTAGACCCTGACAAGCGGTATTACAATTCAGGTCTCCATAGTTTACCTATTTCGTGTTTTCGTTCTGATTGCGATATTATGTTTTTGAGTATAAAACAAAAATATAATTTTTATCATCGAAATCCAGATGCCAAAAAATGACTAATTGACTAATTTAACTTTTGACCATTACGTCAAATAAGAGATATTTTGCTAATGGAATAGTTTACAAGCAATAGGGTCGAGCTCTGTTATTTTTCTTTATTACCTCTTTTTCTTCTTTTTTTTTTTTTTAAATTTAAAGACTAACTTAAAAGTAGGTATGAATTATATAAGAAAAACAAAAGTTCCACTGTTTCATAAAACAATGGAAATTCAAAGAACAGCTTGTTTAAGAAGAAGCAATTGTGACACCCACGGAAAAGAGATTCTATGAATCTCTTTCCTTACATAGATTGAAATTATAATTTTAAATTAATTTTAGCTTTTTCTTTTACATTGTGAACATTGCTCCTTCTCAAAAATTATTAAGTGTTTGAGAAACGTTCGACTTGATAAAAGACGTGGTATATAAAGCAGTATAATAAATGCAGATACAATAAAATATGACATATTTACGGTATTAGAAATTTACAAAAATCTTTATTAAAACATTTGAATGGTTTGATGTAGAAGATTGGAAATGATTAAGTATGATAAAACAGATAATCTATCATTCATCAGGATCTTATCAACAGATGTTCTGGCAAATTTATCTATCTATTAGAGAAATCAATCCATTAGAGAAATAAGCCATGCCATAAAATTATTTAATGTTTATGTTTTCCTTTTGCACACATCATTCTGCAATGACTAATTAACTTTAATTTTTTTTTCAAAACACTTATTATTAATTATTGTTAAATCTTGCTAACTATTGCAAAACACCAAATAAGTTCATTTTCGGAATTATTATAGATTTATCACTTTCAATTATGAAACAGTTATGAGAGTGATAGTTATGCGAATCCTCAATAACGGTCTTATTATCGGCAACAAGGTGGTTTACATAACCCTCCGCGCTAAGACATCGAAATGAAACGCTATATTGAAAAAGGAAAGCCCAGCTCGCCCACCATATTGTATCGAAATTCTTCATTAGATTCTCTCACTTATCCTTGACCAAGTTTATACAACCCACCAGTCCCTGTTTGTTTACCGAGATCTTAACTACTTATAGAAGATATGGATGGTCGCACATCGGTTATTTTTATAGGTTACCAGTTTTAAGTTATAAAATTAGTTATTTTATTATATTATTTTTTTTTTTTGTTTTACACAAGAACTTGCATGAGCCAAAAAAAGTTTTCATGTAATCTTATTTTATATAGTTTATTGATTTACGTAATAATTAGATTATTTTCCATGAAGCGAGGAGCGGCAAAATTTCTTAGGCCTAGGAATATTCAAACCTTATATCCGATCCGGTCTTGGTAGATTCATTTAATTTAACAAAAAAAAATCTGAAGGGTAGCAAAACCATTCTGGCGAATGTGCGTCCCTTCCATTGTAGCCAATTCTACTCAAAAAGAAGTGAACTAATAATATATGCCTGAATAATATATGAAGTGAATAATATATATGGTTGATGTCTATAATTTAAACGCCGTAAATTAAAGAACTGTAGACCTGCTTTGGTCTTGGCATAAATCCACTTGTATACGTTATTTATTTAATAATAAAAAATATATATTATTTTTATATGCTCGTTATTTTTAACGAAAATGTATTGTGTTAAACAACAATTTTCTCAGAGTTATTGTTTTTACTTTGTTATCTTAATTCCTCTAGAATTGTATTAATTTTTAGACTAAAAATATAATTCTGAATCGTTAGTTTTACTATAAACAATCGTAATTACACGTTATTCTTAAGGTGTATTTAAATATTTCATAAACTAGAGGAAAAACAATTAACTTAATTAACAGCAATATTATTGTTAAACCGAAAAATTCGTTTTATTTCTCTTGATACCGACAGCTTATGGAAATTATCAAAAACAAGAGGCAAAAATACTAGCATAGTGAAATAACCATTTAAGCAGAGGTGTCCAGAAGGCAGTTTTAGAGGGGAGCACTTTTTGGCCGGATTTTGAATTTTTGAGGAGGGCACATTTCAACAGGGTTATAAATTTTCTGAATAACACCTTTTTAACCAGAGGACAAAAGGAAGGGATAGAGCAGACCACTGAAAATTAATTGTGAATGAGCTATGATTTTTAAATCCTACTTTAGCTTGCACTGTTTATAAGAAGAGGAGAGCAATAAAATATCTTGTGTGGAGTGGAGAGGTTCATGCGCCATCGACATTGGGTCGGATGGGCACCCCCTGCATTTATACAGGGTGTTTCAGGGTTAAGTTATGATACTCCAAAAATGAAATAAGGATCCCAAAACAAGAAAAAAATCACCTCAAAAAAAGAAAAACTTCGGTCAATGACCTTAATTCCCTACAAAGAAGGATAGTTGAATCTTGTGAAACAATAATACATATCCAGTGCTGTTCTGCCACTGCGGCTCTTGAAGAAAGATGCCGAGCCTGTCTTAATGCTCAAGGAAATCACTTTGAACAACATTTAATATGAATTTAATGTTTATGTTTAATTAATAAAGTAGCTGGAAAAAATAAATAACTTTTATTTACTTAATATAACGTAAATAATTCATAATAACGAAAATCTTTAGGTGCGAATGTCTCCTAAACAAAGCGTTTGTGGCTATACTTTCAGAGCAAATTTTTTTTCTTGTTTTGATGTCCTTAATTTATTTTTGCAGTTTGGCCACTCAATCCTGAAACACTCTGTATATTTTTTTGTCCTTCAGTTTGTGAAATGAAAAACATATTTATACTAACAGTTTTCATATTACTCCTAATTCTAATTTTGGGTACCGTATAATTATTGACATTAACAAAAAAAATCATTAATTAAAAAAAACCAACTTAATAAAAAAAAAAATTTGCCTAAAAAAATAAATTCTCTTTCTTTTACTTTTGAGCATATGCCACCTTATTGATGTTAATGCCAGCTAGCAAGCAATGGCTTTAGGTTTCTTTATCTTTATTTAAGAATGTAACGAAAGTTATAACTTTTAGCTTTTGTTTTATATATTTTAATTCTTATTTCTCCAGTTTAGATGCAATAATTACTTAATGCAATAATATATTTTGTAAAATTAGTAGAATACTTGTCAAGCAAAGGATAACGTATTGAAAAAGAGCTGTTTATTATTGTGCTACATTACTACCATAAAGACATTAATCTCAATCTTTCAATTTCTCCTGGATTCCAGTCCTGTTGGGCAGAAACTTTATTTTATGTTTTATTATGATCAAAATTCTTGTTGATTTTGTGTGTTGATTCAAACCTCTGTGGATTAATCCATCAATTTCAAAAAGACCCTGTATTGTCAATAAATTTTTTAAAAAATGAAGTATTTTATGTTCCCATTAAAAGTTCCAAGGCATCTTATTCTTTTGAATTAAATTCACATATTTTCTCAAATAATTTGACAAATCGAATTATAAGTCATTAAAAATACTGAAATATGAAGTATATTTAACTCTAAACCATGAGTAGGTGCTTCAGCCTATGAGTAGGCTGAGAAATCAAACCGTTTCCACACCATACATTGTCTCATCCAATTCTCTTTTAAATTGATGGGTTCGAAGGTTACCAAGAAGATGGTGAAATGGCACAATTAGTTCCATGGATTATAAATATTTCAATTTCAGAGACTTCAAAAACAAGGAACAAGGGATGGAACATCAAACAAACCACAGCAATTATAGTTGCTATTTAACTAAAATATTTATAGTTCCACTTTTACTAGGAGAACCATTTTGAATGTTATGGTTCCAATGTTTGTTCTGGGAGAACCTTTGATAATTGAGAAAACCTGGCACTTATATGTGAATAGTGACCTTACATCTCCATCTATAATGTTTTTCATGAAATAGTAAATAAATAGTTCCTAAGTATTGAAACTCAATTTTTTGTCTTATTTCATTATAATTTTTTTCTATATCTTTTCCAAATTAATTCATCATTTGTTTTTCAGAGCCCAGTACATTCAAGCAAGACAGCACTGTCGAGATACAACGGGATTTCTAAGGGGCTGCCAAGCTCGAACAAGATCAGCAATGCAATGCCAGCTAAGAGCTCTGCCCAAGAGGTAAGATATGCCATTATATAATAAGTAATTGGAATCACATTATTAGTCATTCTCAATTGGATTTATTTAATGTATTCTGAAAAGAAAATTGTATGTAAACAATCCTTAAAGAACTCTTTAATTTGGATTTTTGTCCTTCCTTAAGTAGAACCAACTATAGAAGCATTTTTTAATTTAATTATAAATACTTAAGTTTTAGAATCACTGATTTATTATTGATTTTAGTCTATATCTCTGAATCTTGGCTGTACCCAGTTGACACTACAATTTGAAAAATAAAACTGAAAATATTGATTTTATTTTCTTATAAATATTTAATCCAATGAGTTTATTGGATTATGAGTAGTATATAATGAGTAGTAAGCTTTTGTTTTAAAACGCTTTACGGGCTATGTGTGTGATATTCAATGATTTAGTGAAAACTGGCTGCAATCTAAAGATTTATAAATTTTAGGCATTTTTTTAAATGTGCTATTAAATTTGGATTGTAGCTTCCGGCTTTGAAGAAACTGATCAGAGCACAATTGCCGCCAGCTGGTAATCCTGCTCTTAACAACAATACTACAATACACAATAATAATGCAAATAACAACAACAGCCTTCCACCCAGCCCAACTGTCCCCAAGTATGATCCTCATGGAAGACTTCTCCCACTCACACCTCATGGTAAATTGTTTTGACTTTCATTAACCAATATATTAATTATATTTGTAATATTGGAGGAAATCTATCATTCTCAAAAAAATTAATTGTTTATTTTTCAGAGGCTGTGAAGTACTATGGAAGTCGGTTGAGTGAATATGAGAGAAATGAAATACAAGACTATGATGAAATATGGTACCTTGGTCTAGATGCCTGTAAAATTCATGGAAATGAAAGTCTTTTACAAAATTGTGGGTTTGATGATGATAATGGCAGCTATTATAAGGTGAGACAAGTGAGCTCTTTGAAAAGCCACATATCACTTCTTTTGTATTTGACAGAATTGTTTGATTGATGATTCATATTTTACAGATCTTGCACGATCACATTTGTTACCGCTACGAAATCCTTGAAGTTATTGGCAAGGGGAGTTTTGGGCAAGTGATCAGGGCCCTTGATCACAAAACCAACCAACATGTAGCCATCAAAATTATTAGGTAATGATTAATGCAAATTTAAATTACTTATATTACATATGCTCTAGAAACACCATAATTTATATTCCTCAAGGTGTGAAGATTAAATATGAAATTTTGAGATTTTCAAATTAACCAGATTTACAATAATAATCGGTATATCATCCAATAAAATGATTTTAAATCCCTTCCCATTCCTGATATTCACCATCTCATCTGCATTAAAAATATTCCTATAGGTTCATACAAAGAATCCAACCATTACAGATTTATTTAACCATTTATAATAAGTTTATCAACCAGATTTTTCATTTACAAATTTGAATTATAGTTTGTTTGGATTAAAAATTTGGATGATTGAATTATAATAATTTAGAAGATTGCATTTTTTTCTAATTTCTTCAATGGCCTGTTTTATAATAAAACTTATCGCAATATATATATATATATATATATATATCTTTATTTAATTTGTTTCTTATAAGTATTTAACTTAATTATTTTGTTTTCTTACTTGTGAATTAATCAGTGTTGATGACAAGAAAATCACAGAGAGCGAGAGAAAAAAAACTTGAATGTTACTTTTAATTTGTTACAGAAATAAGAAAAGATTCCACCATCAAGCCCTCATAGAGGTGAGGATACTTGATCATTTGAGGAAGAAGGATCAGGATACCAGTCATAATGTCGTTCATATGTTAGACTACTTTTACTTTAGGAATCACTTATGCATTGCATTTGAATTAATGAAGTAAGTTAATATACTAAATTCTAAAAATGATTGATTAATTTTATCAATGATTATTTACTGAAAAGAATTTTACAATACTATTTTAATGATATAACATTATTTATATACCAAAACAAACTTATTTGTGCTATATTCAGTAACATTAAAGAATTTAATTATAACTCAATAAATAGTAAATAATCATCATTTTATTAATTTAAAATCATCATAATTAAATTAGGTTATTTAATATTTTTATCATAGTATGCATTCTAATAGTTTCTTCATTTGTGTTTCAGCTTAAACCTCTATGAACTGATTAAGAAGAACAACTATCAGGGTTTCAGTTTAGTTCTTATAAGAAAGTTTGCACAGTCACTCGTACATTGTCTTCGACTTCTTGCAAGAGAAAACATAATTCATTGTGATCTCAAACCGGTAAGTAAAGTTGTTACTCACTTTCCATAGAACTTTTTGAGCTTAGCATCTCAGTAATGTGACTATTATTAAAAAACCTCTTAGTCCCTGTTGCAACCCTCTCATTGAGTCATAGTCTGCTCTAGCATAGGCCTTCAGTTTTTCAGTCTGTTCTGTGCCGTTACCTTCACGTTTCTGACAGTCTTCCCAAAAAACTTGAACATTCAATCCACTTGATACCACACATTTGTTCTATTTTTATGGATAGCATTTTAGTTAAATTCATTCTTGCATTATGACCAGCTGAGCCAAGTCTTTTTGCCCGTATGAATGTGGATACATATATTTTCTTATATTCTGTCCTTAACTCAGCATTCAATTTATTCGAGAAAATGTTTTCTTTTCAAACCTTAGGGCTTTAATCATGTAAGTACTGATAGGGTGATAGTTTATTATAATCCAATCCAATAAAACCTACAAAGTTATAAAAATGAATAATTAACATAAAAACTTGATAAATAACAAAAAAAAAAGTCTTTCATAACAGCAGATTCCTTAGTGACCAGTATAATTTCTTATTCTCTAAGGTAAGAGTCCCCAAATCTTTTTTTACTTGGGGGTACATTTATATGTTAATAGGTAAGCGGTCTGCCAATTTATTTATGTTTTTCCTTGATGTTTCATTGTTCGATAGGTAATGTTGAATGAATAATTTTAATATGTAAAAGTATTATTTATTTTCTTAAATAAATAAACTATTATTTAGTAAAAATTAAAACAAATTTTAAAAATGTATAAAAGATATAAAATTGCTTTAAAAATAAATACAAATTTTAAAGATACTATGATAATGATATATAATTTATTATAGAGAAACATTAGCATTCGTAAAAGCTGTGAAACTGTACAACATAATTTAATTTGAAGGCGTTGCCAATGCAACAAAAAACTAATTAAATAAATATATATGATATTTGTTGCACTGTATTTCATTGGTCTGGGCGTCAGAATTTGGAGAATATGATTATAAATAATCTGAAACAATAAAATAAGAGATGGGCATGTGAGAACATAACTATTGCTCACATATTGTAAACGAAAATTTGTAACTTTGTAATTTAGTTTTCATACTGAAAATAAGAACGAAGCTTGACTGGAAAATATTGTTAACTATGGGAGTACCCCCTGCTCCCCTAACGGTGGACCAGCTCCTATTTTACAAATTATACAACTGTTCATTTAATTTCTCAAATTGAATAACTGTTATTTCCATCTATTATGTAGTTCAGATTGTATTATTTTTTCAATATAATGGAAACAGAAAAGAAAATTCAAGTCTTTATTCCAGCATTTTAATTTGTTGAGATTGAAAAATAAAATATGACAGTCACTAAAAACTTTTTTATATAATAAAAAGAAATGCCAAGAAATCAATAATTCACTATTTTCAAATAAACATGATTTTATTTTCTATTAATTACTTATCAGATATTTACAAAAAAAAAAAATTAAATATGTTATAAAAAAGTGAACCAAGACAATTGAACTCAAATTTGTATACTTCATAGTGTTGTATGTATTTTATTTTGTTTCTTAACTTCACAGTCTCTTTTTGTTTTTATTTAGGAAAATATATTGTTAAAAGAAAGAGGCAGTACTTCCATCAAAGTGATTGACTTTGGCAGCTCGTGTTATGCTGATCAGCGAGTTTATACTTATATTCAATCCCGGTTTTATCGTAGTCCAGAAGTTCTCTTAGGACTCCCATATGGTACACCAATAGATATGTGGAGCCTTGGTGAGTATTGTTATTTAAGTTGTTTGTTATTATTTTAAATTAAGTGTTTGCTAATAAATAAATTTCATTAGGTTGTATTTTGGCTGAGCTGTATACTGGCTACCCTCTTTTCCCTGGAGAAAATGAAGCGGAACAGCTGGCTTGTATTATGGAAGTACTTGGTCTACCACCAGAAGAGATAATTCTCAAAGCATCTCGAAAGAGGCTCTTTTTTGGTAAATTTTAAATATGCTTTTTTAAACAAATAAATGTAACAATAAATAAAAGATAAATAATTCTTACAACCAACTCAATTCTTACAACTTTACAAAAAGTTAAAAAAAAAAAAAATTAATTTTTATAACCTTCTATATACAAGGTGTTTAAGGGGTTAAGTGGCCAAACAAGAAAAAACAAGAAAAAAAATTTCCTCTGAAGGTATGTCCGAAAACGCTTTGTTTAAGAGATATTCACCTCTAAAAATTTTCGTTGTTGTGAATTATTCACATTATATGAAATAAATAAAATCTATGCATTTGTTCTGACTACCTTATTAATTAAATGTAAATATTAACATTCATATTAAATGTTATTTAAAGTGATTTCCTTGAGCATTAAGACAGGCATGTTCCTTCAACAGCAGCATTAACAGAACGGCACTGGATATGTGTTATTGGTTCACAAGATTCAATTATCCTTCTTCGTAAGGAATTAAGGTCATTGACCGGACTTACTCAATCATATCCCATATCTAAATCAATGGATTGGTCGTGCAGGACTAGTGGCTTGGCCTGCACGCTCTCCAGACCTGACACCACTGGATTTTTTTGTTTGGAGTGACGTTAAACAAAAAGTCTATGCAAGTCCTGTCAATGGTCTTAATTCCTTACGATGAAGGAAGATGCCAAGCCTATCTTAATGCTCAAGGAAATCACTTTGAACAACATTTAATATGAATGTTAATGTTTACATTTAATTAATAAAGTAGTTAGAACAAATAAATAGGTTTATTTGTTATTATTTATTAGTTTATTATTATATTTCATATGAAGTAAATAATTCATAGCAATGAAAATCTTTAGGTGTGAATATCTCCTAAACAAAGCATGTGTGGACTTACCTTCAGAGGAAATTTTTTTCTTGTTTTGAGGTCCTTAGTTCACTATTGCAGTTTGGCCACTTAATCCTGAAACACCCTGTATACAAGTCCTGTTTTAAATAATTTGAGGCTTAGATTAAGACTTTTTTAAGGCACTAAAATTTACCCTTTTCGAATAATGCACGTTAAAGGTAATAATGATCAGATGTCATAGAATAACTATCACGTTTTAAAATGTCTAAACTTCTTGTATTTATAATTCTGCAATTTATTGAGATAAATTATTTATTTAATTAAAACCCATTATTTATTATCAGCTATAGTAAATTACAGATCTTATAAATGTAACTGTTAATCTGAAGATATAATTTGATAAAATGGGACAAGCTAATTATTTCTTAAGAAAGCTGTTAATCCATACTTACTTTGTTCTCACCTTCCTCGCATTTTAGGCTACACAAGGTTTTCCTGGGCCAGGGATTAATGCCAGAGTTAAAAGCCCCTCCCCTCAGCACCAGGAAGGAAACTTGTACTTATTTTATTTTCTATAACTTTGGTTTTGAGGTTGCCAGGCAACATGCAGTGCCATGCCTCAGCCGCCCTGCCCTCATACCTTAATCCAACATTGTCATAAAATATGTAGCTTGACCAGTTGTGTTTGTTGAATCAAATTTTTTTATATTACATTGCTTATACACTTAACATATTTCCCTAATATCTTTTATATTTTGAATATGTTTGAGAGAAGGATAGATAAATAAATAATATTAAGTCCATGTCCTTTCAGTGCCCTAACAATTTTAAAATTGAGGTGGCAGTATTAGAACTTACATGGAAAATGTATTGGATTATTATTCTTTCTGTTTAGCAATGGTTTATTTTATCAATAATTTCCCTAGCTTTGGTATTAAACCCAGAAAACCTTGATAAGGGTGATTCATACACAGTGTTTCATCAATTAATTTCATTTTATATTTTAAAAATTAATTATTCATAACTGTTTTAAAAACTATTTGATTTTTTTTTTTCCAGATTCCCGAGGTTACCCTAGAAGCCTTACCAACAGTAAAGGCCGAAAAAGAAAACCTGGATCAAGGGATCTTGCATCTGCCATTCGATCTAACGACAAACTATTTGTTGACTTTATATCTCAGTGTCTTTGGTAAGTTTCTAGAACAAAATTTATTTGAGTTATAAAATTTCATTGTTGCTATAGGGAAACAACTAGGGGAGAGGGGGGGGGGGGTTGATTTTAATGGGGCTTATGCTCAAGGAAAGAAAAACACTCTCCTTGTCCACCACTCCCTCTTCTCTGATAAATCATCAAGAAATTGTTAAAAACATATTGATGTGTTTTACTTTCTTTCAGCAATTCCTAAGTTCATTTCATTTCAGTTCATTCATTTAAATAAATAAAAATTCATGAGCCAAAAGGATTCGTTAGTTTGATTCACCAAAAAGATACTTCCTATTCGAAATACTTCCTAATACTTACTTAATATTATAAAATACTTCCTATTCGAAGAAACATGGGGAATAAATAGTCCCCATTATTAAGATTTTTATTGTTGACAACCTTTCAAAACGAGCTTGTGGGTCATCATCAAGGCATGTTACCAGCACTGAAGGTGTTCAAGTACTGATTGACCAACTGACTGCGTCTTGACTATTTATCACCCATTATATGTAGAACAGTAGATTTCCTTCAATATTTGGAGAAACCTTTCTGAAGCTAGTTGCTATACTATTCTTCTTCCCATATAGATGAATAACCATAGTTTTACTATACCATTGAGCTTCATAAGAATATTTCTAGTTATAAAAAAAAAAATTCACGTGTTTCAAAAATTGACAAATATCTCAAATCGATAAAATTTCATCATTTTAAAATAAAGAAGTTAACACAAACGCAAGATCAGTTGTTTGATGAATAGAAAGTGTTATGAAGTAACTAGAGAATAGGAATTCTTTGCCAGTGTTAATTGATTGTTGTCAATATTATATTGTTGAAATATATTTACTAGGCTAATTAATAATGATGTTTTAGAACTGACTTTTATTGGCTAAGTAATGTTAGAAAATTTCACTATGTAATAGAAAATAAAATAACGTATCCTCACTCCCATGGGTACCTCAGTTGAACTAAATATTAAATATTTTGTTAAAGCTGTTTAGAAAGTAAGAAAGTGTTTTAAAAGCTAATGATAAACAAGACAATCAAAAAGATATTTTTTGTTATAATTAATTACTTCTCTACTGATGTTTTGCTTTTGAAAAGAATTATTTTAGAAGATAAGAAAATTAAAAAGTAAATTAAATAAACAATATTATCCGCAATGATATTTGTATGTTTCCCTTTGCAGTTGGGATTCCCGTAAGAGGATGAGTCCAGAAAAAGCACTTAGACACGACTGGCTGAGAGGACGAGAGGTGAGGAGAAGCGCAAGCGCCGCTGCTAGGCCTCACCAGCAACCTTCCGTGGAGGTTTACTTGCCCCCGATACTTTGATCTCTCTTTTGTAATGTGTGATATTTCTTAAAGATTGTCCTCTGTGGCAACCAAAGCCTGGTGTCTCAACGGAGGCCTGACTGTTCAGAAAGATTAATAACTTGTATATATTAAGGTGGTCATAGGCTGAGATTTTTGTGTAAGCCCCAGGGCCTATAATGCGCATGGAAATCAGTGACTTGCCATTAAACCCTCCCATTGTTATTTTTGGTTTTACATCTATCTAGATGTGATATTTACGGCCTTCTCTGTCTCATTTTCGAGATTTAAATTTTTAATTAGTCACTAGATAATGCTATTAGTGTCATATATCTTATATGGTAAAGTAAATATTTTGTAGATCTAATTTAATATGCCCTTTTACAAAATTGAAAATTGGTTATCTTTACCTTTAAGATTAATAGCAGGAAATTTTGGTTAGAAAGAATAATAAAGGCTTTTGTTTAAGAAACAAGTCTTTAAGCCATCGTGATATACATTTTATTTCTGAAGGAATTATATATTTTATGCTCCTTTCCATCTACCATTATTATAGACTATTGTAATATTTACTCAGTATTCTCTATAGTATGTTCTGCTGGAATTGCATTTTCAATTAATCATGAGTCAAAACTGTTTGTTTTCCAATTAATAAAAAAATCTGTCCTCCCATATTAGACTGTATTTAGGAAATAAGCAAAATATGTAATTAATAAGTATGTATGATTCCTGATGAGGTTAGTGATAAGTATCTTCCCCCTAATATATTTTAAACAATACTGCTTACAAATCCGTGCCTATGGAAATTATTTTAAAAAGTAAAGTGAATACCAATAAATTGTTCATTGCAATTCCAGTATATTACTTGTATAAAAGTAATTTCAAGTAAGTGTTAATATTAAATTATAGCTGTGGATTTTGTATATTTTTATTGTCCTTATACCTGTGAAATGTTTTATCATGTATTTTGTGTATTCGTGTAATATTAGCTGACAATACTGTTATATATCTACATAAAGATTTTTATGTATTGTACAAACCATACCTTTACTTTCATTGCAAGCCAAAAAACTGAAAAGAAAGAAAACTCATTTTTATTTAAAATACATATAATATCCCTGAATAAATTAAAAAGCAAGAGATTGGCCTCTCATTTGACATAATAATTCTTTGGTAAAAAAAATATGTCTTTTATGCAATTTACTGTATTATCTACCAAGTCTTTTTTATTTAATTTATTTAATACTGAGCCTTTAATTAGTTATAAGTTGAACTAGCATATATTTAGAAGTGAAGTGATTGTTTTATGAAAATAAGTCGTATGGAATACAAATTTACATAGATTTTGAGTAATCATTTTAGATCAATACCAATATTTCTTTTGACAATCAATTTTTAAAGAAGAGGAAATTTTCAGTACATTTGACTACTTTATTTGGAATTAATTTTTTACCTACAGACTTTCTGCATTGTCTGAAGCTGTCATATTGATTGATTAGAAGGATATAAATCTATTCTAAATAAATTTCTCATCAAAGATAAAACATTTACAATCAAATAAATAGAATTTTCAAGTAATGCATCTTGATATCAGCACTCTATTTTGAAATAATAGTACCAACAATTAACTAGCTTTACTGTTTTGGATCTTATTTTCATAAGTCATTCATTTTCAAATCATGAAGGCTGTACAAAATGTTAAATTGTAATTTATTTAATAACATATTAATTTTCTTCAAAATTATATCAGAACTTTTTGAAATTGAATTCGATTTAATAGTTAATGGTCTTTTTTTAAAAAAAAAACTTGGAATGCATTAATTACTAATTCGCTTAGACAGTTGGTATATCATAGCTATATTATTTGAAAATGAAAAGAAATGATTATATACTATATATAATTATATAATCAAGTTTTACCTGTATGATAGAAAATTATGCTAAGTTCAAGTGCTCAAAGAATAGGCTGGTCATTATGAAGTTTTCAAAGTAATTAATCTACAAACTTTAAAGATCTTATTGTTTGTACTAAATTTGTTAATTATTGAAGATTTAATGTTGATAATTATTTAATAAATTGTTAAGTCACTTCCATATTGTGTTCCTGTTAATTTAGTTTTAGGAATGTCATACATTTATTTTTCCTAAAATATTTTAGATAGTCATGTGATATCACAATACTCTTTAATTTTTTTTTCTTTCAATTTGTTAAAGTAGTGATTGAACAATTTGGTTCAACATGAATGTTTTCTTTTTATAAAATTAATGTTAACACACACAAAATAAAAATATCATTATTTACTGATAGGCATATCATATTTGAATAGAAGTTTTCATATATAGTATATAAATATATATGAAATGGTACCTTAAAAGTTGAATACGAACAATGTTACACTTACAGTAATCTTAGAATTAATATTTCATCAATTTATTTTATGTTTCATTAATATACTTTTTATTTGATTGATTTGTTTATTTATTAATAATCTCTCCCATGAACTGTAGTTATATTTCTAATAATTATTACACTTTATGAGTAATTACAATATGCACTAGCGGATCCAGGATTTAATTTTGGGGGTGGCTTCAGCCCGAAAGATTTTTTTTTCATATACATATAACGATATATTAATTTGAAAAAAAAAGAAAGAAATTAACTACCTATATGAAATGGTGTTTAAGTGGTTCTTGAATGAAGTCCTATTAAATGTAATTAAACGAACAAGAATACTTTAAGAGATAGTTTTTAATACTTTTTTCTGTAATACATGATTATATTTTACCATTTTTTTTTTAGGGGAGGGAGTTCTTCAGCCGGAAAGCCTCCCCCCCCATAGATCCGCCTGTGACAATATGGAACAATAGGAACACAATTGAGTAGCAAAATTGTTGCCAAAAAATATATTTTCCATGAGTGAAAATATATCTGGATATTTTATCTGCCATTACCCATCCTAACCAGATTAATTAGCCATTTCAAATGTTCTATTTTTATGGTATGAAATAAGTGTGGTAAATTTTTTTTTTTTTCACTGGTGCCATCCTCCAATCTCTCTTATTGAGCCCAATACACATTTTAATATTTTCCACTTGAAGATTTTTGAAGTCCGTTTTGCTTGGTATTGCTAAATTGAACGCCTAGATCGCAACTGGTGTTATTAATGTTTTATTTAATCTTTATTATAATGTCTTACAATCTATAATCTGTTTTATGTATAAAGGTTTGCTGTTAGACTGATCAATCTACTTCTTATAAAATGCACAATGGAAATACAACAATTCATGCTTTTATCTGCTACTCCTCCATCATCCAAGAACATATTAATTCAACTTCCAAGATATTTAAAACTAGTGACAGTTTGAAAGGAGCTTTTGCCAACCGTGTACAGATACTATGGACTCAAAGTCAGAAATCTCAGCACATCTATAAATAAATTACATGTTTACTTCACATCAAATTTTGAAAATAATAAAAAGTTATTAATTGGATAGATTAGTAAATAAATGGTTAATGTAATGTTTCCTTTTAATTAAATAATCAGATAAAGAAAGTTATTTATAAAGAGATATGATATCCAATTCTAAATTACAAGCTAGTAAATAATTTATTGATATATTATCACAAATAATTCTTAATCATAGTCACTGTACAATATAATATACCAAGATTGTCGATAAGTACATGAATTAAAAGTAATGGTATAAAATAACTCTATCTTCCTTAAAAGTGCTTATCCAATTAGGATTATTAGTTCATCAGAATAAAAATTAAATAAATTATAAAATTGAAGAAGATAACTAGGAATGACATGTCCTAATAAATATCTAATAAAAGAATTATCTAGTAGTAAAAAATAATGTGCCCAGAGTTAAATAGGGTCTGCTTGCTATAAGAACTATTGTTTACTAGGTTGTAAAACCAAATTATAATAAGATTCATAATGAAGTAGAGAGGAGTTGGTCGGTCGAGGGATGCGGTCACATACATACTAAATTTTTTAAAATTAGTATTTTTAATTATTATGCTGACGTTTCGATCCACCTTGCAGATCTTCATCAGCGCGTGGCATGTGGCACCACAGGAGGCAGTTGAATAAAACTGTGACTAGACCTGTTTCACCTGCCTCCTGCGGTGCCACATGCTATGCCCTGATAAAGACCTGCAAGGTGGGTCGAAACGTCAGCGTAATAATTAAAAATATTATTTTTTAAAAATTTAGTATTTATTTGACCGCACCTCCTGACCAATCCCTTCTGTTATAATTAAAATTAAGGATAACTGCTATCCTTCTAATCAATAAAGGCAGCACCAATATATTAAACTTCACAACTTATAATGAACTTGTATCAAGTTCAAGTGATGTTGAAAATTTTTATTATTGAATGGTCACTATTCAACTAGTTAACAATTTATTAAAGCCATGAATGAAGTGTTTACCTGAGGGGGCCGTCTTAGTGTAGTTCTGCAATGCTGCAAAAGGTATTAGCTAAGTATTTACCAGCACTGTTTGTCAATGGTCCTCTCCTCTGCTGCAGCTCCTCTTGAACCTGCAGGTTGGCTTCACTGGCAGCGTCTCAGTCAAAATTAAGATATATGATAACTTCTTAACCGAATTTTAAATTTTTGTGATTTTATTGTTTAATCTAATCACTATATGATATAGTAGTTTATCATTTGGCACTGTTTACTGTAATAAATTAAGTCAAACAAGTAGCAGACACGATCTGCTCACGATAGCCAAATACACGGTGGGCCAGACCCCCTTACCGTGCACCTCTCCCCACATCCCTATAAATTGCATATCTTTGTGTTCCTTGTAACTATTTATTTAAAAAAAGCCAATGTTCCCACAAAAAAAGTGAACGCACTGCCCCAAAATGGCGGATTGACGACTTTGACTTTAGTTAGTTTTTTTTAAAAATCTTTTGCAAATGCACCAAACAGAAGGAGAGCTATGAGTTATAACTTTCTCGATATACTTCTCTATGTCCTGCTTCAAAGTGAAGGTAGCCCCGATGTGCACCTTCAGCAATCGAAAATAAAGTGGTTTTCACCATAGTAAACATATATCGTTCACTTAATGTCATCCAAACTGAAATTGAACCCCTTTTAGCAGCATCTTGAAATATTCTGTTCATCTGTCTGCTATACATTAATTTAGCTATATAATGGATACTGGTCGTTTTTATCTATTCCGAGGTTTTGGTACTTCCTTTCTCGTTCGCTTAATGTATTATACGCGTTTTTCCTCATTTTGAGATCAAATCCAAACAATCAGTTCTGGTTCATAGAAGAACTTATAGCATCACCCCTTCTATCTTTCTTTGTGCATAGAGAATAATTAATTCACTCAATATTCAAATTTCCTATTTATTTAAGATATAGTCCAACTTCTGCACAAAATAAAGGAATTAAAATTAATTTTTAATTAGTGACATATGAGTTTTACTAAACGACCCGGTAGCTGTTCATTTTATATAGTTCAGATTAGGTATATATTATTTTAGTTTATAAAACAGGTATTAATATGACTCATTTCCTGGGAAGTATATACAAATTTTAATTACTTCTAAGAATCAGTAAATATACAAAACACAGTGTTAAATTGCAAATGTTAACTAAAAAAAAATCAAGATATTTAGCAAAGTATTTTTAAATTAAGTTTTATTACTATAATTATATCATTTTACAATTGAGGTCTTCTTAAACGACCTACGTATAGAATAAAGGAGGTTAAATTAAAAAAATAATAATAAATTTTTAAAAAAAATTATTTTTTTTTACAATTAAATTATTGCAATAATATTTGTTTGTTAATAAAACCAATATAATGTACCAAAAATGTTATTATATCACTATAACTAAGCCATTTATGGGCACTGAATGGTGTGGTAGAGACCTGTAGGCACCCACGCCAGTACCGGCTTTTCTGGCGCATAAGTGCATTTTCTACGGAACTGCTTAAACATTTGTAAAAAATAATCAGCGTTTTAGAAAGAGAAATATATTCTCCAGATGGTTTATTTCAGCACGTTTTGCGTTATCGTAGGCCATTTAATTACAAACGATTTGGCTTGATTTGTAACTTGAAAATTTTTTTGTTAAAAAAATTGACTTTACTGTTGTTTTTCGTGGCCTAAGCCAATTATTTTGTAATATTTCTTCATGTTTTATTATTCTATAACTATTCAGCTTTAATAAAAGACCAACTATGAGGAAATTAAGCCAAATGCTAATTCTCAGTGACCAAAAAACTAACTAAAGTCAAAGTCGTCAATCCGCCATCTTTGGACACCATTTTGGGGCAGTGCGTTCACTTTTTTTTGTGGGAACATTGGCTTTTTTAAAATAAATAGTTACAAGGAACACAACGATATAGGGATGTGGGGGGGAGGGATGCACGGTAAGGAGGTCTGGCCCACAGACTAAAACGGGCTAAATTGCTCAACAATAGTGTGTGGCAAAAAAAAGTTGCTATTCTAGAGAAATGTTTTCCAATAGGAGGTCTACAGATCTCATGGATTATTGATGATTACTAAAGATCTAAGAGTTGTCATTGGAAAATTATTTTTCCAAATATAATAAAATTAAAATGGAAAAAAATTGATCCAGTCATAGTCCAAAAATTAATGATATTTTAAACACTTTTCTTTCACATAAACCCCTTTCTTCCAAATTTGAAGTTTTTAAGACCTACATGATAAGATAGAGTGAACAACCGGGGTCCTTGAAAATCTTTCACCATTCCAACCATGCACTAAAAGGATCCATTCCTCCATAAACAACGCAACAGATCATATGCATTGCTCTTGTGATAGTCGATATTTTAAGTTTGCTTTATATCTGTCAATCTGAGCACTGGGTGAGTAAATATCTTCAATATATACTTTTTGCACATAAAATGCTTTATGGCCAACTTTAAAGAAATGGTAACAACTTCTGTTAATGGGAGTTCTTACAATACCTTTAATAAAATAAATACCAAGGCTTTAACAACAAACAGAAGTTGGTTGTTATATTGAACAGCTTTGGTGAAATACCAGGGAGAGGGGGAAGGGGTTGTCCTGGAGGAGCAACCGAACCTATTTTAACCAGAATGGTAAGATTGATATTCGATCTATGGAGAGTACCAGTGAAATTGTACCTTAAGCTTTGGAGTCCCATTTGTTTATGAACATCATTTTAAGGTAATAACAGTTAAAACAGATAATTTATCAATAGATGGATAGGTCTCCTAATTAAATGTCCTTCTATTATGTCTATTGTAAAGAATTTAAAAAATGAGATTTAGGCTTCTCCACCAACCAAATGAAGAGGAGAATAACAGAAGCAAGTAAATGATGAGATCCCTTGAGGATAATTCATGTAATTCAGTAAGGGTTTAGAATATGATTTTTCAATTATTAGTAAAATACTGTCCCTATTAGTATGATCATATTTTCATAAAAAGTGGATACAAAATATGTTAGAATCATATATCATGTAATTGTAGTGCACATATGTAAAAACATTGAGAAATTAAAAGTTTATTTAAGATCAACAATTTTGAAACATAATCATGATAAAATTTTAAATAATTGAAGAGGAATCATATTTCCATACATTAAAATACAGTTTGTATCATTTATTTCATTTATAATTAATTACCCTTTAAAATATTATGCATAATTGTAAGGTTCATTTGCGAACCTGACAGTTTGAATATGCATCAATTGCACATGTGCCATCAAAATCTCAAACAATGGAAATATTCTGCTAGACTTCATGTTCTACAATTTTTTCCATTATCATTTTTCTTTCAAGACTAACTTTTCTTTCATAGAATGTATTATATCTCTCTTAAAATCAACACTCTGTATAAAACTTTGTTATATTATTAAATACATATAAACTATTTATAAACAAATGTACATTTTATTAAAGATAAATTCAAAACATAAATATGTAATACAAATGAAACTTAAAAACAGGCGACATAATATATAATTTTCATGTTTCGAACTTCTTTTATCCGTTTAATATGTCGAAGCATGGTAATTATGTTCAGGTACTTTTTGTTTCCTATTTTAATGTTGCCGAGTTTGTCCAAATCTTCTGCATTACAGAAATATGTTCCTGAAAAAAATTGAAAAAGAAGATAAAATTAAATCAAACATAAGCAAAAAAAAAGACCGAGATGTAGTTGAATCAATTGTAGTAGTAGTTTGGGAAATTTGCTGATAGATAAAATAATACAAAAATAAGAAAACTTATCTTATATGAGCTGACATTTCAGCCCAAGTTTTAGGTCTTCATCAGGGTGACACACATAGGGCATCCCAGAGTTCACCATTCTTACCATTCATTGAAAGGATCCATTCCTCCATAAACGATAAAACAAATCACATGCATTTTCAAATGCAGTGCACTCATGATAAGTCTATACTTTAAGTTTGCTTTTGATCTGTCATTCTGAACGCTGAGTGAGTAAATATCTTTATATATGCTTTTTGTGCATAAAATGCTTTATAGCCAATTATAAAAAAAAAAAGGTCACTTAACTTATGTTAAGAGAGGATTCAACAACATCTTTATGCACATTAATAGAAAGTTTCTTATTTGTGTATTATTCCATCAATTACCACACATTCCAACTAACTTGTCAATTTTCTGGGATAACACAAATGAATTAACGTTCAGTCAATAAAGGTTAGGATAGGTATGTCCAAAACATTCAGTCGAGGTATGTCACAAAACAATCAGTAAATTTACTCTGAAAAGTTTTAAGTTTACTTTACAATCATAATGTCGTAAATAAGTTGACTAGAATGATTTCCTTTCTATAGTTTTATTTAATTACAGTTTAATAGTAAAGGAAAACTTCACTAGAAAATTAATTCCTACTGTTGAACTCTACTTTGCTTGCCAGAAATTAGTCATTATTAGTACTTTTATTCAATAATCATACTTATAATAAGAATAACCAGCCCTCGACATTGGCAGGCAGAACAAGCGCTGTCCCGATGCCGTATGGAACTGTAAGACCGGCTGCCCAAGGAACTGTCTCTATCTCTGATTTGCGCTTGGATGCTGATGAGCCTCCAGAGCGAGGAAGAGTGACCCAACACCAAAGAAATGGACTCACAAGTTAAATATATCAGTAATCCGTTTTGTTTCATTTCATTTCATTTCAATACGAGCTTATTTGTTGGCAACAAATTTGGAACAATTAAACTGGATACAGAGCTTGAATTATTAACAACTGGAATGAAAAGATTCCCCATATTCAAGTCTCTTCTCAACGTATCGCTGATCAGATGAAATAGGAAGTTTCTATCAATGGCTGAGATACACGATATAAAAGAAGAGATAGCACGTAAGTTAAACCTGAACCATGCGCAGGATTTATGGCCATTACAACCACTAACCACTGAAGCTATCACTCACGTAAATCAGGAAGAGCTAAACCCTACGGAGGAACCAGTGAACAGAATATAATGGAACAAGCAAGCATCCATACCGGGTTAATTACAGAACATTTAAAATTCCAGAATATTCCTCTCAAAAGTCATCCCTAAAGTACCATATTCTAAACCAGCACTCCAAACTGTTTTAGCAGTAGATTCTCTGCTACAAGAATACATAACAACCATTTGCGACATCGATGAAATCCGACACTCGATATATAGCAGCAAGAATGATTGTGAAACAATTGGGACTAATAAGAGAAGTACATCCGCCAAAAGGGAAGAATATTTCTGATGTTAAAACTTTTGACCCACCTTGGAGGAGAAGGCTGAAGTATAAAATTGATGAATTGCGCAGCAAAATTAGAGTTCTTACCAACTATCTCAATAATCCTGACAGAGCATAGGTTTTAAGTTGAAGACTGTTATTGATGAGCACATTGTGAAACACATAAACACATAAGTTCTGTCAATAGATTTGAACTTAATTCAAAGCTGTCAACACTCTCAGAACACCTGAAACAAAAACTTGCAGTTTATGCTAACAGGGTCAGAGGATATACAGAAGCTGAATCCCAAAGAAAGCAAACCTACTGGTTTCAAACAGCAGAAAGAAAGTTTTATAAAAGCCTGAAACTGAAACCATAGGAAGACTCTTTTTCTTTGTCACACCCTGATGATTCTGATTTTTCTAGTTATTTATTTTTTTAATTATACCTCTCTTTATTGTCTTCTGCCATCAGAGATCTTGCAGGCCAGTACCAGTCCAATTTGGACGACGTGGTATCTCTTATATTCAACAAGCGCAAGCATACACCTAAATGCACTGCGCCCATATATGCTCCCGAATTACATAGGTTGCAATCTGGAGTCTGCAACTCCTATTCTATGCAGGTGCTTCCTAAGGTAGTCGTGGCCTATTATCAACTGGAACTCTGCCATAGTATCCTTTCTCAGTATGGTCCATGGTAACACGATCCACTTCATTAAACAATTTTCTCCATTGTTTTTCCACAATACAGCTCTTTACGGAATCCAGTAGTAGAGCCTCACTTGCCTTATTAATTTCTTCTTTCGCTCTATGAAATGATATTTCATTTTCTGACTGTTTCAATGTGGAGCCTTCCTTGGCGAATTTATCAGCCATTTCATTTCCATGAAGACCACAGTGACTTGGTATCCATTGAAAGAATACCTCTGGTTCCTTGAAGTAGTTCCTCTATGATTTTTAGGAAAGAGAGGGTGACATTCTTGGCTTTTGTTGCTAAATATTTAAGGAATTCAGGAAATATTTTATCAGGCCCTGGGGACGTTTAAGTTTTTAACGTAAATGGCTTGTTAAAAACTTTCGATTGCTCCTCAGTCAAGCAGGTTAAAGGAAGTTTTGTTTTGGGCTTGAAAATGCTTATAGTGCAATAGTGCTTACAAAAATGTCGAGCTATATCCTTCTCATTTGTCAGTATCTTAGATTCTGTCTGGATTGGGCTGTTTGAGTGTATTGTAATGAATCAATTCAACATGTTACCTCAGGCTGCCAGGCATTAGTGGGTAAAGAATACCTTCCGAGGCACAATAATGCGGAAAAATCGTGCATCAGGCTCTGGCTCAAAAATATAAATTAATAATAGGCCAACAGCCTTTCTATAGATACCAGTCGCAGACAATATTAGAAAAAGCGGATGTCAAATTATACTGGGATCAAATTATGTTAACTGACCATAATATCCCACATAATAGACCAGACATATTGCTCATTGACAAAAAATTAAAGACAGCTATGATCATCGAAATTGGAGTTCCTGCAGATGATAATGTAACTAAAACACTAAGTGAAAAAATCCAAAAATACCAAGAGTTATGAGACAAATTAAGGCTATTATACCAGTTGGTGAATTTAAAGGTACTAACCATTATGGTATCCAGCAATGGCTTAGTTCCTGAGGAGACTTTGAAATCATTGAAGATTGTGGCGGCAGCGGGCGTTCAAATGTAAATAGCCAATTCTGCACAACCTAATCCATAGGCACTATTAAATAGGATCAATCAGCGAGTGCATCACGAATCAATGAGTGCTTCCCAGCCAAATCTTGGCCCAGATGTATATATTACAAATAGTAAATAGTATTGGCATACTTTTGTTTAAAAAAAAAAAAACATTGTTTTAATTCCATTTTGCTAAAATTTTATTCATTACCCTAGTTTGATTTCAATATAACGACCAGTGCCGTTGTTGACAGTGAAAGATGGCTGAATATAGCGACCGTAGTGGTTTATAACACCAAAGTTTATCCCTTCAAGGTCATTATAAACTATATGCACTGTATATTTATTTCCAATTTGAAAAAAAAAATTACAACCAAAAAACATTCCCTGACCTTAACAATTTTTCCCTGTTTAGAAAATTCTCTGACTTTTTCTATTTTTCCAGGTCAGTCACCACCCTGGCAATAGAAGTCTTCAGAGACAATTAAATCTCAAACATTGATTTAATAATGTTAAATCATCAGTTTTTGTTTTGTTTTTTAGTCATTCTCACTTCCCTGATAACTTTCTTCTAGTTTGCAATATTACTTTGAATTTTACTATAAACAACATTTAATACAGAAGTATTATATACTCTTGATAAATATAATTATGTAGAGAAAAGATAATTAATACCTTTTAATTCTCCTATTTCCTGTTCCTTCCACAGCAAACATTGCTCCAATTCAGATTTACTTTTATTTTTCTTTGACTTCTTAAGCAATTCGTACTTTTTTGTAAGTGTTACATTAAAAATATTAATAAATTCATTGATATTGTCCATGGTGACTCGACCCCTCATATAACTGAAAACAATAATAGAAAAAATCATGTAAAATATATATAATTTTTTATCTTGTGATAATTTCTTGACAACTAATCACTTAACACTCAAAAAAGTTAAAATTTTCATTAACCTGAATGTTAAATGTAGTTAAAATAAGCACATTTATTAGAAACAATTAATTAGAAACATACATTAATTTTAAAACATGAATTTATTGATTGATATTTAATCTCTGAATACTAACCCTGGAATCTGAGAGAATTCTTCATTGGTTACAAAGCTAACAGATATTTCAAGGTCTTTTCTCGGCTTAGGTGTCACATTCACTAATTCTTTCTTTAAAAATGTTGAATTAGCAAAAGATGGAGTTCCTTCAGTAAAAGTATTATTCACCATTAAAGGTTCGAAAAAAGGCTGTAAATAAAATTAATTAACATGGATTATTGAGATTATTCTATAATTATTAATAATAGATAAATGATTTTGCAAAGAATAAATTGTGCTACTATCATTTAAAAATAGGATCCTCACCATTACAGAAAATAATGGCATAAAGATAATTCTAATTTAAGAATAAGTTGGTCAGGGGTGCAGTCAATAGATATACTGTATATTATAATAGTGTTTCATTACATTTAACGAAGTTTTGACCTACATTGTAGGTCTTCATCAGGGCATTTCATCTAACTCTGTCAGGAGTTAGATGAATTCAATTAGTGAGTTAGATGATTAGAGTGAGACTTTCCAACAGTGCTAGATGAAATGCCCTGATGAAGATCTACAATGTAGGTTGAACATTGACAAATATAATAAAACTCTACTATAATAAATAGTAGTATACTGGACCGCACCCCCGACTAACTTCTTCAACTATAGAAAATAATTTGAAAATTAAAACATATATACCCTATACTATACTGATCACTAAAATATTCTCATTGCAACAGAATAAATTATTCAAAAACAAGGAACAACACTGTCTCATTTTTATAAATCCATACTATAAAATTTACTTAATAAAGCAGGGAAACCAAAGAAATATACAGGGATCTTTATCTAAAATTTAAAGATTATTAAAAAGGAAACTTTTTTAATTGATTCCTAAAAACTTCAGCCATAATTCATTACATTTATTTTGACCGTATCCTTCTACAAAATGGTTTCTTCTATAACAATGGATAACTTCTGAAATAATAACACAATAATGTTAACATAATATGTAATACATTGATACAAAATATTTCCCATAGGTTCCTAAACAACTCCTATTCATGGTTCAAGTTTTAAATTAGAAAATAATCTTTTAATGTTATTTCACAATTCAATAAAATATCTGAATTCAAATGGACCAATTTAAATTTAAGATGCCACGAATTAATAAAAGAGTAACTGTAAGGATAGTCAACTGTATTGATAATTAAGGATTATATATTAATCTAGGGGTCAGTCAATGTGGCATAATCAAAGCTAGCAGGAACTTCATGTCATATTTTCAATTTAGAACTCCATGGCTTATTAGTTTTGAAAAGAGGTCGGCAAAATCGGAATCAACAATTAAAACTGAAAATAGAACTTAATGACCACGCCAATTTTATACTTGATACAATAGTACTATAAATATAGCAAAAAATGTCACATGATTATCTGATTATAATCGTGTAATCACATAGTAAAAATCACTGTAATCGTAATCATGTAATCAAAATTGTAATCACTGATTATGATTATGGCCATCTTTGGTTTTGAGATACTGCTCCACCCTGAAGACTGACGGTTAGGACAAATCAACAATTATGGCATTAGGTAAAATAAATGTTCATAATATTTATCTTATAAAAATTAAGCACTAAAAAACAATAGTAAGACCTTATTTTATGTCATTACTTACATTAATATTTTCTTTTATTTTATAGGCTTCACCGCAAGGCTTATCACGCGACGAAATGTCCAGATTTGTGATTTCTTTAATAATATGGTCTTGATTCTAAACTTTGAAAATATATAATCAATATATATATAATATATAATCATAACAAACAATGAAAATTAAAAATACATTATCAAAACTTTGATAACAGAAAATATAAAAACCACTTAGATACAAAGCATACTATAGAGAATTAAACCAATATTGGATAAGCGAAGTATAAAATATATAATTTCTTTAGGATGAAGTAGGTACATTAAAGGTAAATATTTGCATCAAACATCATGAAAACACAATTTTATCCTGCTTGTTTCTTTTTTTCTAGATCAGCTGCTATCAGCTAATTGAGAGTGATGAGATTCTAGTCCAAATTCTTCCAAGTGACCAGATGGATTTTCTAATTAGATTTCCAGAATAACTGATATCTACTGTCCCAATGCTTCAAATCCAGATTTTTTATCCCTTCCCAACAGCTAGAAACAAAAAACCAACTGGTTTCTTATAAAATGCCCATAATTCATCCTTAGAAAGTTGTTATTGTTCCAACCTTTTTTTTTGTTCTCCCCTTCCTCGCCTTTTAGACTATAAGGGGTTTTCCTGGGTCAGGAGGTGAGGGTGAGGAATCATTGCAAGAGTTGAAAGCCCTTCCGGCACCGGGACACGAACTTTTTATTATTATTATTCATTACGTATAACTTTGGTTACCAGATTGCCAGGTAATGTGCGATCCTGTGCACACCTGTTAGCCTGCTCGGGTAACCCAGCCCTATTATTGTTCCAACTTTTTATTATCAACGTCTCTCACCTTCTACACATTCAGATCAAGTCTTAACCAATTTTCCTCTCTAAACTTTTCTCCCTGGTTTCAGGCATATTTTTTCAAAAAAAGATCTGCACCATCAAAAATTACTTGCCATATACCAGCTTAAAATCACTGTCTTCATCCTCTTTGATTTTAGTGACGCCTTAGCCATGAGCCCTGATTCTACTCTTGTCATTTATTTACAACTCTACCTAGCAATGTTGAAATACTTATTGACATTGCTGATAACTAATCATAATACATTGTATTGGTCTCCAGAGATCAATGCTACTACGGCTACTCTCTAAGGGGTAGCTTCTATCTTATAGCAGTCTATCTTGTACCAGACCTGTTGATTTTCTTCCTTGGGTTCCCAGGTTAAAGTGGGCTGGGCAAGTTAAACTTGTTAGATCTCTTCTCAACATACTTGGTCCAGTATTAACCCATTCTCTTTTTTATAGCCCAGGAGAAGCAGCATGTCCAGTGATATGGGATAACAATTCAAGGAACTCTTGCTCTTGCTTGAAGGTGCTTTTAGGCAATTAATTTAATCCATTGGATCCAGAAATATAGTATTTGGTTGGCTTCTCACCATCTTATACATCTTAATGTAAAATACGGACTATATATAATACATACTGAATTAAAAAATTACAACATGTATCCCAGCTTAATAATAAAACAAATTACCAAACATCTTACACTGAGGAATCAATAGACAATAAAAAAATCATCTAGAAACTACAGCACAGAAGCAATAATTTGTTATTATTCAAAACAAAGTACATATTTTCTTTTCTAATTATTTATTCTATATAATTTCATGAAACTATGAAAACCTATTTATATGTCTTGAGCAGAAAGCCTGGTAAACTAGAATGTAAACAAATAATCAAAATAAAACGAGACCCTTTTTTTATTACAACTGACTATGTTATTATTACTCTTAAAGGTTTTCTTTTTCATTTCTATATTCACAATGCAAATTATGGTGGAGTATAGTCTCATTAATTTTTCATAATTATTGTTTATTAACAATTACATCAAACCTCTTAATTTTTATACACTTTACACCAAGAATTAACCTAAAAATGCAGTTATTGGACTGAAAATTAAAAATGTCTGATGACTAACGGTTTAATAAGCATAATTCCAATTTTTTTCTCATTGCATAGAATTCAAGAATCACAAATTTTGAAGGAAATAAAGGCTGCTGGACACCCTGAAAAATGTCATCTTATTTAGGAGATAAAACAATTATTACTCACCGATAATGTAGATTCTTCAATCAATAAACATTTAGGTATCTTTTTATTTTGAAGAGACATTAATCTCTCTTTCCTATCTTCTAATACCTTTATTAATGCCTGCAAAAAACAATATTCTACAGATAAACAGAAATTATAAGTAACTCAATACAGATAACTAATATTAAACTCTTGAAATAAAGAGTTGGCAATAACTTTAAAGGGAACAACAAAGCATACGCAGGAGTGTCAAGATGTGGTTTAATTTAAAATGAATTACCTTTGTGTAAATTTCAGATAGAATTTGGCTTCAAGTTACATTAGTTAGTTTCAAGTTAGAATTAAGCTGAGTAACCACTTTAGTAAAAAGACAAACCTAATGAAAATTATTCAGGAAATAAAAGATGACCCATAGAAAGATATCTTCCCATTTTATTAATGATCTACAACAAAAACTAATGCCCTTGTATTGTATTGTAAATCATACAGTTGAATATTATTTTAATAAAAGGCTAAATTTATTCCTTTGGGTAGAGAATAAGGTAAAAAGTTAGTAGAGGAATACTATAAATGTTGACTAACAAAATTATCACTTTACCTCTTGTTCTCCTACTTCTTTATGATATTGGTTCAGGAGAGAATCTAGTTCATTCTTCTTCAAGTTTCCATTATTCACCCTCTCCAAAAGGCTTTCACAATAGTCTTTGGCATGATCATTGTAACCATCAATTATTTCCATAGATAATTTCATTTCTGATATTTTTCTTATTAAGGATTCCATGTTTTCTACTGTAACCACCTTTATCAAAAATTCATTGATGATAAAATAAAAGCAGCAAGTTTTGGCGGGTTTTGATGACAAGTCAATGTTGCCATTAAAAAAAGTATAAATAAATAATAAAATACTAAAGGATGAATTATTATTCATTCTTTCCATTGTTATTTGTTATAAATATTATTAACTTTATATGATTTATTATTCATAAAATCGATCAATAATTTGTAATTATGGAAGTCAATGTTTTGAAACATAAAAATTACTGTATGTTTTCTTGACTATTTATTATCCATAATATATATTCATGCACTTGATTATGTATAAACAGAGCACATTATTATGATCAAAATTCAGAATGATCTTTAATATACTCCTAAACACTCTGCCATTCGTCTGGATATTGAAAATTTCTCCGGCTACTATAATAATATACTACTAAAATAAAGGTTATTTTTCCAGTTTACCCCACAATTTCCTATCTATTGACCTTGCTTTTGGTACCGTTGGGAAAATTTTGGATAAATCAAAAGCTGCGAAAAAGTGACAGCCACAGAGTCGGGCAACTGGGGCATTGCAACGAGGCGTCCGTAGGGGGCGCCTAATCATCAGAGGTGCTCGCCACTTGTTCAAAATAAAATAAAAAAATTAATTTTAGTCTACTAATAAATCAAATGTAAAAAAAATATATTGAATGAAATATAATTCAAATATTACCTAATATCAAACAGGTTAAGAAATAAAATTTAATCTTTTTAGGTGGGGACATGACATCATTGTCCGGGGGCGCCAAATGTCAAAGGCACTGCTACGAAGAATATAAAATACTTTAGTGTTCGGAGTTGTTATAAGTGGGGCCAAGATTAAGCAGTATTTCCTATTAAGAAACTTGGTCGATTTAATAATAATAAATAAAATCAGCTTTTTTTTTCATAAAGGATAAAATTCACGTATTCTTAACAAAAACTCACATATCTGAAATAAAAAAAATGATTATGAATGCTAATAGTTTTAGATAATAAAAAAAAATTAGTCTAACAATACTATTTTTAAGCTTATTTTACTTTAATATCGTACCCAGGAAACAAAGATAATTATATCATAAGTCCTCCCATAAGCTGAAAGAAACCTCTTTGATTATGTTGCTTTGTTCAAGTGTGTGATTAAAAAAAAAACATTGGTTTCAATAGGTAATTTTTTGTTTAATTTTCGTATATAAACTTAATTTTTGTACGTAATACAAACCCCGACAACTTTATGGTCTATTCTTACCCCTTTCCCTCTCTTCTTCCAATGAAAACAGACAGTCTGTACGGATGCTTCAACCCGTTATGTGGATTCATCAATTTTTAGAGATCTAAAACTCTCTATTTGAGTGTTGTATTCTAGATCATCATCCCTAACATTTTCGAAACGTAAAATTATTTTGCAGACGTCAGTGATTTAATAAAAGGTAGCTGGGTAGCTCTATTCCACTACTTAATCCAATTTAATCGATTGGTTTGTAGTTCCTTAGTAACTAATAAACAGTCGCCTGAATAAAATTCCAGATGTTTTCGAATAAGAAGATAAAAACTGAAGAGGAGAAAGAAAAAATAAGATTCATGGAATTAGAGGCGGCCTTCGAAGAAGAAGAATATGAATATTATTACGTACTGAAGGAAGCCTCTAGGAAGGTACTTATTTAAAGACAAAATGAATGCAAGTCAGCCGAATTCAAAAGTTACATTAAGTAATTGAAATAATAATAATTTATAATAATATAATAATAAGTATTTTATTATCTTATTTAAACTATTGTGTTTTTATTATTGAAGGTTTTTTTAGATATTTAATAATAGTTCAATAATTACCATCTTTATCATATTGCAATATTTATATCATTTGCAAGCAATTTTGGTCCATTTCGCAAATCGCCCGCAATCGCCCGAAAAAAACAGACACTTTATTTTTAACAAAGGTTTGAAGTTTTAACAGTTTTCAGACCTTGTCCCAACCTATCGCCCCGAAAGTTATTGAGGATTTAATTCGTGGAACGTTGAATTTAGATTAACTACCATTACTTTTTATTTATTTAATTTTTTTTCACTAGCATGTTCGAGTTACTATCAATCCAAGTTTTGACTAAATAATATCTAATTTACTATACTGACCAAATTACAAACATATAACGAGTTTAATAGCTAATTTAAAAAAAAAATTAGATATTTTTTATTATTACATACATGTAATTTTATATATTTATATTTTATTATAATATGTCGTTATAAAATATGTGATACATTATTTAATATCTAAGCAATGTAATGTTTTCAATAAAAACCATAGGACATGGATTTTAAACATTACATTGGTTTCTACCGGGAATATTTTTACTGTATTTATTTTATGTGAAATACTTATACTTCAAAGACTTACATTACGTGAAATAATTATTTTACACGAAACAATTATTATTTAACATAAAATACTTGATATAAATAGCAATTGATAAGTTAGAGTAATAATGTTAAAAAATATTTTGTTTATGAAATATTAAATTTAAATAAACCAATTAGGTTTATGTTATATAATAAGTATTTCGTAAATCATCTATTATCTCACACTCTTGTCTTTTAGAGTTCACACTCCCTAGAAAATCCTTGGTCTAGAGCATAAAGTTATAATCGCTGGTCCATTATAAACAACACAATAAGTTTGGAGACCCCTGATCTAGGGTTAATAGAGCCCATGCTCTAATAGAAAAATAATTATATTATTTTTTTTTTTCAAAATGATGTAACTATGGTTATATTGTGGGTGATAAATATTCAGGACGCAGTCATAAAAATTTATAATTGTGCCGACGTTTTATGGTTATATTGATGATTATTTATACATATTAATAATTTTTTTAAAAAAACTACTTATAAATATTATCAAGAATTTGAAAAACACTTTATTCTCTGTTCTTTTCTCGAAAAATGTATGCCCCAATGCAGGGGTCTCCAAACGTTTGGCTTGTGGTGCAAAAAAAATCGTGTTCTCTAAATAACACTTCATTAATGAAATGAATTTTCTGATAGAAAAAAAATGCTTGTAGTAACCTCTAGTATTAGTAATTTGCTAAATTTCACGTTTTTTAAACAATTTTTAAAATTTTTCTATGTAATCGAAGAAACTTCCGCGGGAGACCCGTAGTTGGGAGACCCCTGCCCTAATGTGACCAAAATTTTTAAATGACCCATATATACTATTTAGCATGATCTATCATCCTATCATGATGATGATGTTATTATCCTCTTTAATTTTCAACAGTTAATAAAATCCATCTCAAAGTTTTATATGTATGTATAATATAATACAAAATTTATAATAAATCAAATTTACGTTTTTCATTTTTTTTTTTTTAAGGTCACAGAGCTTACCAGCGAAGCGAAGAACAAGAACACAACTAAGTTACATAACAGTTTGTTTCAAATCGTCGAAAATTTAGGTGCTAAATTAGAAAATATTAAAAAATAAATAATGTTTCAAAGTATCCTAAAATCATTAATGTAATGTAACTTTTCAGTTAGTGTAATACTTTAAATAAATTGCGGTTTAGCTTTCCTTATAATACTTTTGTCTTCTGTTTAAACATGTCTCAAAAATTGTTAAACAAGTTGAAATAGTTATGGCCCTGGAGCCAGGGCCCAAAAATCGACCAGATCGCAGGCGTAGGTTTGATTGTAAATTACGAAAGTGTATGTTATTCTGAGTAAAATGAACCTTGTCTGCCGTTCCAGAGCCGCTGCTTTCAAAAATGGCGGCTAATTTAAAGCATATTAAGCCAATAATTAGAGGATCGAAACGGGAAATCCATTACGAAAAATATGAGAAAAGTTTTTATTTTTTTAACTTGTATAGGTGGGTTTAGACATGTAAAAACAAAATTTCTTACGCGGGCCACCAAGGGAAAATGTTTACAGCCAAAAAAGTCGGATTTTTTCGATATATTTTGTTTTTTTCACCTATAACACCTAAACAATGCATCAAAGCGAAAAATGCAATCTTTAATAAACTAAAGAAAATTAAATTTTGCGTCAAACGAATAGATAAACCTTATGATTTGGTTACGCGGTAAGGTATAAAACCACGGTTAACCAACGCTGATTTTTACCGAATTTGTCAAAAACTGATACAAATTACTATAAATGGCCCTGATACTTGGAAATGAGTTCCCCAAGAGAAAAAACCCATAGAGTCAAAGTTGTAGAGCATCAAATTTTGCGTTTATTGCGTTGATTGACCTTAGTTTTATACCTTACTGTGTAACCAAATTATAAGGTTTAAGTATTCGTTTGACACAAAATTTAACGTTCTTTAGTTTATTAAAGAATGCTGTTTTTGCATTTGATGCATCGTTTAGAAGTTATAGGTGAAAAAACTATCGAAAAAATCAGACGTTTTTGGCTGTAAACAGTAAACTATTGGTGGCCTGTAGTAGCAATTTTGTTTTTTACATGTCTAAAAAAACCCATACATAGAACTTAAAAAAATAAAAACTTTTCTAACATTTTTCGCAATGGATTTCCCGTTTCGATCCTCTAATTATTGGCTTAATATGCTTTAAATCAGCCGCCATTTTTGAAAGCAGCGGCTCTGGAACGGCAGAAAAGGTTCTTTTTACTCAGAATAACATACACTTTCGAAATTTACAATCAAACCTTCGCCTACGATCAGGTCTATTTTTGGGCCTTGGCTCCAGGGCTATCAGTAGGTTGCCCTCCTGGTGACCTTTTGGAGAAGCAGCAGCCTTAACCCTTTTTTGTGATGTGCACTCCATTATCGTAGTCAGCATGCTGCGAAAAATTAACAAAATTGCCTTTCACTAGTTTTTATTTTCAACCCTACATCTCCCACTCTTCCAGCAACATATATCTTATGTAAATTCATATTTATGTTTAAAGCTCATGCATGCAAAACGCGTTATGCGATCATTGTATAGTGTTTTACTTGCACAGAATAAACCTTAAGACAACTACAGGCTTTATTTATCATACAACTTAACATGAAAGATAATAGTTTGATTGAAACACTTCGTTAAGAACAAAAAAACATCTGATTGAATATTTATAAGGTTAGAAAGGAAATAGTTATAAATTTCATTACATTCAAGTTAACCGTAGTCTCTATGCTGTCGGGGAGCTTAATGAGAACATAATCCGGATTTGCCTCTTTGCTCCTAACTTAGTAACCTCTTGTACGAGTGGATCATATTTGCTTTGTCGATTTAGATTTCTTAAAATCAGTTTGTCCAACTTAGTTAGTCAAAAAGGGATTGACACTCCCAAGGATGTTCTTCTGTGGTGAAGAACATAGTTCATGTGGGGTAACATTGGTTAAGGTACAGAATAATGAACGGATCGACTGTAGTGCCTCATTTAAAACTTTTTTCCATTTTTATGTCATGAGACCTATAGACTTCAATGCAAGGTTAATGGTTTTCCAAATTATACCATTGTATCTTTCAACTTGTCCGTTTCCACAAGGATTATATGGAGTGATACGACTGGTTGCTATTCCGTAAGAATGAAGAAAAGCCTGGAGTTCTTTTGAAATGAAAGATGTACCTCTTTTCTGAATGAATGTAAGCCGGATAACCAAAGAGAGTAAAAATCTGACTTGTAGCATTGATGATAGGAAAGTGCAAGGTATAGCGAAAGAATACTCATCAATCAAAGGTATATTGAATACTCATCAATGACGGTCAGAAGGTACTTTCGGGAAGTATCAGAGGCAAAAGGTCCTTTAAAGTCAATGGCAATCCATAATGGTGTGCAGATCTCTAGTTAATAGCAGGTAAAGCGTTGATGCCCAATCAGGTCGGGCTGAATGCAGGAAAGTGTTTACACGGGTGGAAAACAGCCAACCTAGTTTTGGTGATGTACCTCCCCAGTGGATTGTCGCTACCACACAGCAAGGAAGAGTGTCCAGCATCACTAGCGGATCCAGGATTTAATTTTGGAGGGCTTCAGCCCGAAACCTTTTTTTTTCCTTAAAAATGACGATAATTACTTTGGAAAACAAGAAAGAAACTAACTACCTATATGAAATGGTATTTAAGTGATTCCTTAAGTCCTTTTAAAGGTAATTACACGAACAATAATACTTTAAGAGGTATTTTAAAAAAATTTTCATATAAAACATGGTTGTATTTTACTATTTGGGGGAGGAAGCTTCAGCCCGAAAACCCCCACCCCGTAGATCCGCCCGTATCCAGCATTGAAGTCCCCAAAGACTACATACCGACTCGTCACATAGGCATATTGTAGTAGCAGTTTAATATGCCCATCTTATGCGATTTTAGCTACAATAAATTTATATATATTCATCCTTTTTAATCTCGAGAATGAAGACTTGGTTTTTCACTGTTAAAACAATTTTTCGGCAATGTAGAAGTAGGCGAAAATAAGAAAATAGTATAGAAATTTTTTCGAATTTTCATTCACTTTTATCTCTTCAATGGGTTTTCATAGTCCAACCATTTCCTAACTTTTTTTTAAGAGGTAGGCCAATGGAAAAAGTGTTTAGTACAAATTTTCTGAATTTTCTTTCGCTTTTCCTCTTCCGCTCGGTTTATCATCGTCCCAACAATTTTCTAACTGTTTAGAGTTTGGGGACAATGGGGAAAAAGTGTAAATTTTTCCGAATTTTTATTTCCTTTTCTCTTTTTATCTCGGAAATGGAGGATCGGTTTTTTAGTGTTTCAACAATTTTCCGACAATATAGGGGTAGGCGAAAATAAGGAAATAGTGTAGACAATTTTCCGAATTTTCATTCGCTTTACCTCTTTCATCTCTTGAATTAGTGCTCGGATTTTCACAGTTCCAACCATTCCCGAACTGTTTAGAGGAGCGCCAATGGAAACAGTAGTGGTACAATTTTCCGAATTTTCATTCGCTTTTCCTCTTTTATTACGTTTATGAAGGCTCGGTTTTTCACAGTTCCAACAATTTTCCAACTGTTTAGAGTTTGGCGACATTGGGGAAAAAGTGTAAATTTTTCCGGATTTTCATTCGCTTTTCCTCTTTTATCTCGGAAATGAGGGATCGGTTTTCTAGTGTTCCAACTATTGGAGATAAAAGAGGAAAAGTGAATGAAAATTTGGAAAAGTTTTGCACTTGTTCACCATTTTCGCCAAACTCTAAACAGTGGGAAAATCGTTGTGTTGATGAAAAACCGAGCGTCCATTCGCGTAATAAAGGAAGAAAATTTAGTGGAAAATAACACTGATTTCTATTTAGACAGTTGATGTTTAGTTCTACAGGATAACCTATTATGCTGATAATGGGTTATCAGTGGTTTAATAACCAACTGTTGCTTGTTTTTGTATTTCATTTGAATTAAACTTCTTATTTATGTTTGATTTGATTTTGAATGAAAGAGTTTAGTTTTAATCTGGTTAAATATCAATCCTTATGCAAATGTGATTTAAAAATTAATTGACAAAGTTATTAGTCTTTGAATGATGTGTAACTCTATTTTACCTGTTGATGGTAATGTGGATGTGGAAATTAGAAAATTAAATGCAAAATCAGTTCTTGAGTTATCACATATTCTAGATGTTGAAGAAAGTTGGAAATTAGTTATGGCTAACATTGAAGATGTGGAGACTGGTGCTAGTAAATATAAAGTTGAACACATGACGTAACTAATTTATATGTTTAAATATACCTAGATTATTTTTTCTTTGTGCCTTGTACAATAATTAATTTAAGTGAATTATAGTTTAATAGAAACAGCTTCAGAAAATCAAAAACGTTCTTCGACTGCGATTCTTTTAGAAGAATGGGGAACTAGTGGTCGCAAAAGGCCACATATTTCTGATTTATTAAATATTCTAGTGAAAACAGAACTATATCGTGCAGCTGATTACGTTTCTGTCCACCTTTTGAATCGTAAGTTACAGAAATATAATTTTTATATCATATTTCTTACATTATTGTTATTTCTAAGATGTTATAATAACATTTATTTTTTTAATAAAGACCTAACTGGTGGACATTTTAAACAATTTATTCTTCTTCATGAATAATATAAGCATAATAACTATATCTAATAATAACCTTTCTTTAATTTTTTTAAAATGAGAAATTGTTTAAAATTAATGTAATGTTCTTACGTTTTTTTTCAATTTTCAGCAATGTTAAATCACTGGTTTAATTGATTTGTCTGGAATTCTGTTTCTTAAAATATTCTAGGAATATTCCTCACCGGTATTAAAACTATAAAAAATATTGTCTTTTACTGTTATATTATTTTAATTTTATTTTATTAACGCTAACATACAATTTTATTACTTCTTCTTTATCACTTATACCATGTCCAATTTTGTATTTCACACTACTCGCCTTTTAATATATATTTTATAGTATTATTATGAACATATTATAGACAATTTTAACAATATCGTTAGATTAATAAATTTAAATAATATTTTTTTTTATTCATTAACCCTTAGTCATAAATCTAAGTTTTATATTCCTTCAGCTTCAATACAATTCTCTCAATGTCCAACAAGTTTTGTTATCCTTGGTTTAAAGAAACTTTCTAAATTTAAATCTAGGGTCAATCCATTTGAAATCACCTAATTTTGAATTAATTTTGCTGCTCGACATTTTTGATTTTTATAACTTTTTACCAATTGTTCCACATTTATTTTAGAGTTCAAAGCTGTAGTTACAAAAATTTTAAGGCTCACAGTTTTTTCTCAGCAGCCATTTTTAATATTCTTTTCGACTGAAAACATGTTTTGGGAAAATGTCTGTAACTCTGGTTATTTTGTATGATTGTATCCTACCTACTCTAACTGCAGCATTTTTGAAGATATCAAAACAAAACAAAAACTAAAAATTTTATGGTGTTTTGTTGTAAATGTTTTGTCCTCATAATATATCTCATAAGTAGTGAGAAAAGTTGTTGAAAAAATTGACAACTATAAAATTTAAATTAACATAAATTTACAGCATTACTGTAATAATGAAAAGAGTCTCAACTTTCATTATCCTATCAGTGTACTTACTGATGAAATTTCTATCTTGAAAACCTTGTCCTTTTTTAAATATGAATTTTCAAAAATGGCTAAAAGGGATTTTTGGAGAAATTTGAATTTGAATAACATGAGTGTTAAATGATGAAACTTGTACATTTTATAACACTTTTTTATATGGTCATATGGAACAAATTTAGTGACAGACTTAATCCGCTCCAGAGTTATATAGTTTCAAATATGTCTGGAAATTGTGTTATTTAAGCAATAAATCAGCATATGAATTGAGGCACTGAATTGAATTTTAGTTTCTCATTACACAAATTCTATGGTAGGTATATAAGATTTTGCTGCATTGACGGCTAATATCACATCAATTGATAAATATAAGCGCTTCAACTGTGAACTGTCACATTAACAACTGTATTTTTGATTGCGTTGAAACATTGTTTTAAAAATTATTTATTGTGTATTGTTTTTATTTCTAAACCTGAAATTGTTCTTATTCAACGTTCATTTGTTATTTAATTCTTTATTACATAATGAAAACTATTACCTACTAAGTTAAATAAACATTAATCATTCATAAATAAAGATTAATATATAAATAAATATATAAGCAAACACTAATAAATAAACATCTCATCCAACGAGATTTTATTCGTTATTAAGTAATTCGGTAGATGAAAATACTGGATAGAATCAAGCTTGAGTTCAGAAGTAAATATTACACATCCATTCAATGCCATAATTGCAGTAGGTAGCATACACTGATATCGACTCACACTAGGCTTCCATATTTGTTGTGCTATAACTAATAGAACCAGTTGAGTCTCAATGATCGAATTAGTATCACACATTTCTATCATTAAGAGGTATACATTGTATCAATTTCATTCAGTCCCCTTTGTGATACATTACCAAAAAAATTGCCGAAAACGACTTTTGAGCGTTTTTGAAAACTCTTATTTAAAAAAGGATAAGGTTTTCATGATTGAAATTTCATCAGCAACAATTACAGTAATAGGACTACATATGAAGAACAAATTAAAGTTGAAACTCTTTTCTTTATTACACTATTCTTTAGCGCTAAAAGTCACTTTGTTTGTCTATTTTTTTAAACCACTTTCCTTTCTTTTTAGGAGATGTATTAATCAACAGAAATTTAGGAAAAATACTCTAAATTATTTCAGTTTTTATTTTGGCTTAATATCTACAAAATAACCAGAGTTAGAGGCATTTTCCCAAAATATATTTTCAGACAAAAAGAAAATTAAAAATGGCCACCGAGAAAAAACTCTGAGCCTTAAATTTTTTTTTAATTACGGCTTTTATTGAACTCTCAATCAAATAAATGTGGAATAACTGGTAAAAAAATTATAAAAATCAAAAATGTCGAGAAACATGGTCTAGGTAGTTTCAAATGGAGTGACCCACTATTAACTCAAATTTTAATTTGTTTTCATTTTGGAATATTGAATTTATTCTGATATGGTATCTGAAATAATGGCAGTCAATTGGAAATGATATGTTTCAACAAAGAATTAAAAACTTGTTGAGTGTTCAGAGAAATTTATTAAAGCTATTAGAAGTTATTTTAAATAAAAATTATGTTATGAGAAGGAGTTGGTCGGGGGATGTGATCAAATAAATACTATATATTAAATTAGTATTTTATTGTTTACACCGACGTTTCGACCCACTTTGTAGTTCTTCATCAGGGCAAGGTATTGGGCACTGCAGGAAGCAGTTGGTAGACTCATTAAGTCATTACCCCCCGACTAACTCCTTCTCATATTATAATCATGGTCTACCATCTCTAAACCATTAAAAATTATGTTAAAGATTTTTTTCCCTTTATTTGCTCTTTACCTTAGGAACTAGCATATAAAGAATGTTTCATATTTTCTGTAGGGTAGTCAAATTATGTTTGTAATATATTTTAAGAAAATGTCTATGCTATTTCACATGTTTTGTGCTATAATTAATGTAAAATGAGTGGGAATAAGATATCGTGATCACACCATTTTTTTCATCACCTGTCATATAGGAGATTTTCCTACAGGTAACCAACCTATTTTAATCTGAGTGGGAAGGTCAGGATTCATTTCATGGATCCGCCACAAAACAAATTTCAACCCACCCAGGCCGAGGAGTGGAGTGGTCAAGGTAACTCGTATGCACAGCACCACACATTGCCCAGCAACCTGATAACTGAAATTATAGAAGATAAAATAAAAAACGCTTTCGCATTCCTTTGCGTAGGTGAGGTAGGGGAGAACATAAAAAAAAACCAACCCATGCCGGATTTGAACCGGTGCCCTTAGAGTTGAGATTTTTATTGTTAAAACTCTCTGCTTCAACTCATAGTCAAAAGGGGCCGAGTGTGTCCTAAAGCAGACGAAGGTGACTGAACCCTCTGCTAAGGTTCCAATCTTGACTCAAAAGGACCTGTTGGGAGTTTGTTTAGTTTAGAGATTGTAATGTATATTTAAGGGAAGATGTGCTAGCATAATTTCCTACAGTTTTCCAAGTTAATTGACAGTCTTCCAAATTGATTGATATGTATGGTTACGGTGTAGTTCCTAAGCGGCCTATCAGTGAGTATGTAGGCATAGGTGTTCATGTTGGTGAGTTTATTTCACCTATATTGTTATAATAATTGTGGATTGTTATAAGTAATTGTAGATATCTTATGTACATGGCCTCTGGTAAGGATTGTATTTTAAAATAGTAATTTGAATTGTAATTCATTGACAACAATAATTATGAAACAGTTAAATTTAATTGTTATTGTTTTAAAATCAAAACTGCCCGAAAATAGGTAAAATTAAAATATAGACATTTGCAATCATTTATTTTGTTGTGCTGTTTTTCTAATGTTTCATATTGTTTTTCTCTTCACTTTCTCAAGGTGTAAAAGTTTGGCATTAGCTAACTAATTTTTAGTTAGCTAAACAGGTAATTTTTTGTAACATTATCTGTGATAAATATACTATTAATTTAGCTATTAACTATAGATTTGTAGCTAATTTTTACAATTAAATTATCTATTAGCTGAAATCAACAGCTATGCTTTTAGCTTTTATGACAGCTAAAACTAATTAACTTTAGCTTTAGCTGTACTTATAACCTATAACTAATTATTTTCTTATTTGTTTGATTCTGAATCCTTAGGCATTCCCTTCAGTATTGTGCTAGTTATTCCTATATTTTATTTTAACTATGGGGAAAAATATTGTTCCGAATGAGCTTGATTCGGCGAATATCTGTGATATGAGGATTGTATAGTGTTCCTTCATCTTCAAAAACGGGAGGACATTCATTTAATTTTGTATTTCAGCGTGAAGATTTACTTGGTATAGTTGAAAGTGATAACGATCGTATAGCAACTTGTGAGCTCAAGCCTAATTCAACCATTTACATCATTCATTAAATTACTTTGCCCCCCCCCCCCTTTGCCATTTTTTTTGTGTTCAACAATGCGGCCTCTCTTAATTCTGTTATTGTTGAAAATTAATATGTAAATTGATTGGGGTCAGAGAATTGCTTTTTGGTGGTCTCAACTTCCCTTCTCCCCAATTTTTTTTTTATGGCTCATAAATCACCTCATCTTAACATTTTATACCACCCTTGCCATGACATGAAAATAAGATAAAAAATGTCTGCATTTGCAATTGATTTTAAAATTCTATTCAATTGTCTTAGGTAAGCATTAAGAAAACAATCAAGTCCTATTTTAACCGTTTTTCAAACAAAAATTAAAAAATAAGAAAGTAAAATATGACTTTAAAAACAGAACTCTGTTTCTGTTAAGGTGTTTTTTATAAGAATGTTATCTACTAGTTTTTAGTTGTAACTGTAGATAAAACTAAGTTGTTAGCTATATGGAGGGATAACTAATATTTCATAGTTAAATGAATAGTTGACTGTTTCCGCTAATAGCTGATTTTGCAATAAGAACTATCTTTGGGCAAACAGATAACAACTGATTGTGGGTGGGGTGACCGAACGGGCTAATGCGTCTGCACAGCACTGCTGTTGCCTGGCAACCTGATATATGAAACAAATTGAAATAAAATAGTCAAGAGTTTGCGTCCCGGTACCAGGGGAGTCTTTTAAATCCCCGCCCACACCCCCTGTCTCGGGAAAACCCCATATAGCCTTAAAGGCGAGGAAGGGAAGGACCAGAAAAAAAAAAATGATTTTTAACTATTAATCTGTTGCTGTTATAATTAATAACATTATACATAATCTTCACCTAACTCAGCTAGATGTGAGATTAATATTTTGTCATTTTGGTGAAATTTTTAACAACAGCCAAATTCGATTACATCAAAAATCTATAATTAGGATTACACATTATTAAGTATGCTCACAAAACTCTCTAAAAATTTTAAAAATATATTTAACCTACTTTTTATTGGCCAGATAAAGGATTTCAATAGCTTCAAATTTTTGGACAAGGACTATTTTAGATTAAAAAAATGATGTAAATTGGTCTAGTAGTTTTTGCAGTTAGTGTTTACCAATGAAAAACGGTCTGTCTTTTTATGTTATAAAATTATATGTAAATGCTGAATTTAGGTATAAGATTTAATACTTAGCCACAATGTCATTGGAACTTTTTTTTTTGAGTGTTGTAATGGACTGTGCCCTCATTAGGCCTATGTACGCCATGAAGCTGTTTTAGATTAAAACATAATTTTTACCGCCTACACAAATTTTAGAAGGCTTGTAGGATTGACAAGCTCATAGCACTTAGGACCCACCAGATTCTCCTTTCCAAACAACTCCAACCTAAGTCTAGCAAACTTGTAACACCAATGTATATGATCACCTGCTTTATCCTCACTGTGGCAGAGCTTAAACAAAAGTGACTCCATCAGCCCGAGTTTGAGAACATGACCGTTTAGTTTACAGTAACCCACAAATAAACTGCCTAGTTTGCCAGACCTCATTGGACTCTTGCATCCTTAGCTGCAGGCCTTCGGAAAAGCACTATTAACTCAGAATATTTCCCATGCTTGTACTGTACCTTTACTTTGAAAATTGGAAGGTCCGTCTCATCTCCACATTTAAATTAAATTATGCCCAAATGTTATTTTTACTATAACTACATTTTAGAAAATTATTTTACTTGTTCTGATATAGACAAACTTAAAGCGTATAAAAAATAATTATAGATATCTTTATTGCAGAAGCGCCCCCTTCAAGACCAATCAATGGTCCAGCTGCACCTGTTGCTATACCTGAAGAAATTCTTGAACCTTCTGCTCCACCTCTTTCTTTTTGTAGTTCGGAATGCCAGGATGAAACTGCACCACTACCAGAAGCAAATAAAGAAGTGTAATTATATTTTTATTTTGCTAAATACAAAAAATAGATACATTAATGAAGGATGTTATTCACATTCCTGATCATATTACATTCTGTTTGTTTTAAAAGGTTCTTGTCAATGTTAAAATGATTTAAGATTTAATTGGTCAATAATAATTATCATAGTTGTAGCTGCATCAATTATAATTTATTAATATCTAAGTTAGTTTTTTACCAGTAGTTACCATAAAATTTAAGTCTGAAATGTCTGCGTTTTATTAATGTTGGTGGTCTTTTGAATTTTGGTTTCACTTATTAATACTGCTCTTGATCCCATTTGTTACAGGAGATAGTGATTTGATGAAAATTTTTACTCCTAAATGTTTAGAAAATCACTGAAAGTCTTGAATAATGTCGAACATGATCAGATATATGTTACTTAAACATGCTGTCAATGATATGATGAACATAACTTCTGTTATAGAATAAAAATGATTAATTGCTAGAGAAATGCAAAATATGTAGTCTTGTTGAACAAAATTATAAAATGCAATATGGCACTAACCCGATTGATTAATTTTATAAAATAATCAGACATATATCTCAATGACGATGGTTGTTCTGATATCTTGGCATGACACGAATGATTTTTAATTATTGTAGAGAAAAGGGATTATTGGACATATCGCAATGTATTGCACTTTGTTTTAGAATGAAGCCTGGTGAAATTATCCAGCAAGTGAGTTACCAAACTTTGATGTATGGAACTGATGATTTCTCCGATGATAAAAAAATTGGAACTGGTGGATTCGGAACTGTTTATTTGTGTAATCTACATTTTGGAAAAGTAGCAGTTAAGAGGCTTCATGATTCTGAGGCGGCTATTCAAGGTTCAGCCAATAAATATTCAATATTAACTAGTTTAAATACCTAACCTGCTTAAATTATTACTCAACTTAATCTCTCTCTCTTTTTTTTTTTATTCTTCTTTCCCCCCACTGTATCTTAGGGCAACCTTATACAAGCGGTGCATCCAATTTCCTAACTTAATTATTTTGCCATGAGTTTAATTAGCAGGATTTGTAACCAAGCTAGGGTAGGTCTACTCCCACTTTGATCTAACTTCTTGAGTCAAAGTGAGGCAAAATTCAGTCTCTCAATTTGATTGGGGCATTAATACCTGGTATACCTACACTAATGGGCTGCCTGCGAACGGAGGGCTGTTCCCACCAAACAGGACTCCAGTCACTTCCTTCCTACTTTTGGTGGGTCTAACAATAACAATAACGGGTATAGCAATTTATGTATAATATTATAAATAAATTTTAAAATAACGATAACAATAATACTACCAGTAATCTAATATTTTTATATCACAGTTGCTGCCTCTCCTGTCATGTTATTTTTTTCAGAAATATCTCCCTCGCATATTTCTTGAAGACTCCATCCGAAGTGTCGCCATGAGTTTGTTTAGGGATTGAAGTGGCCACTCCCCAGCCAGAGCCAGTCAAGGGATTTTGTATAGCGGGCAATCGAATATAAGATGTCTCACATCCTGTACGGCACCACAGCTACAATTTGGATCTTCTCTTCTGTGGAAGAAATTAAGCTTCTCACTTATGTCGCCATGGCACATAAGCTGCTGCACCGTCCAGTAATCCGTCTTGAATGAACCAGGCATTCTCCATTCTTTTTCGTACATTTGGTAAGAAATCATGGGTCAATCTGCCAGTAGTGCAGGCATCCCATTGCCTTTGCCATTCGGAGAAGACAATCACTTCTATTCGGTCAGCTATTTCTTCATACCTACCTCTGAGGCTGAAGTTGGTGTCGTCCTGTAAGTCCCAGTCACAAGTAAGAGAGCCCTTCTTTGTGCTTGTTCTAGGAGTTTCAAGTCAGAACTTTTCAGGTTTTGTCCCCATGCTGGTATCGCATATAGAACAATAAGTAGGAAAACAGCCTTATACAAAGTCTCTCTACAGCTATATTTTAGGCCCCAGGTGGTTCCCGCTATAGCATTGAGACAGCTGTAACGAAATACCTTTCTGCTTTTTACTTCTTTCAGCTGATTAGTAAAGCTGCACATCTCGCCCATCAGTGCCCCTAAGAACTTTATTTCCTGTGATGGTTTTATTATAATATTTCCTAGAATTACTCTTGGAAGGAAACCTGTCTTTCCTTCTTCTTCTTTCTAAATAGAAGGGAAGATGGCTTTAGCCCAGCATCTGTTGTATAAACTGGTTAGAGGACCAGTTAGTGCTGCTGTTGTGTTTCTTATAATATCTCCTCCAATAATGTCTGGTCCAGATACTTTCTCTGGTTTGAATGGAATCGGCTTTGGTCCAAACTGGAGAGGACTGCTACAGAGCACCCCCTAACTTGAAAAGCCTCAAACAATCTGATCCGAGCAGTTGAGCGTTTTCCACAAGAAGTGCTGCGTGGTGCTATTAATGACTGACCATGGAGATTAACTGCCAGTGTCAAGACAAAAGGGGCACATTTTGAGTAATTTCTTTTTTGTTTTACTCTCTATAGATATACATTTTATTTTCTAATAAAATTTTTGAAAAATTAATTTTATTGTTGAAATCTGTACATATTTCCTTATAACAATAGTTATGACAGGTATTTTACCTTATAAGTGTAATTTTATAATATATAACTAATTTTATATGCTTTCAGAATTGACTTGTGATCAATTTAGTACTGAAATCAATCTGTTAAGTGGTGTAATTCATCAAAATATTCTTCCTGTCATTGGTTATTCAAATGATGGCCCATATAAATGCCTAATTTATTCTTTCATGCCTAATGGTTCTCTTCAAGATGCTTTGGAAGCTAAGGTATTTTAATTATTAATGTATTTTTTTAACATTTTTATTTTGGGTTCTAAAGCTATTCTAGGTCCATCTTCATTAAATGTACCTTGCGCCTGTATGTTCCCATTTGTTGTACATGCTTTTTAATTGTTCCTAATGGATTTTTCTTTGCTCATAGTTTTCCTATTACTGATTGCTCATTTTATTTTCTTCTGTTGAATTTATCAAGTTGTTTTTTGGAGCCACAGTTGTGACCATGGCCATATATTGTCATGTGGTTACTATGGTTCCTGAGGATCTAGTATTAAGGTAGTCTATAAAAAACAAAATGATATATTGTAACCCACTATTCTTCAAAACCAGAAAATCTACAGCAGACAGTTACAGAGGCTGAGCTAAAAAGAAAGAGCATGATAGTAAATGTTGGATAGAGCAAGGTGATGCAAATTGGTCATGAAGAGGAGGAAGTTTATAAGGAGCACACTTATCTCAAAGTAGTGCTTAACAGAAACGGGAAAATGGACCAAGAGCTCTTTAACAGGATTAAGCAAGCTAACAGCATATACTACCAGCTATGCAGCACAGTGGTGGGGAAAATGGAATTGGAAAAAAGTGTAAAATTACATATCTTTAAGTCCATATACTTACCTACCCTTATTTAAGGAAGTGAGAGCTGGTTCCCGCTGGACAGGCACCGGAGTAGAGCTACTGCTGCAGAAATGAAGTACCTCCAGAGAATAGCAGCCAAACCAAACCAAAGAGGGACAGACCAAAGAGGAATGAAAGGATACGAGAAGACCTGGGAGTGCCACCTTTGAGAGAAACACTAGAAAAGAAGTAGTTGGGATGGTTTTGTCATCTATGCAGAATGGATGAGGACCGTGATCCTACAAAGTTTTTTGAGGCCAGGCCTACAACAGAATGCCGTCCTCGAGGAAGACCTAGATTGTTATGGATGGACCACATCTCCAGGATTGGTGAAAAGAAGGGGAAGTCTATGAATTCAATGAAGGTGCTGGCTCGGGCTCGGGAGGCTTGGCAGTCCTGGATCAGGGGCACCTCCACGTTGAGGGGCACTAAGGAGGATGGTAATAAAGAAGAAGAAAAAGAAGAGCTAATTCTATTAATGTCAACTTAGAGCTTGTGGGTAATGAGGAATTTACTTGTATGAAAGGAAAGGTACATTTGACATTCATTAGCATATAAATGATGATTTTAAAGGAAGATACATTTGGGTAAGTCGTAGATGAAGAAAAGGCCAATAACACAATTTAAAAGGAAAAAGTGAATCTTGAAAGAAAAACATTATTATACAGATTCTGAACAATTTTTCTTGTTCTCCTTTGAATGATTGAAGAAACCTGGAATATTATGTTCATAAAAATACAAGTTTTTTCGATCTTCTGTCCCACAATTTACTCTTTGTTTTATATTCTTTACTTTATATTTACGTTTCGGCCACCATCAGTATATCTGCTACTCCTATGTACAGAATCTCTTTTTTCTTGAAAAATAATTAAAACTTTATTAATGTCTATTTTCCATGTCAAATATACAATTTAAATTGTTTAATGTGAATTAGTGTTCTTAGATCCTTTAATTTATTATTTATTTGTTTTGAATGTATTTTGATTATTTTATATGTGAATTAAATATAAATTTTCTTTTAAAATAAAGTGACCATTGTCAGTTTGACATGGAAAATAGTTAATAAAGTTTGAATTATTTTTCAAGAAAAAAGACATTATGTAAATAGGAATAGCAGATGTGCTGATGATGGCTAGACGCTGAAGAGTATTTATAAAGTAAAGATTATAAAATAAAGAGTAAATTATGGGACAGGAGATTGAAAAAACTTTTACTTGTATTAACTTAACTTATTAAAGTCCCAACCATTATATTCATAAATAAACTGGAGTATTAATTTTAATTTAAGGTTAGGGATCTTATTGACAGAGGGGTGTCAAAGGTGAAAACCTTACAGGCTAAAGGAAAATATTGTAAATATCTAACATGACAGATATTATGGATGGTAAAAAAAAAAAAAAAAAAAGTGGGCGGGGTGGCCGAATGGGCTAAAGCGTCTGCACTGCGCCGCTGTTGCCTGGCAACCTGACATATGAATCAAAGATATAAAAATAGTTACGAGTTCGCGTCCCGGTGCCCTGGGAGTCTTTTAAATCCCCGTCCACATTCCCTGGCCCGGGAAAATCCCGTATAGCCTTAACGGCGAGGAAGGGAAGGACCCAAAAAAAAAAAAAAAAAAATTGTGACACTATATGTTTATATAATGAAATTATTATGTATGTGGTCTGCTAATTTTTTTTTTTTTCAAGTAGATCACTAAATTTTTATCACATATGTTATTTTGCTTAATCTTTTGAAACAATTACAAATGTTCTTTGTCTAGTATCAGTTTCGATGTGAACTGCACAGGTAAAAACATTTTTAATTTCGATTTATTTTATTATTGCCTTTTATGAACAGTTGATTGTTAATCTTTTCTACTTGATATGTCACCTGCTAGTGTTTACTAATCAACGAAAAATCATATCTGAATATGATGAAAATATAATTTTTAAAATGTTTTTTTAGCAATGCTTATAGTTTAGATTTGTAAGTTATGTGGTTTGAGCTTAAGGCCGACAATACTTTTCATAAATGATACATATGCTTATTTTTTTTTTTTATTAAACACATTTACTTTTGTATCAAAAATAAATGTTTGTTTTTGTTATAAGTATAATATGATTTCTTTAAATAAATTATGTTACCAAACCAGTTTTATTGTTTTGTTATTGTTTTAATATAATTTATACTTTTAGAATAACAGAGATGTCTTAAGTTGGCAAGAAAGGTTCCACATAATGCATGGAACTGCAAAAGGATTAGAATATCTTCATTCAATGGAAAAACCCCTCATCCATAGAGATTTGAAAAGTGCAAATGTGTTGTTGGATGAAAATCTTACTCCCAAGGTAATCATACTGTGTTTCTTCTATTTAACAATAATTTGGTTTGATAAGAAAATAGTTTCAATTTTTTAGTGTAAAGTAAAATTTGCATACAAATGATAAACTTTAATCAGCTATAAATTTTGCTTTTTGTTTGATGACCTTTTGTCATTGTTTTGAAACCATTATTCATGAAAGTTTAATTATTTAAAATGCTTTATGAAGTTGAAAGTTATTGTTGATCAAATCAGTGCCATGTCAGAGCTGTAAGGGTGGCAGAAGGGATGACATTAGTTGAATGATGATTCATTTTTTAAAAATTCACTTGTTAGTAATTATAAAATATTACAAAGCTATTCATTAAGCTATCAAATTAGAGAGAAGAAAATATAATTAATATATAAACTAATGTACGATGTTATCACTCATATGTGTCTCATTTTATCCTCCTTTACTACAAAGATAATGTGTAGAGTTAGTTAAGGGTAGAGGATTAGGGTGCTCCAAGCATAATTGACTGAGGGTGCCAAATTTCTGAGTTTAACTTGTACAATGTGATTTTTAATAATAATAAAATCATTCAGAGATGGGTAAATAGTTAACTGATCAATTATAATGAAACAAAGTTGTCAGGAATTTCAGTCAATATTTTTATGGGGTTAACCGACGTTTCGACCCAAATATGTGAATATGTAAAAATATCGACTGAAATTCCTGACAATTTTGTTTCATCCATAAAATCAGTCAGCTATAAAGCTTGTATTTGTATAAACAAATGTGAATAGAGAAGAGAAAACACTTTTTATTTGAAGAGGCACCGTTGGGTTGTTACATACTCAGCATTCTATTAATTATATTTAGTACATTTGTTTTAACTTTATTTAACCTTTCAATTAAAAATAATGATACGGGTTTACATAAACAATAATGATTAAATTGTGATAAAAAAAAAAATGTTGATCAGATCATAAAAATCACCTTTTACACACAAATTAATATATATTGATATGAAAGTATTCTTTATTAAAGTACACATTTTTTAATATTACATTGCTTTAATAGCGTTAATTGTACACATGGTACCTGCACTATTCATACATATATTTATTTATTTTTTTTGTTCCGTAAGCCAAAATTTTGAATGAATTTCCAAAATAAAGATATTATGTTGCCAATACAAAAATTTTGTTGAAAAATAATGATCAGGATATGAAAAAAAATGAAAATCACTTCATAAAAATCATCAAATGATTTTTAAAAATTCCAGATAAAAATTTTAATCAAATTTGATTTTTGTTTCTATTTTCTTAATTATCGATTTCAAATCCTGTTTATTATTATTACTTTCTTTTTTTTAAGTTAAGTGATGCTTCGCCTATGTAAAATGCATGTATTTTGCAACAGTCAATTTTATAACACTTTTTTAATTATTAATTTTGTTTACATCTTCAATAATTTTAATAAATCTATATTTAAATATTTAATCTATAATTATTGCACTTTAAAAATTTTATGTTATTAGTTAGGTTTCCACTTTGATGAAAAAGTTTCCTTTGTAGGGAAATTCTTATGTTAGGAGGGGGAAAAAGGGATTCAATTTTAGCAAGCAAAGCCAATTATGAGCACAGTTTAATATATTTTTTAATAATCTAAGTAAAACTGACATAAGACGAATAGAGACATATAATATTACGTATTATTTTGTACATATTTGGGTGGAAGTGATTTTTAATTGTTCATTTTGAGGGGGGAAAGGTAGTTCTGATTGACCAGATGGAAATTTTTAAAAAGTATTGTGGAAATACTGGTTATTAGGTATGGTTAACTTTTTTTTTTGTTGTTCTATGAATGAATTCTAATTTATTATGTTAAAAAACAAAAGTTGATGGTAATTCAAAATTTATGAAAAGTATTTTGATTTATTATTTTATGTTAAATTTAATTTTAATATATGTAATTCATCGTTCAATTCTTTAAAACCATTACTGATCAAGAAATCAAATGTATTTATTATTTGATATTTAAAATTAAAATGGTTGAAACTGGTGTTCATATCTTATAATCTTGTCTAGGATTGATTTAGTTGTAAATTTAATCATATTATAAATATTTTAAGATTGAAAATTTAATAACTCTGTGTATTATTTTTTTTTGTTTACTTTAATATATTAATCTTCTATTCACCAAGTAGTTATACTATTGATTTTTGATCTAGCATTTTAATTTATCTGCAATCAGCTTTTCTTTTTTTTTTAAATAGCATCCACATAGTTCAACAGATTTTCCTACCATGCTTGTAATAATGTGTTATTGATCTTTATCAGTTCCAATAAATTTGAATTTTTTGAATTATTCTTTGCACATAATTTTATTCCCGTTTAGGTTTATTTCTTAAACATAACTTCTTAAAGTTAGTACATCAAAACTAATTATATCCTTATTTAAGTGTTGTCTAATTTTAATTTTATTTATTTTTATTTCAATTAAAATTTTGTTTCACTTCTATTACATTTTTTACACCAAGGCTATATAGTTCTTAAGCACAACTCAAGGAAGATAATTTATCTGAAGATCTGTTTACATAAATTATAATTAGTTTTAAATTTTTTTTCTTACTAACTGATCTATGAATTCTAGGTTTGTAATAATAATTATTTTACACATTTTTAAAAATTGTATTTGCCTATTCAAGTCAAGGATTTATTCATACTTTTCTAAAGGGATTTTTGTCTACTAATATACCATTTTTTTTGGGGAATACTTATTTTGCGTTTAATGTATCTTCTTTCTGCATTAATGAATTCAATATATTAGTATTGAGTGGAAAAAAGAAAAAAATAGCTATAATTTACTTGTGAATTTAAATTAAATTTAAATCCTGTATTTATTTTACTAAATGATCAATCAAATTTTACTAAATGAACTTCAGCATCATTAAAAATTAAACAGTATTAATAATTATAATAAAATTAAAGTACACTTGTCTTTATAAATTGTTTTACACTATCAGAAAAGATCAGTTAAATTAAACAATAAACAAGTATTTAAAAATTATAAATTTGAATGCCCATTATAGCTTTTCACAGTACAAACATATCTTAATTCCCAATTTCCCGCCGTACTATATCCACCCTGAAACAGTTTAACCATCTACGTTATCTTCTTCAATTCAAAACCCGTCAACTCCTGGTCTCCTCTCTTGTTTTCCCCCACTTCGACTATGGCTGCATGGTGTACGGTGGACTGTCGGGAGAACTCGAAGCTAAACTAAAACGTTTAATGAATTGCTCAATCCGCTTTATCTTCAGGATCTCAAGGAATACGCATATTACCCAGTTCTACACCAAGTTGAAGTGGCTTTATCCGTCCTACCGCTGTCACTATTTCCTTGCTATCTTCCTATACCAAGCCATTAGAACACGGCGACCCGCCTATATTCTACAGATCCTACAATTCAAACGCTCCTTTCAATCCAGTCACACCAGATCCCGTGTGTCCGACCTCTATCCTCCTCCTCACCGAACTGCTGCATTTGATAAATCCTTTTTAATACGAGTTGTCTCCCTCTGGAACTCTATACCTTCAGATATTCGACACGCAAAATCAATATCCTCTTTCAAATCTCTCCTCTTCAAATACCTACTCCATTCCCAATCCGATTGATCGCAAAATGCACTTAAAAACCTAAGCTGTAAAAACCTCTAAGTACGCCCAGATACTCTGATTACTTTTTGATTCATCGATATTTCGTTTACTTGATTACTTTCTTTGTATATTTTATATTTACTCGTATTTATATCTTTTTATTACTTATAACTTTATTGTATTCCTAATCAACTTGTAAATATTAAACTGTATTTTATGGACACACCAGAATATTAATATATATTCTGTATTTGTAACTTGTTCTAAAGGGACACTAGTCCCAGAATAATAAAATTATTTTCATTCATTCATTTCATTCAAACATAGAAAACATAGCTATATTTGGTGGTTATTGATTCCTAAAATTCCTATGATGTCCAAAAGTGTTCACAGCATGTCCCATACCTGGTAGGACATACTGTGAGTGCGAATATTCGTCATTGGGCCATTAGGTGAACTACATGCCCTGAACGTTTAGGGCATCGTGTAACCGTGGCAATGCACGAACAGTTTTCATTTCACTTTCGTGACTCGCCACTCCCAACACGATCACACAATGCCCTAATTGCCCTGCAGCGCGAATGTTCATAGCACTTAGGGCATCGTGTGACTCCGGCTTTATTTTAATATATATTTTTTATCTAATACACTTTTAAAAAATAAATATTTACATTTATAAAACAAATTAGTTGCCTATAATTGAACTATATGTGCACATTCTCTTATTCAGTCTGTTTGTATTACAAACATTATTTGTATATGATGTATGTGGTGATACATGATTCCCAGGGAGTCAAGTATGATATTTATTATGTTGTCAAGCATAAGCTGCCATTAGCTTATTTAATGACTCACTTTTTTTTATAAACTACTTACTTTTCCAATCTCTTTGTATTATTTTATGTTTTTTATCATAAAGAAGAGGATCCCTGTATTAAACTTTTATTGTTGGGAAGGATTCATTAAAAATTTATTAAAAGTAAATTGTTTAGGACATTATTTGTTAAAGATATAGTAATTTTATGTGGCAATACATGATTTTAATTACACCATTTTGTATTTAAAAGTATTTATATCTGCACATGGGTAATGATTTCATATTATTTTTTAGGTTGGCGACTTTGGTTTGGTGAAGGCTGGAAAACCATTTGGTAAACTTACCATGTTTACTTCCACAGTTGTGGGCACATCAGCTTATATGGCTCCAGAAGCATTTAAAGGAGAAATATCACCCAAAGGAGATGTTTTTAGTTTTGGTGTGGTTAGTGTTTTTTTTAATAATTAACTATATATCTAGTAAGAGGAGCAACATAGTATTTGGAAGGAAAAATAAAATTTAAAAAGTCGGTTTCATCTGTATTTTAAACCAGATATCAAATTAAATTTTGAAGAAAGTATAATGGTAATAACTGAAAATTCATCACATAATTTATATTGTTGGTTTCTTGCAAAAAGTCATTTAATACATTTTTGGTAGAGTTGAACTTTTTTATCAAACCTTATTTATCGATAAAACAACACGTTAACTGCATAAAAATGATACAAACTCCTTTTTTTGTTATATCTACTATATCAATGTTAAGGGCAAAATGTTTTGATTTTAATGAGAGAAAATTCATCAAAGTTCTTAGTGATTTAAGGTTATGAAATTCACTAAAAAAAAAAAAAACTACCATTACAATCCATGAAGACTGAAACCTTCGGTTCAGTACTATTCAGGGAAAGTTTTCTGTTTCAAGGCCTACGGTTGTGAAGGGAGGGGATCAGGCCAGGATCACTCTCAACCGCCAGGTTTTCCCCCATTATCAATTATTTAATTAAGGGTACCCACTTTATAGAGGCTGGGTGTGCCTCAGGAGGGTCTCCCTACCTATAATTTTTCTGCCATGAGCCGGGATTCGAACCTAGGACTTTGAGCACCGGAAGCTTAGTGCCCTACCGCTGAGGTACCCGCTTCCGATGGAATGTCACTAACTTTTTACAATATAACGGAAAATTTAAATATTATAACATATTACGAAAGTAAATTTAAATTACTTTTTATTTACAAATTTCCTATGTAAAAATAAACTGTGTCTCCTGAGATTAACAAACTTTACCATGTCCATGTTTAGTGCTGCTCATAGAACTGCTTATTAGCATATCTCCGCCTAATGAATAAATGGAGCTGATTCTCATCAGCTTTTATTGTGGCTAAGTACAGTCCTTGAGTCCATTGTGATGTGACAGCCTGGCTTCAGTTTTGTTAAATTGCTTAATAGCTAAGGCTTTAAGATAAGCAGATCTGAGACTACCTAATCTTTCTCCCTTTCAGGGTGGGTTAGTCTCCGAAGGAAGATAACTTGAGGGTCAGTGACCTTTTTCTGTAATATGCTACATAAAACCTGTGGAGAACCAGGATGGTCTGCAGCATAGTGTCACTACCCTTCGGCAAACATTACTCATGGAGTTTTAAATATCAATTAGTTAAAAAAAATATTGGTATAGAGATGGTTGACCATGAATTCAATTTCAGAAGAAGTTAGTCGTTTCGACCTACATTGTGGATCAACAAAATATATTAATTATATATAAACAATATATATTAATTATAGAAAATTAAGATTACAGTATATGTAGATGATTATTGACATTCAATTCAATTTGGAAAGGTAATGGATTATAATTATATCAGGAGTATATTAAGGGTAATAGGTAGTAGGTATATTGAGAATAATAGTAATAATAAAAGTCAAAAACATACCATTCCATCAGGCACTGTTGAAGGCAGTATGTCGACTAGTTGTCTGATGTCTGTCAGGTAATAGGAAACTGATAGGTAGAAAGGGACTAGGGGGTTGTAAAGGTAGTTGTTTGTCTCTTACCGAAAAGGTGTAAGTGGGTGAGATAAGAAGGCTATTATACCTAAATTTATTGAAGTGGTAGTTGCGTGCATTAGTCTAAGTAATGGGTTAAATGATTAATTACATCTAAAGAAGGTGGGTCTTAATAAGTATTTGTAAATGTGGGCTAAGGTGTAGGGAATTGGAAATTGTTGAAAGAGGTCGGATTTTTTTAATGTGAACGTATAAGGAGTTGTCTATATATTGTATATATATACATATATTCAATTTTTATAAAGAATGTAGTAGAAGAAAATATGAAAGAAGTGGGAAATGGCCATTAATAGGTTAAAGATTTGAGAGTAGGCAAGGGACCTAAGTTTCAGCCATTTTGGAAACGCAGTTTTTATGTAACAGTCGTTTGAGTGAGTTGATGTAAGTGTTTTTCTGAAAATGGACAAATTGATTATCGAGCTGTCATTAATATTTATTTTTGAAAGGCAATATGCCTACGCAAAACAAATATGAGTTGGATTCAGTGTATGGGAACTCTGCACCATCATTTACCACAGTGAAATTTTGGGCAGCTGAATTTAAACGTGGCCACAAGAGCTTGGGAGATGGTGAATGTTCGGGACGTCCAATAACTGCAACTACCGACGAAAACATCGCCTAAGTTCACGCCAATGCTCTGTTGGCGCCGATTAATTACTGTAGATGAAACTTGGATACACCATTATACGCCCCAAACAACAATACAATCCAAACAGTGGACTGCAAACAGAGAACCAGCTCCAAGAAAAGCAAACACTTTTTTATTAAACGCCTCTGCCGTTGGCTATTAGGCCATTCGGCTTCTGGCAGCCCAATACATTTCCACCATGATTCCTATGCTTGGATTTGTGCCGATCCCATCAGAATTACTGTGGACATCTGACAGAGCAGAGCAAATTGAGAGGTGCAGGTCGTACATCTCGTCCTGTTGGCAAAGAGGGCACACAGGACTTTCCACCACTCCATTCCTGAGTAAATGCCTTTGTAGGTAATTGTGTCCTGTCGCCATGTGTAAAGTGTCCACTGATTCCTTTCCTATTTTTTGTTTGTTCCATCGGCTCCTCTGTTAAAGATTTCCATTTTTTCCCCGCTGCCTGTCTCTTTTGCCAACTCTTGTTCTCTTCCTTGGTAAAGGATTTTAAAATCCTTTTAACTGATTGTTAGGGCAGCGTTTTCTCGGCTGGGAAAATGATGGAGACTGTCTTTTGGGGTAGTCATGGAGTTATTTTAATCCACTATCTTCAAAAAGGAAAAACCATCACAGGAACATACTACGCGTTATTACTTGATAAAAACAGCCAAATTTGCAGAAAAAGAAAATCCTGTTTCATCAATACAACGCCCCTCGTCTCACCCCTCAGTCGTTGCCATGGCGAAAGTCTACAAATTACGGATTAAACTGCTTGACCATCCGCCTTACTCACGAGATCTAAGCGACTTCTTTTTGTTCCCTTATCTAAAAATTGCGCTTGGAGAACAGAGATATTTGTTAAATGAAGAGGCAATCACCTTCGTGAACAATTATTTCACAGAGAAAAACGCTGAGTACATTTTGGACGGGTTACAGAGATGGGAGCATCGCTGGGAGAAGTGTGTAGATTTACCAGGAGACTATGTTGAAATTTTTTTTTTAAATTTCAGAAAAAATGTCTTGTATTTTTGTTAGGTTGGAAACTTTTCAGACCTCCCTCGTATATATATAAAGGTTAATATATTAATTATTATATATTTTATATTATATTATATATAAACAACATTATTGCTCTAAAATATTTTTTTTGTTGCCAGGTTGTTCTAGAAATAATTACTGGACTTCCACCGTATGATGAAGAGCGGGAAATTGTTGATTTGGTTAGTTTCTTATTTTAATTGTGTTTAGTTTTAAGGTAACATTGAAATGCTCGTCCATCTCCTTCATTTATAAAATCTCATCACTTTTATTAATCTTGAATTTAAAATGACATGCTTGTATTTCTAAATTTCTGGAATTATCTTTTTTGTCTATCTATCATGCTTCTCACAATGCTTACAACATAATATTTGGTTTCTTTTGTTGCAAAACCTAGTCAATGACATTTATCTCACTTAATTTAACAAAAAAGACGTCTTGCCTTCCTGTATATTCCTTTATTTTTCACTTTTGTGCAACCGGTTTCAGTCTTTTATCAGATCACCATCAGTTGGCCTGATAAAAGACCGAAACCGGTAGCGCAAAAGTGAAAAATACAGGAAGATGTCTTTTTTGTTAAATTAAATTTCAATCCTGTAACATCAAGCCACAATTAAAGAATTATCTCACATAGTTTTTAATTTTATTTTCATTATCAATTTTTTATTTAATTGACAAGAAACATTCAATTATAAATGTTCCCAAAAATTATGTAAATTCATATTAGTACCCAAAGTTTTGTAAGAAATTTTCCAGTTAGCAATAATTTCTCAATAAATTCATGTCTATATATATATATACAGTATATGACTGATGTGTTAGATTCACAAGTAATATATAAGCTTTAAATTCTAAAAGGGCTTGTAGATTGATAACTAATTTTTTTTATTATTAAAGTTCAAGTTTGATATAATCATAATAAAAATCATGTAACTACCATATGGAATTTTAAGATTTAATATAACCATTATAAGTTTCACAGGGAATATTTGCATTTTAGCTAACAAGTAACAATTTAATTAATATCTCTCTATTATATAAATAAATTTTTAGTGACTGTCATGTTTTATTTTACATATATAAAGTGGAACAGACCGTAACAAACACACTACATTTCTTATTCCCAGAATTATTTCTCCCTTATTATGGTTACATATTGGCAATAAGAATAATTATAATTATATAAATTTGCATTAAGGCACGATGTGCAATATAGATTTTTAAAGAAATTAAAATTTGTCTGATATGTGGTTTCGTTCCATTTATTTTATGTTTATAAAAAATAATGCAATCTGAACTAAAGAATGCATATAAATTACAGTAACAAGTAGTACCATTAAATGAACAGTTATAAAAACTTGTAAAATGGGGTTTGGTCCACCATTAGGTGTATAGGGGGTATCCCTAGTAGTAATATATTAAAAAAATAAGACAGTTTGACAAGTCCAAAAAAAAAAAAAATTGCTCTGTATTAGTAGAATTTCATGATAGGTATGACAAATTAATTTAGCCATAACTTAAGTTTTTTTTCAGCTTTCTTATGTTAATTATTTTGATGTCTTAAGTAATTAAAAACTTTTTTTATTTTTTAGCTTACTTATGTTAATGAAGTTGACGATATAAGTGTACTGGTTGATAAAAGACTGGAACCTGCAAATAAAACCTTTATTCACGGATTGTATGAACTATCTCAAATATGTTGTCAGAATAAGAAGAAACTTCGTCCGACCATGTCAGCTGTTCTGGAATTAATTAGTGAATTGGAGAAAATATGACGTTTTGTACTTAATAAATCTATATTTTTAATATCTTGTTATTTTAACTTATTTGTGGTTTCGAAATAATGGATAGAATATTGAAACATTTGTACACTAAATAGATCTTTACCTTTCTTTTTCTATTTAAAAAATATAAAAGGTATGGCATGATGTGATAATAGTTGCATAAAAATTGAAAAGTATGTAAAATATATACGAATTATTAATGTTATTGATTAATGATGTATTGTAATTATTGAGATGAATATGGTGCAGGTTCACCGAAAGCTTCTCTGGATTTAAGATGTAAAATAAAATAATATAAATTATAGAGACTGTCATTGGTAAAAATTCTGATCTTCAAAGAATATAAAATAGTCTAATATTGCCTAATTGAAATAAAGAATGAAACTTATAAATATATAAATCTTTCTGTTATTAATCACTTATGCCCCACTTAAGTTCCTCATGCACACAGCATTCTAAAATTGTAAAGTTAATTTATTTGACCTATCTTTCAGCACACTGAACCAATACAAATAAAAAAGGTTGAACAAAACTGAAAAGAAATATAGTTCGTGGTACAGACCCTTTTTTATCAACTTATTAACATCCGTCTGAAACTTTGTGAATAGCTTCATCTCTGCGTAACCTACAACTATTTCATTTACGAAAAATATTGGAATTAGGGCGTTTTCAATCTGGAGGTTGGCAAACTTTGTCTATTTAATTAAGTACTAATAACTCGTTAATACCCATTTGCTTTCCACTTGTATAGTAAGAAAATTTCATCACAAAATCGAGAAAAAAGTTGGTGAACAAAAATATTTGACTGTTTGACCTAAATAACATCGTTTTGATATTTTGGTGTTTTAGGTCATGCGAAATGGCTAAATATTTTTGAAGGCCACTGGCTTTCTCGATTTTGTGCTCAAATCATCTTAAGATTCACGTGGAAAGCAAATGGGTATTTACAAATTTTTAATACCTAATTAAATAGACAAAGTTTATCGATCTCCAGATTGAAAACGTCCTAATTCCAAGAATTTTTGTAAATAAAATAGTTGTAGGTTACAATGAGATGAAGCTATTTATGAAGTTCAAGTCAGATGTTAATAATTTGATAAAAAGGTGTCTGTACCTAGGAATAAATAATAGTCAAAATACCAGAGGTTAGGGTTTATATTATTTTTTGAATATTGATTAAGGCATGAATTAAATAATAAATTGAACAAATAAAAGTCACATTCACCAATAAAAAAAGGAACCCTAGGAATAAGGTAATGTCAATGGAGAATACTTTTATTAAAGTAAAATAAGTTTATTAGAAATATATGTACACTTTTAAGTTTCAAAAACAAAACAATAGATATCAATCATTAAGGAAGTTTTCTTCATAGATGGTTCGTAACTTGTTCAGAAATTCTGATAGATTGAGACCATATTTAGCAGATAATTTAATTACTTTATCAGTTCCAACTTCCTTTATGATATTTTCAATGCTTTCCTGAAGAAAAGATATGTTATCAAATTAATAAAGGTCATTCCTACATTTAAAACCCTTAATCCATTTATTTATACTTACTTCAGAATATGGGAGATCTATTTTATTTAAAACGATAAGCTTTTTTTTATTTATTAGATTGTTTCCAAAAGCAGACAGTTCTTTTTTTAAAATTAAAAAAGATTCATAAGGATTTTTAGTCACATCTAATACTATTATAAGGCATGAACATCGTTCAGTATGACGAAGAAATTGGATACCTAATCCTTTTCCAAGATGTGAATCTTCTATTAAACCTGGTAAATCAGCAACTAAAAAAATAAAAGATTTCATTATATAGTTAGTCAAAAATTGGAAAAAAAAAAAAAAAAAATGATTCCTATGATGTAGCTTCATTTATTTGCTAACATTTTCTATTTTGATGCAAACTTCAGGGGATATCCTATGTTAAAAAAAAAGAAGGGAAAAATAGGATTTGGTTCAGTAGGGAGACAAGATTGTTCAAAACACATGTAGCAGATATATTTCTTGCATCTACTTAACAAACATAGATTCTTCATATTCACCTCCCTATAATGTTTTCTTGATAAAATAAAACCTGATTTATACATAAAAAATATACTTCATGATTTTTCTTCATGTAAACAGATAAATTGTAAAATGCAGAAAAATTTTTATCAGCAGTCTTAGTGATTTAACTTAAAATTTATTTATAAGCTAATATATAAATTATTATATGAAATTAACACTATAAGTTTAAGAATAATTTTCTTATTAATGATATTCCAAAATAGCAGTGGATTTCCTTAAACAAGATTTTTATGGCCTCCGGTATATCTGGCTGTTCAAGATCCATTCCTTTCACACAACATGTCCTATTAAAGATTCCCACATTTAATTATCCCATGCTTTTCTTGGCCGAACTTGTCTTCTGCTTCCATCCATATTCCAAAAGTACAAATCCCTTTGCAATCTTCCTCAGCCATTCTTTTTAAAAGTCCATTCCTTTTGAGGTAATTTTTTAGAATGTTTTTCTCTACTTAAATTTTTTGGAAGTAAGAACTTCTTTAGGCACGTTTTCACTCTTTTTATGGAGTGAATTAGATTGAGCCATCAGATCTCCGATATGTAACACTCGGGTAAAGTCGGCTGGAGTCGACTAATTGAAGTGTTTTTTCATATGGATTAAAATGTCTCAGAAACTAAAAATTGGACCCATACTGTAAGAAAGTGAATTGTTCAGCATTTCATTCTCTCTGTAATGGGCTATTATTCAAAATTGTATCGCAATGCGACACCGTCTTAGGGAGGAAAAAAGAAAAAAATAGTGTAGAAAACCAAATGATAAGTTTTATTGAAGATATGGATTAAAATACCTCAGAAACTAAGTCAGACATTCATATTATAAGTGAAGGAAATGTTCAGCATTTCATACTCTTTATAATGAGCTATAATTTATATTTCATATTATTAATCTTGTCTTGCTGATGTTTACACTTCTATCGTGTGGTCTAAGGCACACACCTTAGTTTTTTTTTTCTTATTTGATCCATTCTAGATATTTTGTTGCTTTCTGTCCATTTCCGTAGCTAGGAGTTTCTTTTGAAGATTGCCCCTTATAGTCCACATTTCAGCTCCATAAGTTATAATGCTCAGTATTATACTTTTATACAATTCTATTGAAAAAAAAAATACTCTTAAGGAATTTTTGTAATATCTATAAACTCAGATTTAAAAAAGAGAAAGTAGTTTATGTTAAAAAGCAATAACATTCAGAACAAAAGTATGGCAGGCTTATTGAATGGATTAAAAAAGATATGATAATGATAAGAAAATATCAAAGAAAATTTTATAATGAACCAATGAATTAATAAGGAAGACTCAGATATTAATAATAAAATAGATCTATAAAAATCATGAGTATTATTAAATAAAACTATGAAGTTATTAACAATAAGATTGTCTAATACCTGATATTTGCTCATAGTCGCTATAATGGACCATTCCTAAATGTGGTTGCAATGTAGTAAAGGGATAAGACGCAACTTTTGGTTTTGCCCGAGATATTGCTTGTAATAATGTGCTTTTACCAGCATTAGGTAGTCCTACCTAAATAAGATATAAACGATATTATTAATGTGAAAATAAATTAATGGGGAAATATATAAAGGGAAGGATGGCTGAGGAGGTAACATTTGAATCCTCAATTTTACCAGGGAGATTCATATTTTATGTAACAGGAATATTGAAAGGTACAATATTATATTTTGTTGTCCATTTTTTAATTAATTAACTATAGCATAAGTAGAGAACCTTTTTATTATTAGAGGCCACAATAAGGTTAGACAGAGCTAATAAAGGCCAACAAATTATTTTTATTTTACTTTTGCTATTTTTATTTATCGTTAAATACACACACCCATATATACATTAAACTTAATTCTATTAATTTCAAATTTGTTGTTACTTAAGAAATTAAATATTAATTAATTCTAGCACTAGATTAATAAATATTGTGCAAAAATGTTTTGAGGCCACAACTACGTCGCAGAGAACATATGCGGCCTCCGAGGGCGCAATTCCTCACCAATGAACTTTAGTATTTGTGTATATGAACTTTAGACTTTAGTATTGGTGAGGAATTGCGCCCTCGGAGGCCGCATATGTTCTCTGCGACGTAGTTGTGGCCTCAAAACATTTTTGCACAATATTTATTAATCTAGTGCTAGAATTAATTAATATTTAATTTCTTAAGTAACAACAAATTTGAAATTAATAGAATTAAGTTTAATGTATATATGGGTGTGTGTATTTAACGATAAATAAAAATAGCAAAAGTAAAATAAAAATAACTATTATTTTTTTGCCTCACATAGTATTACATTATATTTATTTGCTAGATCATCACATTGTTTCAAATTGGTATTGTGGAAAGAAAAGTAATTTGGTTTTTTCCAAAATATGAAAAAAGTTCTGGGCACTGATAAGTTAACATTAAAAAATACATTATTCTTAATAACAAAGCATTGTATAAAATACAAGGGTTGTCCAGAAAGTTAGGAATAATTTGACATATCTAAATATACAAAAATGGTATTAACTAAGAACTTTATCAATTAGTTAACCTTACTGTTTTAAAGATAATCAGAATCACTGCTGATGTATTAATTGTATCTTAGTACTACTTTTTCAATGGTGTTATAATTTCAATTGGCTCAACAATTTGTACATTAACACGTTAGCTGCTGAGCATGATATCTCTTAAATGTATTTCCCGACGATATCGGTCCCTGGCGACCGACACTAGTTTTAAGTTCCTAACCCCATTGGACGCCGGAGACATCAGTTTCCAGGTATACCACTATTTTTTACAACAAAGATGAACTAAATTCCTTATTAAGAGTCTCTATCTGTTGATTGTGTCCTCATTAATGGCCAGCAATCATAGGAGTGGACTTTGACATCCGATGCCATTTATAAGACAAGTTTTTTATTATTTCTCTTTATTTCAGTAAACAAGTGTTATTTTTAGGAATATAAATCTTAAATATTGAAAATGAAACGAGAAAAAGTATATTTATTACATATAATTATAATTTTCAAGATAAAATTTATACATTATTTATAGATATTTGGGTATTCACGACAAAAGTTTCTAAAATAAAACTTTTATTGAATAATAATACAATCTGCCTCAATCAAGGGCATTGGGTATTAAGGCTCTATGTACACATTCATACAGTTATATAAAAAATTGAGAGAAAAAGAAATAAGAAGAAAACATGTATGTACAAAATATACAAAATAACGAAAATATAAAATACTAGTAAAAATACTCTCAATAATCGAAATTCGTAGATCCTACTTCTACTGCCTTCCAGCTATGATCTCGTTTAATAACTCCTTGGGCGGGGGCCATTAGGCACTTGTGGATAAGCAAAGTCCGTTTCACATTTCTTCTCAACCTCTGTTTCAGATGCATTTGATGAGGTAAATAATCTTTATCCGTTATCGAATCATCACTTGATACCACATCACACTCACTGCTATCAATTTCCTCTTCTTCTTGGGGAGATAATGCCATAGCCACTAATTTCTGACCACGAGACATGTTAAATAATCAAGGGGAACAGTCTAAGATGAATTCTAGTTCAACTGAAGCCCGAAGAAGACAAGACCATGCATGTGCACTGTCCTGCCATGGCAGAAATATGTGTAGGCCACCGGAGGGTGATACATAATTTTCTAACAGTCTGGTACGGTATCGGTCTCCGGCATCCAAAAACTTTTATCAGATATAATGATTATTTACGTTTGTATCTTTACATCTATCCAACTTCCATTCAAATATTTTTAAAAATTACTATTTTAGAGACTTTGTAGATAGACGAAATTTGAAACAATCACGGCCGTTTGGTAGTCAAGACGAATATCGGACCCCGGGGACTGTAACTGCAGCTAATGTGTTAAAAAAAAACACTTGCAAACAAGTGCATTTACATTTGGTGGGGTTTTTAATTAGAGCCACCATTTTAATAGATTGTAGAACAATCAGGCATGATCCGAAAACTCCACAATAATATTTGGTGGACTATAACGCATGTGATTGTGGTAGTGAGGAACCAGCGCCGAGCAGGATAAACAATTGTTGAAGAGAATTTTTCTTAGTCCTGATGAAGGCCTGGACCTTGGGCTGAAACGTCGGCAAAATAAATATAACTCATCTATTTTTACTTTGTTACTTTTTAACTGAACACCCCAACCAATTTCTCTTCAATATATCTATGACAGCTAATTATTAATCCACTATCATAAACAATTGGTCTTTATTTTCTGAGCAAACCTCGTAACTAAACGTAATAATAAGTAATAAATACCAAGCCAAAGTTTGCCACAGATTTAAGTTCTAATGTGTAGCGTCTATCTTCTCCATTAGCTCCATATTCAGCAACAAGAGGAGTCTGCTTCACATCAGAAGCAAAAAATTTATTTCCTCTGCCTCCAGCTCCGCCTCTGGCTAGGATAAACATTGAACCTTCTTCACTAAGGTCACCCACTACTTTAGAATCACACTTTACTACTGTTCCAACAGGGACCTAAGAAAATAAATAAAAAGTCATTAATTTATTAATCGAGAAAGGCTGTTTACGTCTTGGTTCAAACTTGATTTTATGATTAAACTTTGGCTATATATTAATTTGATATAAGTAAACTAAAAAAGGAGAAAAGGAAAGGAATAATTATAATAACATAGAAATGCTTTTTGGGGAAAGGGAGAGGTCTTCTTTCATTGATCGGTAGCTCCATTTTCAGTTCCACTAACAAGCTAAGGCCTGTTTTAGGTCCCTATGGTTATGATATCATCTGCATTATGGTTATGGTTATGGTTATCATCTGCATAGCCTAAAATTTGAACTGACTTGGTGAGATCTGTACCTTTTCTACATTTACATTTCAGAGCTTCTTGTCACCTTCTCTAGCACTACATTAAATAGCAGGCATGATAGTTCATCTCCTTGTCTCATGTCCCTTGTTATGATTTTACCAAATTTACAAATGTATTTTTACTTATTGAATACTCAAAGGTTGACCGTTGTATATTATTGAGAAAGGAGATAGAATGGGGTGGCGGTCATAAAAAAGATGACTTTATGACCAAGGTATCTTTTTATGACTGCCACCCTGGACCATCTCCTTCCTCAGTATTTTCACTTAATATTTTCAATGTCTGAAAATTTAAAACTGAACGTTTAAAAAAAAAGAAATTTTATAGTTAGTTATTTTAAAGCATCTGTAGTCCTTGGTTATTTTTAAAAATAAATGTTTCTTCTGTAGTATCCTCACATTGATCTCATTGGGATCTCAAATTGCGGAACATCTCACATAAGGCGGAAAAGAGGATAGTTATCATTTAGAAAATTTTGTTAGTCTAGTAAGTAATATTTGTTAATTGATGAATACTACTAGATATGGTAGACGATATTACCTTTACAATAGTGTGTTGGGCGTTTTTACCATTACAATCCTTGTTGAACCCTTTTTCACCATTTTCTCCTTTCAGAATAGGATTTAAGTGATTTAAACTATTTGTACAAGTAGAAGCCTGAAAATTACTCATTTTCATTCAAATTATTTCTTTTAAGCTTAAATTCAGACGAATAATTACAAGAAAAAAAATTGAAAATACCTCAATTAATACATGGCCTCCATTACCTCCATCTCCACCATCAGGACCAGCATGATCATTTTTCCAAAGTCTCAACAAAGATATACAGCCATCTCCCCCTTTACCACCGACTGCTCTAATTGTTTTCACATCAATCACAGGTTTAACCTAAAATCAAATACCTATATTTATTTATTTTTTTGTAAATTTTACAAGTTCATAATTTTAAAAGCTGGGAAATGTACTGACGGATGCTAAAAAAAATATCAGCCATTTTGTTCCAGTTTTTGATAACTATTGAATGAGTCGATGTGAATATTATGTGAAGATAAAATAAAAAAAAATGAGATGCCATTAAACACTTGCTTTTGAAAGACATATCTGCGATCACAGGTTTAACCTACAATCAAATACCTATATTTATTTATTTTTTTGTAAATTTTACAAGTTCATAATTTTAAAAGCTGGGAAATGTACTGACGGATGCTAAAAAAAATATCAGCCATTTTGTTCCAGTTTTTGACAACTATTGAATGAGTCGATGTGAATATTATGTGAAGATAAAATTAAAAAAAAAATGAGATGCCATTAAACACTTGCTTTTGAAAGACATATCTGCGAATTACAAATGAGTGGAACACTGTATGAGACCTCTGCTCCAACATTTACTACCACGTACTTTACGTGACCTGAATGACCCAGCTTGCAGCTTATTTTATTTCCAAAGTCAAGTATTATTTGGAGTGATTAAAAAGATGCATCATTGAGGAAAGTCTTTAGATTTACTAGGAGAATTAAGATTAAAATAAAAAGTAAATTTGAAGAAAGTATTTTGTTTCTATGTTAGGTTGGAAACTCTTCAGACAAATCTCGAACAACATGAACTAAAGAAAGGGTTCAACCCTATTACAAACAATTACTTAAATCTTAATGATTTTATTAAAAAATGCTATATCCACTTCAAAAAGTTTATTTTATTAAATGTATTTTTATGTTATTATAACACCTTATAGATGTAAAATAATAAAAAATGATACAACACAGATGTAAAATAATAGAAAAATTAATCATTTAACAAAACAAATTTAACACATTCAGACCCAATGAGGTCCCAGGGAACGAATGTATACCAGCTAATGGGACCAATGTGGTATCTCAAACCACACACTGTCTAATAAATAAAAAAGGAAAAAAAGTGTTAACATTTTTTTTTATATAATACCATATTCTCTTTTTAATTTACCTCGATATTGGGTTTCATTTATTTTAATGTTAAAAGCTTACTAAAATTACTTAATAATATTAAAGTATACACATAAAAAAAAAAAAATGGGATATTAGTCATTTCGAAATTAGAATGGAAAAGAACTCACAACAAAAATGTATAGTAATTTATTGTGTATTTTATTTATTGATAAGCATTTTAGAACTTTTTTCAATTAAAATATTTATTTTTTGTAATAATAAAAGAGTAGATTTTTTTTTCTTTTCATACTTCTATCCACACCTATCATTATCTTGACAATAAGCAGATGTGATCTCATTGTAAAGAAAATTGGCATTTTAAGCATGAGGAAGATTAGTACCTAGCAGCATCTCTTCCTGGTCTTGGTCTACTTCATAATTCAGGAAAGGAGATCTCTCATCCAGCTCCTCTTTAGTCGTCTCCTGATGAGCATGTTAGCTGTGGCCATGTCGTTGATAAGTCCCTGTAGTTTAAGACGAAATCAGGAGTAGATAGTACATATGTGTTAGTCGATAATCGGTTTTTCTAAGTCAGGTATGTAAAGTTTTGCTGTTTACGTACCAGAGAGCTGCTGTTATTAGTCTTAAAATTTTGGATTGAAATAATTGTAGTTTTTGCAAGTGCGTCTTTTTTGCAGAACCGTAAATTTGTGAGGTGTATGTCCACATGGGTTTGAGTAGGTAAGGGTATGTATTTAGTTTCTGTCTGATTTTCAGTTTTGATTTGGAAAAAAGTGAGTATAGTATATTCAGTCGCTTCTTCAAGGTCTTTTGTTTTATTTTGACATGTGGGGTAGATTTTAAAAATTAAAATTGTTTTTAGATTATTTCAAACAAATTAAATTTTATAATTTCTACGTCACTTATTTACAATATTTTTTTATAAAAAGACTCCAATATAATGTGATTTGTTTTCTCACTAAACCGTATGAATTGCTTCAACAAAGAGGAAGCTTCAGGAATTTCTACTTTCTACTTTTATTTCTATTACTATTATTATTATTATAATAAAACACTCGATTATACCGTCAGGGCAATTTATATGTGTTTTATGATTTGTTTTAACTTTAAACAAATCCCTTTAAAGTAACTTGCTGCAGAATGCTTGTTATGCTTAGCAAGCTCTTGATAAATCACAGGGCTTTGAGTGATTTACATAAATTCAAAAGTGAAGACTTCGAAGTGAGGAACGAAGAACATGGAACATGGGTGTGATCTATATTGAGCTGCTAAAACCTGGCCAGTCCCATTACCATGCATTTGCACAGAAGCTCTCTTCACTTATTGTTTAAATGTTTGAAAATGGTTTGTTGACTAAATCGCAACAGTTTTCAGACTTGGTATTCATAAAACGTCAGAAAGATGGGAAAATGTATAGCCAGTTATGGACCACATTTTTAATTACATATTTTATAACATATTTATACGATAAACATAAATTTTCTATATGAAAATTCTGATTTCTTATTTGTAAAGCTGGAAATTCATGTTGAGAGGCAATTGCAAAATCTACCAAACGTTCACATACCTTAGGGGAACTCAAGACATGAGAACATCAATAAAGACATGACATGAGAAAAATAGCATCGGTATCTACAATCTAAACTGACATCAAGCAGTTTCAACTGTACAACTTAAAATTATATTCTTAAAAGATTGATCAAGAAACTTAAAACAGTCAGCACATATATTTATGTAACAGCACTGAACTTATATAAAATATATATTTCATTTACCTTGATTAACTCTGTTTTCCTTTTAGTAGTTCTTAAAGGTAATCTTTCTATTTCAGTCGAATAATTTTTACTTATAATACCTATTTGCCATCTTGTTAATAATTTACAAATTAAGCTGAAAACAAATCACAGTAATAATAAAATTTATGAACACACAAAAAAATCATAACATATAAAATGAATATAGACATACTAGTTATAGATATTTTATTTTCGATTTGTAATCATTAATCACATATAATTAATGAAGTTTGACATGAAGTATACTTTCTAGAAGTTTCCCAACAACATAACGATGAATATGTATAGCCAACTTTCTACAAAGAGGTTTATTGATTGACTTATATTTAAGCCTATAACAGTACGATTTATCAAGAATATTGGGATGTTGGTAAACACTCAAAAATTCTACTGACTCAATCAAATTATCTGGAGCATGATGCAAAACATTGAAAAATACATCTTCATCTAGATTATTTTTGGAGGCAAATGAAATATCAAAAGAAAACTCAAGAGGGTACAAACTAGGTAGAAACAATCTAAATGAAGTGTCTTCGAAAACGGTCTTCTCATCCCAAAGCTCTTTTAAAGAGACTTTCAATAAGAAAGAACAAAGGTAATCAATATCAATTATGATGGAATTAAGAGCAATATCAGAGCAAATCACCTTCCTACAGGGCATCATGCTACTTTGAATTAGGATGAACCATTCATTATCACATTGTTTAAGAGATAAACTTCCATCAAAACTGAATACTTTTTCAATAAACTCAATAAAATCTTTAATTAATGAATATTGATTTGATCCTACAATTACAGCTTGGCAATGAACACCTAAATCACTAAAATCAGAACCAAATTTTTCAAAAACCAACCCTTCTACAATAAAACAACCATTAAATGTAGGTATTACATCTATCAAAGTTGAACGTAATGAATGAAGTGTTTCTCTATACATGCATGGAGCTTTCATTGAATTATATTCAGTATGATATGGTAAATTAGAAATATTTAAAATATTCAACAGATGACTTGACACAAATTCGTGCAACTTATTAGACAGAAAATATTGAGCACTTTTATGATTTTCTAATGGATTTTTATTAATTGCTAATTTATAGGCATATGATACGGCGAGATTACTGTCACTTTCCAAGGCATGGTAATTAGAAACTTTATTGATGTAATCACTATCAACATATGACAAGGGCAATATAACTTTTTTAAACACATGCATAACAGATGACGTAATAGAAAACTTTTGTTCTCTCCCTCTGTAACCGATTGGATGATAATCTTTGAACATAACATGAGGGAAATAGTCTACAAACGACAATATAAAGGCACCATGTGCAGCCTGTTCAACAATTTGCCAAGTATCATCCCATCTACGATTTATGCCTTCAAACTGTGTACCACCTTGGCCAGCACAGAGTGCAACCAATACTTCACCATCTACTGCTAGAATATTAGAACAGCTTACAAAAAAGTTACACAAAAGTGAACGATTAAGGTGAATTTTCATTTTCCCCCCAACATGAGGGAAGTTAAAAATTATTTTATTAAATTTAATAAACTTCAAATTTGCCTCATCTTCAAGTCTAGTTGCATCTATTCCCAAGAATACTTCAGCGCCTAAAATAATGTTAGATTAGTTATTTTTAAAAATATATAAAAATAAATTCAGAGCTAACAATCAAAATGCATAACCTTCACTTTTTAAAAAATTCACATTATTCACTGCTAAAGAAGATAATTCGTTTTGAAAACAAGTTGTATAGATATTAGAAAATTCAGTAATACCGCATTTTTCTTTCAAAAGCTTCACAAGACAGCAAGAAAACGAAAAATTTCCTTCTCCTAATAGCAGAATTTTATCATGAACACCAAAATTAGTGAAGAAGTTCATTGGTAAATCAGGTTTTGAAGAACACCAAAATTTTTATTTTGGAAGTAGCAGGAGTTTATTTTGTAAAACTAACAATAAAGGTCAAAGAGATCAAATCGCTTTCTTTAGACCTCAGCTAACATTCGGATTTGAAATAATTAAGCAAGTTAACACGACCGAAATTAAATTTCTGGTCATTTTTATCAAATTAACATTCCACCAAAATAATAATAATAATGGAAAACAAAGTATTAGTATGCATTAAGAGATAAAATAATAAGTATTGCATAACTCATTAACCCACGTAAATGACATAAAAGAAAACTATTCTCAAGGGTTTTCTAATGAAATTATGGTTTTCTGGCCTGTATGTACCTCAACTATTAATATTAAAATAGTTCGGCCAGGATATTATTTGCTGGCAATATATTAATTTTGGTGTTTTCTGTGAGTATCCCACCAATAAGTAACATCTAGATAAATTGTAACAACGGGCAGTACAAAAGTATTATTTTTTGCTTGTTTCTCAGTTTTCCATTTCAAATGTAAATCATCGCCTATTACTTTTCTGATGTATATTTTGTATGTATGAAAAGTGGAGGGGACCGTTTAATTATTAGTTGTAAGTACCATTTCGAAGCACAATTTAATATTCTTTAATTTCTTAAACAGTATATTTTCCGCTTTGATGCACCATTTATCGGATCTCCCTCACTCCTCAAATCCATACAGATACTCCCCAATCTTTTCCTGAACAACTCACCTATCTCATTCCATACTTCCGTAAAAAACCTTGGTGTTACATTCGATCAAACCCTCTCCTGAAAACCACTCATCTCCCAAATTTCCCGTCTTACTATCTCTACCCTGAAACAGTTTATCCGTCTCCGCTATCTCCTTCCATATAAATCCCGTCAACTCCTGGTTTCCTCCCTTGTGTTCCCCCACTTCGACTATGGCTGTCTCTTGTACGGCGGACACGGGAGAAATCGAGGCCAAACTTAAACGCCTAATGAACTGCACAATGCGTTTTGTTTTCGGAATCTCAAGAGATACGCATATAACCCAGTATTACACCAAGTTGAAGTGGCTCTATCCATCCAACCGCCGTCTGTACTTCCTTGCTACCTTTCTATAACAAGTCATCAGAACTCAGCGACCTTCCTAAATTTTTCATAGCCTAAAGTTCAAATATGCCATTCAATCCTTCTCACGTCTCTAGATCTCGTACCTCGACCTCTATCCACCTCCCCACTGAACTGCAGCGTTTGACAAATCCTTAATAATTCAATCCGTCTCCTTCTGGAATACCATCCCTCCCGATATCCGACATGTACAATCAGTTTCCTCATTTAAATCTCTCCTTTTTAACCACCTACTCCTTTCCCAACCCGATTGATAACGAAATATAGATAAGAGAACTTTTAAAGTTCCCCAAAAATGATTTTTTTTACTTATGCTATTGGCCACGTTTGTATTATACATATCAGGATGTTTTTAGTGTAATAGTTCTATTTTTTGTTTTATTCTTTTTCCAAAATCTTAATCCTAATAAGAATTGTAAATAATTAATTTTATGAATGGCCACACAGGCATTTATTCTGTAATTGTAATTTGTCCTAAAGGGACAACAGTCTCAGGATAATAAAAAAAATATGGTCATTTTCATTTATGAGTTGTAAGTAAAAAATTCAAAATGCCGTCAAAATATTCTCCTCTCAAAACATTTGATGGCACAACTTGCGCCATGAAACCCCCTTCTGTGCACCCCTGACAACAAATAATGGATATTGGCTCGTAATATGTTTAAATGCAATGGAACATATATACAATTATTACATTTACTTATATGTGTTTAACAATATGAGTCTTTTTCTTCTTTTTGCTGGAAAGCTGTATAATATTTTCTATTTTCGGCAATGAAAACTTCCAGATATACAGCAATTGGTTTATTTGCTGATTTATATGTTAAGCTGATTTTTCCGGAAAATTATTTCCATCTTCAGAACTTAAAATCCCATATTTTCATAGCGATTCATGGCTAAAGTCTGATGTGCTCCTTTTTCATGTTTTGAAATTTATGTTATAAGTAAAATAAAATACAGTTATATTATCTGGAGCATCAACATTCCTATGGACCAATAATTGAGTGCCTTTTTTTTCGCCTTTCTTCGCCTCTTTTTATCTCATAATTCAACTCTTCATATTTCCGATTATTCTCAATACTGACGATTTTATTCTTTTGATGTTATTGATAAGCGCTATCAGACCTACATAGCAGTAATCAATTACCCATCATTTTGACCTACATTTTTGTTCGTTGATGACATTTGGCATTACTCTTTGGAATAAACTTTATCAGTAACCTACCCTAGAGCGGCTCGTGAAAATTTGATTTTATATAATGTATTATTTAATATCCTCTTTTCGTCCTTCTAATAAATTCTTTACCAATCTTCTTTTTAGCCCATGGAAGGTGATGGTTTTTTGAAAATGTAATCTCACATTTGCTTTTTGTTTTAGTTCAGTTTTTATATCTATCCTCATGATTTTTTTAGAACCATTCCCGATACTGTTCTCATATGAAATATGCCCAGCACAAAGACTTAGAGTATATTCGAAATATTGGTATTTCTGCTCACATCGATTCAGGCAAAACTACATTAACAGAAAGAATTTTGTTTTACACTGGGAGAATAAATGAAATGCATGAGGTGTAGTAATTGTCCACTGTAGTATGGAGAATTGTGTATTTTGTGACATTATATGTAATGTGTCTTTTAAAGGTCAAAGGAAAAGATAATGTTGGTGCCACAATGGACTCCATGGAACTAGAAAGACAAAGGGGTATCACCATTCAGTCAGCTGCTACTTACACTGTGTGGAAAAATTATAACATTAATATCATTGATACTCCTGGTTGGTTACCCTTCTTTATTGTCTTTAAGTTGATTTAACCTTTAAGTAATGCAGTGTTATGTGTGGAAATATGTCAATGAAACTATTTTTTCTGCTAGTATGCTATAGTTTTGATATATCTTTGGTTTTATATTTTGTCATAACAGTACTGACTACTCTTAGTGTTCAATGGTAGTTAATTTTTGAGAAGTCGATAAAAAAAAAAAAATTGGAGAATTTTATTATTATAGGTTTTTGAAAGTCAATTTTTGTACTACTTTACAAGTAACCATTATCAGTTATTTGGAATGGCGAAAGTAGCCAGTTGTATTCCATTACTTAAATAGTTACATACAGCAGCTCTTCCTTATCTTGAGGTCTACTGGAATCATCGCCAATTAATTTATTTTGTTGATTAGTTTTTGATTAATGGGGTTATGGATCTTCCATTTGAGCCTTTTTCTCTAATATCACATATTTCTAATATTCCAAAAATATCCAATCCCAACGAGACTCGTAGATTTACCAGTTAGTTAACTCATCATCATCATAATCCTATTCTTCTTTACCGCCTATGCAGTGTGAGGTTGCTTCTGGTAGAGCTTCGACCAGGTGGACCTTTCCAGTACCAGCTCTCGTCTCCTGTTCCATTCTAAACCTCGCTTCTGGAATGCATCTCGCACCCCTTCTTCCCAGGAGATTCTGGGTCTTCCTTTCGTTCTCCTACTATGCACGCGAGCCACATACGTCTTTCTTGCGACTCTGTTCCGATCCATACGGAAAAGATGCCCAAACCTTCTCAACTTGTGTTCTTCTATTACGGTTTCAACCGCTTTGGCGTCGAGATTGACCCGGATAGTAGTATTGCGAATTCTGTCTCGTCTAGTCTTTTCCTCCACCTTTCGCAAGTATCGCATCTCTAGAGCCTGGATCTGGCTCCTGTGTTTCGAAGTAAGTGTCCAGGACTCGGAAGAATACGTCAGTATAGGAAAGAATACTGATCTTTATACCGTCATTTTCGTTTCCTTGGTCAACTCTTTTCGGTTCAGAAAGCCTTTCCTATCCGAGCCGAACATTCTTCCTTCGGCTCCTATTCTCTGCCTTACCTCCTCGTCAATATATCCATTTTCGTTGAGTTGAGCACCCAAGTATTTGAAACTTTCCACCTGCTCTAAAATCTCACTGTCATGCATTTTGTCTTCTCAGAGTTAATTTCCATATTGATTTCTCTTAAATCTTCCTTTAGGATATTAATGTTGTTCTGGAGGTCACGGTCATTCTGGGCCAATATGACAAGGCAGTTAGTTAACTGTTTACATAAAATTTATTTTTTCGTTTTAATCGCTATTATTTTTATTGAATGAATTAGCTGTGTAATTATTGTTATTTGCAGTTATTTTTCTTGGTAATCCTAAAATGGAGATTATTTTAGTCATGGGTACAAAAAAAAAAAAAAATAAATAAATAAAAAAGTGTTTATTTTCGAGAAAGGAATTAACGTATTGGGGAAACAACTGACGAAGAATATCTGATAATTCCAAGATAATGTATAATAGAAATCATCAATAAGAAAAATAATATCGTGAAATAGCATTCAGAGATGTAATAATTACAGGTTTTTACTTATTACTATTTCTTTTTTACAGATCTATAATATATTTACAAGTTCAATTCAAGTTCGAACGCAAGTTCAAGTTCAAGTACAAGTTCGAATATAAGTCAGCTCCTGCTATATAAATGAACATGGTTAAGATTATAGTAGTACTTAAATGGCAGGAAAGTTAATAGTAACTGGCCCAAGAAATCGGTCACCTTCGTTCTCTTTCGGATAAACCCGAACGCATTCGGTATTCCATGAACAAGTGTGACCAAAGTGATCGTGAACCATGCGTAATCCGTGCGGAACTCTTGTGAACTAGTACCGAAATTCCTTTTATATTGTTACGGATAAATTTCTCCTGAAAAATATTCTTTACTGAGTAAACTAATTTTATCAATTTGAATAGATTTATTAAAGAAAAATTGTCTTTGTTCATTAGTAAAATCATTTGGTTGTATCAGCAAGTAACATGGACATTTTTTAGGGAAGAATGATAATTAATTATTTCATACTCTATTGGTATTTGAATGGACAGTTTATTTAATTTTCATTTTATGATTGTTTTAGCTATTTTCTTCTATTTTAGGTCATGTAGATTTTACTGTTGAAGTTGAGCGGGCACTTAGGGTTTTAGATGGTGCTATTCTTGTTTTATGTGCAGTAGGTGGAGTTCAAAGTCAATCACTAACTGTTAATCGTCAAATGAAAAGATACAATGTACCTTGTCTAGCATTCATTAATAAGTTAGATCGCCTTGGAGCTAACCCGAAGAGGGTTCTTTCTCAAATAAAGTAAGTGAATTTTGAATCAAAGTGTTTTAAAAGAAGTTGCTTAATTTTAACTGATCTGTTTTATAATATCTACAGATGTCTTCAAACTTCATATTTGAAGTTGTCAGAAGACTCACTACTATTCTATGGTAATTGCCCAATTACTTGGCATTCTGAAGAAAAACTCACCTTTATAATTTTGCAATATATATATATATATATATATATATATATATATATATATATATATATATATATATATATATATATATATATATATATATATTTTCGAGATAACGCAAGGCATGGGGTTCACATCCACACAACCTGACGTTAATTGTAGTACTGTCATTGGATATATGTCTCATTTCGTCGACTTGAGGTCTCTATGATCGAGACAGGAGGAGTTTATATTATTTATCAATGGTGTTTTTGATCGGCAAGCCTTATCATCGTTAATTCTTCACCAAATCTCAAGATTGAGCCACCAATTTTGAAGGCTTTCTTCTCCTTCAGGCAGCAAAATAGTCCAATCGCCCCGAAAATTGAGGTAAACAAGTTATGAAAGAAATGAAACTTTATTTGCGAATAACTAAAAAAGTACGCACTTTTCCCTGAGTTATTGCCATGATTATATAAAACATTACTAAATTGTCTACAAAAGAAAAAAAAAATTATTGAAATCGGACAATTTTTCGCAAAGATACAGCTTATTGAAATTTGTAAATATGTTGGTTACAATAAATGAAGATTTAAATTAATTTTGTTTTCTTTGTCAATAAAGTAATAATTGACTCCTTTATCTTTTGATACGTTGCATTATTATTCTTATTAATTTGGCATTTGAGAACAATATGCTGTGCAAATTTTTCGCATGGGCCTACTAGTCTCTATACAGATATAAAGCTTAGTGGTATCCACGGGCGGATCTACGGGGAGGGAGGGGTTTCGGGCTGAAGCCCCCCCCCCCAAAATGGTAAAATATAACCATGTTTTATCGAAAAAAATATTTAAAAAGTATCTCTTAAAATATTATTGTTCGTGTAATTACATTTAAAAGGGCTTTAGGAATCACTTAAACACCATTTCATACAGGTAGTTAGTTTCTTTCTTTTTTTCCACAGTAATTATCGTTATTTTTATGAAAAAAAAAAACTTTCGAGCTGAAGCCCCCCCCAAAATCAAATCCTGGATCCGCTAGTGGTGGTGTCTAGGAAAAAGAGTAATTAAAAAATACTCTCAAGAGCACAAGGCTTCACACTGGCAAAATGGTTCTCCTCAAATCTGAAGTTTTTTTTTTTTTTAGTTATAAAAGACTTCTGCCTTATTTCTTTGGTCCTTCCACTACTGGTCACCATATTTTTTAATTCATTTTTGATTTTAGATGTACTTTATATTCAGTGAAGAAGCAATAAAATAGTCAAAATGATAAATAATTTTTTATGTTGCAACTATAATATACATATAAAAGGATTTGAGCCATTTTTTATGCTTGCTGTATTTGTATACCATTAATTAGTTTGAGAACTCTGATCTTAACCCTTGACCTCTCCTTTGTTCTGGGAAAAAAACCTGTATAGCTGAAAAGGCAAGGAAGGAGAGAAAATTTAGTTTTCTGTAAACAATTATATTATAGGTTTTATTGTATATTTTTAAACTAACTTGTTTATATAAATTTGAATGATTATGTTAAAAATTAAAATGGTTATTTATTTATGTTTATTTTGATTCTTTAGGAGCAAATTGGGACACAATGCAGCTTTACTACAGCTACCAATTGGTCTGGAAAATGATTGTAAAGGTGTAATAAACCTTATTGATAGAAAAGCTCTCTACTTTGAAGGAGATTTTGGGTTAGTTTATGTTAATATATTTGTATAGTGTATTTGATTTATATTTAATTAGCATGGTTTAGTTTGCAAACAAGAATATGACAACAGCAAAACAAAAGTTGTTAACGTGTGCAAAAGAGGCTCTTTCACCTCCACACATTCAGTTGATTTGACAAACAATTGATGTGTTTGTTTTCATTTTGCCATAAATGTGAAAATTTGTTTTTAACAATTTGATTGAAAACCATAGATGGGTATAATCATATTCAATGATTATGATTACGATTGCGATTATAATAAAAAAAGAACACAATTATTTGATTACACGATTGTAATAATAACCACAGTTTTTTATTTTTATTATAATCGCGTAATCATGTAATCGTAATCAAAAAATCAAATACATATGAGTTTCCTCATATTGGGGATAGACTAAAAGGAAAACGATTATTACAGATTTTCTACTTTCTTTTAGCTGTCAGGAACACTTTCTATGATTGTATCATCGGTTAACATTTAAACTTTTCCGAATTTTCATTCGCTTTTCCTCTTCTATCCTGTGAACAAATGCTCGGTTTTTCACCACTCCAACAGTTTTCTGACTATGTAAATGTGGGCGACAATGGAGAATTGGTGAAGAAAATTTTCTGAATTTCCATTCGCTTTTCGTCTTTTATCTCATGAATGAATGCTCAGTTTTTCACCGTGTCAAGAATTTTATTACCGTTAAGAGGCAGGTCAATGGAAACAGGATTGCTACAAATTTTCCGAATTTTCATTCGCTTTTCCTCTTATGTCTTGTGAACGAATGCTCAGTTTTTTACCTTAGCAACTGTTTTCCGTCTATGTAGATGTAGGCAAAAACGGGGTAATGTGTAGGCAATTTATTAAATTTTCATTTGCTTTTCCTCTTTTAACTTGTGAATGGATGCTCGGTTTTTCATCGTCACAACAATTTGAAAACTGTTGACCAGAATAGAAATAGACCAGCAGAAACAAGAGTGTTACAAATTTTCTGAATTGTCATTCGCTTTTCCTCGTGAATGGATGCTCAGTTTTTCACCGTTCCAACAGTTTTATGACTGAATAGAAATAGGTCTGTGGAAACAAGAGTGGTACAAATTATCATTCGCTATTCCTCTTTTATCTCGTGTATGAATTGTCGATTTTTCACCATTCCAACAGTTTTCCAACTGTGTAGATGTAGATGAAAATGGAGAATTGTGGTGTTGAAAATGAAAATTTTCCGAATTTTTCACCTGGTCTACATAGTGTGAAAACTGTTGGAGTGGTGAAAAATTGATCATTCATGGCTGGGGTGAAGAAAGGATGGGAAAGGGGATCCTGGATCCAGTGGGTAAAACCCAGCAATAGTAGTTCCATTTTGGAAGGTGTGTTTGGCAGAACATTGGAAAATGTTTGAAGACAAATTAATTCAGTGCCACTAAGGGAGAAACAGTGTTTATAGAAAAACGTTAGCTTGACAATTCATACTTGACTTTATTTTAAAATCAAACAGTGTTTAGAGTAAATAATTTTAGTCTGTCTGAGTCTTTTGATCTGATTGTCAGTTATCCAAACCTGACAATTAATAATTATAAAGTTCAGTTTAATATATTAATATTCTTATCATTTTGTTTTTTATTTAACAACCTCCTATTTCTTTTGGAAGTATCACAACAATACGAAGTGATCTTCCAGAAGTTATATTAAAAGTTAAAATAAAAGGATATATTACAATATATATATATATATACCTTCATTCAAACTGTTTTATGTTTGTATTGACTGTCGGCTCTTATTTATTTTTATTTTATAGCAAGCTAATAGTTAATAATTTTTTTTTTATTCATAAGAAACAACACAGCTATTGTACACATGTTTCCTTGAATATTTTATTTATCAAATGCTTTGCATTCCACAAACAAAAATATTACTCCCTGCCCTCTGACTTTGTTTACCTACCTTTGCTATCTAAAAAGCACATCTGGAAAATCCTCCAGCGACCCTTTTACTTACCTACCTAAGGGCCAGTACTTAATAACTTCAATACTCGAAACATGGTTAGTAAGAATAAATATTAGAAAGAGTTGATCAGGGGGGGGGGGGGTGAAATAAATACTAAATTATAAAAATAGTATTATTAATTTATTACGCCGACGTTTCAACCCACCTTGCAGGTCTTCATCAGAGCTACAAAAGATACAAAATATAAAAGGTACATGGTGAAAATAAAATAAATGAATGTTAAGTAGATATTAAGTAAGAAACAGTTTAATATCTACTTAACATTCATTTATTTTATTTTCACCATGTACATTTTATATTTTATATCTTTTGTAGACCTGATGAAGACCTGCAAGATGGGTCGAAACGTCGGCGTAATAAATTAATAATACTATTTTTATAATTTAGTATTTATTTGACTGCACACCCCGATCAACTCCTCATATTATATCACGGCCAATCACCTCTACATCATTAAGAATAAATATTACTGTACATTTCTCATAAATTGAATATATATTTATATCTTTGTAGTTTGTATAACTTATTACATATTTCATTTGTCTATTAATGTATCATCCATCACTATTTTTACATTTTTAACCATGATGTGTCTTATAATATTATATCTCTGATTGTATTATGCAATTTTCAGCCCTGATGATGGATGACCCACATGCTTGGGTTAAAACTTCTGCACCAATAAAAATCTTTAAATGTAGAACAGTTGACTAACTTCCTTCAATATTCATTATAATTTTCCTTTCTTGATTCTAACTAGTCGCAACTGCAAATGCAGGGAGTGCATGAGAAATCATGGCAACGTATAAAATATTTCTAGTAAACATAAGAAACATGAAACTGAAAAAAAAAAAAAAAAAATGCTGATCTAGATAAAATTACATGTAATTGGTTGCATAAATACCTAAAGCAGATATTAACTAGAGATAGCGCATTAACAAGTAAACATGGTGAGAATATTTACTAAAGCTTGCCAAAACTCCTTTGTCCCTCCCCGCTGTGGAATTTTTCATTTTGGGTAATCTACAGAGCAGCAATTTTTTTTTCCCTGAACTGATTAGTGAAACTATTTTTCAAATTTAAACATCCCCTGACAGCAAAACTAGATTAGCTTACATTTTAACTTTTCAACATTAATTTACTAAACCATTTTTATCAACTTCCAATGTAGGTGTATCACAATATATATATGATGAACGTAGGAGTAGTTACATCTGTAGGATGGATGACAAGGAAAATGTCGAAAATGAAAAAAAAATTTTTTATAGAGCTATTGTTTAAGGAGGCGGAAATTGTTGGAATATGTGTTGCAGATCTTTTCTTTATCTATTTTGTGGTTTACGGGATTATTTTTTTTTTCCAAATTAATAAATATAGCTTCCGAAAGTAGTAATTTTTCGTGGTTGGGAACTGTGGCAAGTATATATATATACATATATATAGATGGGTTCTCAAAATCAAATATGTGGTTGAGGATTACGGCTTGTTCAGCCAGTTTTGAGGCAAACGGATTGTGTGTGGAGATGCTGTAGTAGTGTTGGTATATTCGTTTTTTGAGATAATTTTTTGTTTCACCTATATAGGAAGAATTGCAGCTTGGGCTAGAGCATGCCATACGGTATACTATATTTGATTGTTGTAGGAGCGGAACAGGATCTTTGAGTTTGGTGTATAAATTTCTTAATTTACTATTATTTTTAAAGTACTATGTGTAGATGACGGAATTTGGAAGTTAAAGATTTTTTGAGAGAGGACCATGATGTATGGAATGGATCTGTATTGGTGAATCATGGGAGATTGAGAGCAGTTTGTGGGAGACTGGTGATATTGAGGTTTGGATTGATTTTTGATTACGTTTTCTATTATGTGATGAGGAAAGTCCTTTGATTTCAAGATATTGTGTAGTTTAGGTAGGTTATTGTTGTGGAATTGTGAGTCAGATAGCGTTGGATAGTGGTGAATCAGGTTTTTAGCTACACTGATTTTTCGGTGGTAAGGATGCTGGGCAAAATAATTTAGGAGGCGGCCGGAGTAAGTAGGTTTGATGTACCAATTGGTGGATTAGGTATTATCGTTATTTCTGGAAATGAAGGGATTGAGAAAAGCGAGGGATTAATTTGATTCTATTTCAATGGTAAAACGTAGTCTAGGGTGGTAAACCTTTAAAATAACTGCATCCTGACTATTTATTACCCATGATATAATGAATATTGGTTTAGTATTTAATTGTTACAGAGAGATCATCCGTGAAGATGAAATTCCTAAAAATATGGCAACTGAATCAGAAGAAAGAAGGCAGGAATTAATTGAATGTTTATCTAATATTGATGACACTTTAGGAGAAATGTTTTTAGGTAAACAATTTTTTTTTTAAATATTTAATCATAGTGGATATCCTTTATAATGACATGGATTGTAATAATGTATTGGTATTAAGGACAAATATACCAGAACTGATGATTCAGAAGGCTTTTGTAACATAATTTTTAATGAATAAAGTGACCATCGTTATAATAAATTATTGAATTAAATCGTTATTTAGAATTAAACAGAATTTTAAAAAGTCTATCAGGAACTTAGAAATATCATGAATCAATCCAAGAGCATGTTGAACTTGATGAATCTTTTAAATCCCAAAAAACAACCATTAAATTGTTATTTAGAATTAAACATAATTTTAAAAAGTCTATCAGGAACTTAGAAATATCTTGAATCAATTCAAGAGCATGTTGAACTTAATGAATCTTTTAAATCCCAAAAAACAACCACTATCCACTCATTATGGAATTAACCAATTTCCCAAATATTGTAGGATAAAGAGAAGCCACAATATTCCATTATCAGGACCGATATTGCTCGAAAAGCCTACGAATTTTTAAAATCAATTTGCAATCCTTTTAATGAATTCCAGACTTTATTTTTTTCTTTTGTTATCCCCTTCCTTGCCTTTCCCACCGGGTACCGGGATTCAAACTAGTAATATTTTTCTATTAACTTCAGTTATCAGGTTGCCGGGCAACCTGTGCTGCTTTGCACACGTGTTAGCCCACTCTTCCACTCCACCTCTCCAGTGAACCTCAAACTAATATTTCACAAGGATGAATACAAAGATTCTTTTCCCTTCGTAATATTGTTTAAAAAAAAAAAAAAAAAAAAAATGGTGAAGCTGCCAGCGCTCCTATTGAGTTAATAAATGGTTTTTGATCTATAGTCTACATTATGAGAGAATTATCATGAAGCTGACACAATTAACATAAATGAAACAGTACTAAAATATTTTAATGGAAGTCGGCCTAGAGACAGAATTATAGTTAAGAAGTTCATTACTTACATAACATTATTTACTTTAGAAAAAAATGCATATATCCATAGGTGTATGTATTACTGTTGCTAAATAGTATTGTTATATTTATATTTTCAAATAAAGCATTGTTTTAGGTCCATTTTACTTAAATTTTATTCATTCCCCTTGTTTGCATTCATGTAATGAATGCACAGTCCTTATTGACAGTCAAAGGTGGATAGATAGAGTGACTATGGTTGTTACAACTATTATTTGTTTATAATGACGATCACAAAGTTAATCAGATTCCTTCAAGGTCATTATAAATGACATCCACTGTACTTGTTTAAGTATGCATACATTTTGTCATGTCCAAGCTCTTATTTGCATTGTTTTCCATTTTTGAAGTTTTTTACTCCTCTATAATCCCTCCAAATACAGTTTGAGAGTTGAACTTTTTTATGAAAAATAAAGTTGGTGTTGGAGAAGTGCCTTTTGCTTCCTCACTACCGAAGGTAGGGAAGCATTGTATTCGTGTGAGAGATTAAAAAAAAATTTTGTGCTCAGAATTGAAAATTTCCACTCGCGTTTTACGTTTCAGACATCAAGGATTAAATTTGGTTCGGTGTCTGTCTGTCTGTAGTCAAATCTATGTAACGGGCACATCATCTACTACCATTTACCCGATTTTCATGAAATTTTCAGGAATTGTGCGGGTCGGTGTCTAGATGGTCCCATATCAATTTTATTTAATTCTAACCAGCACTTCCACTTACGGATGCACAAACATATTTTTGTAGATATGCCAATATTTCAGAAACGGCTTGTTCGATTTGGTTCAAAGTAGGATAAAAAAGGTAGGTATTTGTGAAAAAATAATACAGAGTCAATTTTATTGAATTCTGTCCATTGCTTTCTCTTATACATGCACAAAGTTGTTTTCCTTGATACGTCTATATCTCTAAAACCGCGAGTTCGATTTGGCTCAAATTTGGAGGGAATGTAGGGATTAGGAAACAAAATGAAATTGGCATCAATTTTATCAAATTATATCTAATACTCCAATAAAAAAAGTACTTCCGCTTTCAGATCAGGAAATGTGTTATTTGATATGCATATGCCTATAGTTTGAAAACGGCGCATTCGATTTGACCCAATGGAACTTTGGAGAACAGTATAGAAATTACTTAGTATCAATTTCATTGAATTCCATTTCATAACTTAAATTAATGTATATGATTGTTAACAATATAATGACTGTGAAATATGGATGCACTGATCCATTTTAATATTGAAAATTGAATATTAATTTGAAAATTTTAGGTTTTATTAAAGTAATTAATTTATACTGTATTGTTTGGTCAATTCCAAACGTTACTGGCATGTCACTTACTGCCGTTACTTAGATTTCATGTAATTTTCAGGAAATTTTAAGTAATTTTTGCTCTGAATTTGTAAAAAAAAAGGTCCTATTTGTGATTGTGATTGTTTAACCAGCTCTTTGTGGTCTCAATTTTCTCTTTAAATATCAAAATTGTGTCAACTTCACTCATATTTTTATATTAGAGCTTAATTATTTTTGTTCTAACTGAAGAAAAGTATTGGTCTTGTTAACTCCAAACAATAAAAAGTTGAACTTTTCCTATGGATTTTTTGTTCCATCCGTTTTACTAGTGAAAACATGCCTATTAAGTATATATTACTACTGTTAGTGCAAATGTCGTATTTAAAAGTTTTCAATTTGTATTCTATTTTTGACATTATGTAGTCTGCAATTGATATAAGTAGTCTACTACTATGAAAAATAGCAGAGGGCAATAAAATATAAAATTATAATAATAAGTCATAAAGAAATAATTAGTTTTTATGATCTCCTGTAAAACACTCAATTTTTACATACTTCATTTGCACTAACAGTAGCGAGATGCATATTCAGTATGCACTGGAATTTTTTTTTTAATTACAAATTATCATATGCAATCTGGAAATACAAACTTTTTTGCATTTTAATATTTGTTGATAAACAAAACTCGTGGATATAAAGCTTGTATATGTTGAGGGATTACTGAATTTCTGAAAACAGCTTCTTCCATAGATTTTATTCTCATAAGAAAATTTTTAGACCTTTAAATATAAATATTTTTTAGCAAATGAAAACGGTGAGGAAGCTATACTGACCTTACTTGGCAGACTTTTTTTTCCCAACACTACCATTTTTCTTGTTTTTCAGATTTTTTAAGGCATTCCCCATCTCTATTGCCCCTCTAAATTGAGTTATAGGTTTGAGAGTTGATACGCGAATTGAGTTGGTGTTAAAAAATGCCTCTAAGAGATCATGATTTTTTTCTCTCCATTCTGCCATTTTAACCTGTTTTTAAGGCTGTGTCCACCTCAACATTCTCTCTAATTTTTTTTTATCAAGTAATCCTCTACTTCACCATTTCTGGCATATGGCGGAGAGGAGGAGGGAAGAGTTGTTCTAGAGGTGCAATACAACCCAACCTATCTTAACCGGAGTGGGAAGGTCCAACACAATATAAATTTCAGGCCGGATTGGAACCAGCGCCGCCTAAACTCGAAAATGTTAAAACTGGCAACGTTCTAATGTGCTCAACCATCGAGAACTCTCAGCCTCTCCAAATTGAGTTGTAGGACTGAGAATTTTTATGTTAATTGAGTTGATGTTAAAAAAAGTGCCTCTTATGTGAGTTCAGTTGATGTTCGAAAAATACCTTTCAGTGGTCTTAAATTTTTACCTTGCATCCATAACTTTTTTTTTGTGGGTTTTAGCATTTCCAGGATTTCGAACCCCTCTACGGCCCCTCATGATTGAGTTAGTATTAGAGGAGTTCTTTTTTAGAATCTCAACTTTTTTCTTCCACTCCCACCATTTTGCCAAATTATGAACATAAGCTAAGGTAATCATTACAACGTTTTACTTTTTCTAAATGCAATTTTTTGTTTCATATGCCAATAGAAAGACATTTTATATGATAGACTTCTAATAAAAATTGAAGGTTCCTAAAAAAGTTTAAAAAAAGAAGACTATAGCTTCACTTATATAAAATAATGTAAAAAAAATGTTTGTATACATACCTCAACATCAATGATAGTTTTGTCCAATTATTTACTATCCAATATTTGACCCCTTATACTTTGTGAATTTAAAATTTTATTTATTTATTGTTTTGTTTTTGTAGAAGAAAAAGTTCCAACTGAAAAAGATATTGTAGCGGCCATCAGAAGAAGTTGCCTAAAAAGAACTTTTACACCTGTACTTTTAGGTACAGCTCTTAAAAATAAAGGGGTTCAGCCTTTGTTAGATGCTGTTATTTCCTATCTACCCTGCCCTGGAGATGTAAGCAATTTTGCAATAAACAACGAAGAAGGCGTGTAAGTAGAATTATAAGTATGCTGACTTATTTATTCAATCTATCTGTAATTGTTAATCATATTTCTTGAAACAGTATAATACCCTGACCTATTTTTTCTTATATATAACTTCATTTTGGTTCTGTTTACTAAAGTAGCTCTGTATTCATGTAGGAGATTTAAAAAAAAATGTTTTCTGAATAAAATACTTTTTTTTACATCAAGAAAAAAGTTTAGTTCCGTGTCCGTCTGTTGTCAAATTCATGTGTTGGGCCTAACAGCTACTGCTGTTGACATTATTTTCAGAGCTGTCCAGATTGGCACCTAGATCATTTCATACCAATTTCATTAAATGCCATTCAATACTTTGACCTACTCAATGCACCTACACTTTCACCAATCTCAGAGGCCCCTACATTTAATGTTTTATAGATAATGGGAAATTGTATCAATTTTAATCTTTATGTGATTTATTAGATTCTTTTATTAGTATATTGTATTCAGTTTTCAAATATAATCATAATCTTATTGCATTATTGGATCCATATTTTTTTGTTTTACAAATTTCATTACATATACAGAAATAAGGGTAAAAATGTGCTTCCCTCACACAGATTATAGTTAACATGTAGGTGGCACTCCTCCATTCATTTTGGAATGAAGAACTTAAGACATCAATGCTCACATGCCTCACAACTACGAGTAGTTGCTATGACTTTATTACTATCCTTAGAGGAGGGCAGAGCTATAGATTTGCACATTAGTATCTCCATATTGAATTGAAAGTTCTAGATATTATGAAGATCAGGCATATGCTGACAGGAAGTAGTATGATATATTTGTTATGTATTACATGATATTTTTCATACTTGAGCTTGGAACAGTGCATAGAGACCTGACCATAGAACTCATGTGGAATTAAATGTTTATATTTGAACACTACATAAGAATTTTCTTAACAATGGTCTGGGGGAATCATATTCAACTATATATAGTTTTAAAAATAAATGAGCACCTGTTGATATTAATAATTATAATAAGTATTAAATTGATATATACTTTATAATTGGTAAATGGTTGACTGTCGTGGATAATGAAGAGAAGAATAGTTGGGGTGGTCAGTCAAAAAAGAAAGCAAAAATAAATGGTAATATTTATTTTTACATATGCCGATGTTTCGACCTGAAGTTCAGGCCTTCATCAGGGCTAAGAAAATAACCAGATAACAAGGTATGAGAAACATAAGTAGTGATGGTTAAAGAAAAAAAAAATAATAATAAAAAAAATTAAATAAATAAATATAAAGTAAAATGAAATTGTTAGAATAATGACTAAGAACTATGAGATAAATAATAATAACCGTTACAAAGTGTGGAATGATGAAGTAGGCATAATCAAAAAGGGTGACATAAGTGTTACAATGGGAATCTTAGAATAAAATGTAAAACATAAAAAAGAAATATGAAGTTATATAAGAAATGAAAATAAATAGTAAAATTAAGACATTGAGAATTGAGTAGTTAGATAGAAAATTGAGATATTGTAAAGTCTATCAAGATGTACAGACAATGTATAATATAATAAAGAGTTAAAAACAGAGAAAAGGAATGAAAGGAAAGAGGGAAAAAATTGAGAAAGCTGAAATAAGAAAGAAATAAAATAAGTACTACCTGTCTCCTTAAGTGTTGCAGGGAGAATAAAAGTCGTTGCAAGGGAGGGGGAGAGAGAAGAGATGTGTATGTGGCATCATCTTTAACGGTTACCTGATGAAGTTTGAACTAATGGAATTTTCTTAGCCCTGATGAAGGCCTGAACTTCAGGTCGAAACGTCGGCGTATGTAAAAATAAATATTATCATTTATTTTTGCCTTCTTTTTTGACTGACCACCCCAACTATTCTTCTCTTCGATATATACTTTAGCGTTCATGGAAGTTTAAACACTCTTTAGCATTGTATAGTGGTGATACAATGGTGATTTGCCTTGAAAGCAAAAATCCTCAGTTTTCCAATGATAACTTTTATTGAGTAAATTGAGAACGACTGCACAAGTTTCAATAGAGAGAGACTTACCACAAGTCACTGACAGCAAAAATTCAAAATGGAAGTTGAGAATGAAGCGAGTGGTATATGATCTAATAAACTGAGAGCTCAAAAGTTTCTTTATTATAAATAATCATCTAAAGTAAGGAATTGAGAAATTTCAGGAATTAAAAGAATTAGGATTTGTTTAAGGACTTAATTAATCCTTATGTTTAGAAGTTATAAAAGTGAGGCTATGTTGGCTAAATGAATCAAGCGTCATCTTAGAAACTTCGACTCTTACCTGGGTAAGATGAAATTTATTTATTAGTTATTTGGCAATAATTACTTCCAATTGAATATATTTCTATTATCAACGTTACATGTTAACAAGTTGACATTTCGGGATATTTACTCCCATCTTCCTAACTACAATCCCAATAATCTTGTAGATGCAAAGCTTAAAAATAATAATAATGTGCTCCATCGTTAAAATTTCTAATTCATGTTATAAAATATATAATCTAGAGCAACATCTTGCTCTGTGTGTGCCATAGTGAAATATAATTGTATTTCACTATGACAGAAACCCAATTATTGGTCAAAAGCAAGATGTTGCTCTAGATGATAAATTTTATAACATGAATTAGAAATTTTAACGATGGAGCACATTATTATTATTTTTAAGCCTTGCATCCACAAGAGTATTGGGATTGTAGTTCCGAAGATGGGAGTAAATATCCCAAAACGTCAACTTGTTAACATGTAATGTTGATAATAGAAATATATTCAATTGTTACCAATTGGAAGTAATTATTGCCAAATAACTAAGAATATTAGACAACTTCCCAGAAAAAAGAAATTTATTTATTTGTCAGAAATTGCCAGTTCAAAAAAATTGTCCAAAATGGGATATTAAATATGAAATATTTATCAGGAAAATTAAAATTATTTACTGTTAAAAAAATTACAAATTGTTCACCCTTGTCAAATTATATATTCATTTAAAAATAATAAAAGTCAATTAAGTATTATATTAAAAAGATATTTTATAAGCTATCTCTGGCAATTAAATGTCTTTAAATATACTTTTTCTCTAGGGATAAGGATGCAAAAGTTTTACTGAATCCAAGTCGTGACTCGTCAAATCCTTTCATGGCATTGGCATTTAAATTAGAAGCTGGTAGATTTGGTCAGCTGACTTACATGAGATGTTATCAAGGTCATCTTCAGAGAGGTGATTATTTGTATAATGTTCGGACAAGAAAGAAGGTTAGTTTGTCCACTCTCTTTTCAAACTAGTCAAGTGTATGCATGTATTTCTTAAATTAATTTACCCTTAAATACTCAGCAATTAATTATAACTGTAATTTGTTCTGTATTAGCATTGAAAAGGGTTTAATTGGTACTCTGTCTTTTCGAAAAAACTGTATGCTTATGTTACAATTATATGGATATGTATACAGTGATTATATCCATTTAATATTTTAACTTTTTATGTCTCCAATTATTATGTTAGAATAATATTCAGAAAACTAAAAGTATATAGCAAAAGAAATATTATCTTTTCTTCACTTAGTATTAATACTTCTTCTCTTTGTTCCCTTTTAGAATCTTGTGAATTTAATTTTTTTTTCTATTTTCTATTTTTTGGAGCCATGGTTTATCTCATGTTATTCAACCGATCTTGCCATCTTCAACAATCCCAACGTAAACCCTACATTTCTTTTCTTATTTTCTCCTGCTTTGACTGGCTGTGTGGTATATGCTGGCCTCTGGATTGTGTTAGAGGGTAGATTGAATTTGTCAGAAATTGTATGGAATCCCTTGTTGGAGCCATTCTTTCTTCTTCTTTCGATGGCACTATGGTCCTTGCAGAACCCTAGCCTCCTCCAGAATTCTCCGCTATTCGTCCCTGTCCAAAGCAGCTCTTCTCCACCTTCAGACTCCAAGCGTCCTCATGTCCTCCTCCACGTCCTCCAGCCACCGCAATCTGGGATGCCCTCTTCTTCATCCTCCACCAGAGTGTCCGTCCAGGAGCTTCTTCTACCCCGCTCCTCCATGTCCCAGCCACCTAATTCTATTCGGTTTGATCGTTGGAACCATTTCACAAACCATATACCAGGGGTCTCCAAATTAGAACCCATGGGCCAGATCCGGCTCTCGGACACCTCTGATCCAGCCTAGAAAAGTATCTTTGATTGCATGGTAAATTTTAAAAAAATGTGACATTAGTGGTGATATGCATAGTTGTCCCTTATATTCCACTATTCCCTTTTCGTCGCTAAAAGGCTGGTGGTCAGAGTCCACCCCTTCAACTTCTCTTCTACTATTGGGGACATTTAGGAGAGATAGTGGGCCCTTCTCTCATCATTCCCAAAACTCCCCTTTACTCCCCCCACTCGCAACTTATATTTAACTGAAAGAAAATTGTAATTAAAGAAAAATGTAATTATCGTGTTATTATTATTTTTACTATTATTATACTTCTAAAATTATTATTTTTGTTATTATTATACTTCTACCTAAACAAAATCTAGTGAAATAAAACTTCTTGGTTCAAACTATTTTCTGAGTATTTAAGAGGTAGCTTAAAAGAAAAATTTTATTGAGAACGTTATTTTCTCCGCTCCACTTCATAGAATTAGTTTGATAGTAGCCAGATAATGATATATAACTGTTTCTTCTTTTCTTAAACATTGGTGCGAAAACGTGTTAAAATATCGATTAAACATCGAGTAAGTGAAGAAGATAACTGAACTGTTCATATACGTAATAAACTATTGTTGTCTTTTTAAAAATATTCTTATTATGTGAATGATATAAAACGAAAAAGATTTTGCGGAGAAGAGTTACAGTTCCTCACATCTCTTGTTATATATATATCAATAGGATTAGAAATATTATAATAACTTTGTTGAAACATTTTAGGAAAAAAGGTTTAGAAATAAAAGTTCTAAGAACTTTTATATTAATAAAGTTACACAAAAACACATGTAAAATGTAGTCAATTTCAAAATATAAATTAAATGAATAGGTCAACAATAAGTAAACATGATTAATATAATTGAGTTGATGTTTAACAATTTAAAAATATTAAAGTGTAAATAAAAATGAAAGTATTAGATTTATCCAAGAAGAGATAACATAGATAACATTTAGGCTTTGTGTTCATTTGTCAAACTTGGCATTAATATTTGGCATACTATTACAATATTTAAAAAAAATAGATCTTGATTTCTTAGTTTTTAGTTAATCTTAATTATTTAGTAAAATCTTATCTGATTTGAATTCCTCAATTTATCTTCTTTATTTCCTTTTTTTACATATATTATATTTCTCATTTTGTCCTAAACCAGGTTGTATCCCAGGAAATTATTTTATTTATACTACTTTATTCAGAACAAACCTTAATCCATCACCCGAGTTGGTCCTTCAAATATGCCAGATAAACTTTGGCATAGTTTAATGGCTTGCTATGACAACCTTCCATTGAGCCTAATAGAAACATTAGGAAATGGGTGGTAGAGGTCAGCAGAACAAGTAGCAATAGTGAAGTATTTACCAATTGGATTACCGAATGGTGGCAACTGTGTATAATGGCTCATTGAAAATAATTTCAAAACTTTAAATGATCTAAGGGATTGAACAGCACTAACAGTTGTAAAACAAAAAATCAGGGTGGTGTGTGCATCACACAACTTTCACTTACCACCCTTCTTTTTTTTTTTAAAGCAGAAGTAGGTATTTTCAGACAAAGAGAAATTGAAGTAGATAATAAATCAGGTTTTTAAAAATGTTTATTAATGGGAGGGTTGAATCAAGTTATATAAGTCATTTTCATGACAAATAATCAATTGATTATTTTTTTACTCTCTATCAAAGTAAACGTATCAATTGATTATTTATCATAAAAATGACTTAATAACTTGATTTAAATAAAAATACATACATAGCTGCGTTCTCTCCATTGAATTCAGCAAGAATTTCCTCCCAAGCCTTTTTTTTTTTTTGTGTGTGTGTGTGTGTATTTGAAATAGCATCAGTATCTTTATTATCTATTATATCAGCTTTTTCGAGAACTACAGATGTGAGGAACTCTAACTCCTTCCCGCAAAATCTTTTTCTTTTTATATCACTCATATAATAAGAATATTAAAAAAAAGACAACAATAGTTTATTATTTATTTGAACAGTCCAGTTACCTCCTTCACTTACTCGATGATTAATCGATATTTTAACACGTTTTCACGCCAATGTTTAAGAAAAGAAAAAAAGTTATATAACATTATCTGGCTAATATCAAACTAATTTTATGAAGTGGAGCGGAGAAAATAACGTTCTCAATAAAATTTTTCTTTTAAGCTACCTCTTAAATACTCAGAAAATAGTTTGAACCGAGAAGTTTCATTTCACTAGATTTTGTTTAGGTAGAAGTACAATAACAAAAATAATAATTTTAGAAGTATAATAATAGCAAAAATAATAATAACACAATAATTACATATTCTATCAGTTAAATATAAGTTGTAATGAGTGAGGGGAGTAAAGTGAATGATGAAGGGCCCTCTATCTCCCTTAAATGTCCCCTATAGGAGAAGAGAAGTTGAAGGGGTGGACTCTAAACACCAGCCTTTTAGCGACGATAAGGGAATAATGGAATATAAAGGATGACTATGCATACCACAATTAGTAAATAATTGGAACACAAGCTTACTAGAAAATTTATTCCATGAGTTATTGAAGGTTATGCGAGATCTATGGTGTAATTGGCTATAGCTTTTGATTATGTATTTTCTAGTTATTCAAAGTATTTTTTTGTGTTAATTGTTCTGTTTCATAATAAGTTTCTGTTAGTTTGTCCCTTAATTATGTTATTTTTTCATTACTGTTCCTGTTAATTTCATTTTATTGGTGTATATAATTTTGGACTAGTTAGGTTATGTGCTTTTTCATTAGAGTATTTTGTAAAGTTCTTCAGCGGAGAAATATTGGATTAAACATTGTTGTACTTTAAGGTAAGTGTCAGTATAAGATTTATCCAGTTTATTTTATTATAACCTTTTGCATTTACTACTTAATGTTTTTCCACAAAATAGTTTTAAAGTGTGTTAAGGGAAAGTATTCGGTAGCTAAAATTCCATTAAGCTTTCGTAGAAACCTCAAAGACTCTTTAGGAAAATTAGTAAGAAGAACATTTTCTTATTTAAAGGTTAAATCACTTACTTACTATGTTGAATGATAATATAGTAGGAGTGGAACCTCCGAAGGAACAGAAATGTACGATTAAGAGGGCCAGGAAGGGTTGTTCTGTTGCTAAAAAGAAATTGGAAGAGGGCTGTACAGACAGAGTTCATTCTGCAGTTCACTAGAATCTGCTCTAGATTTTTCGCACAAGTTAAGGATTAATCTGTACTTCATTTATACTGAACAGGTTGAAGAGGCATAAGTTCACCTTATGTGGGTTGTTGCTAAGATCTACCTTTCTTTGGTTTTATTGTTGCCAATCATTGGATCTCCTCAAACTTAATGGAGATATTTGAGACGTATATATGATTCCTCTATACCACATCAATTTTTTTATTTCCAGATGAACTATATTTGATAGATTTGTCATTTCAACCAAGCCAGTTTTCAATCCTTTGAATTCATGTTTTCTTCAGATTTTCTGTTATTACTTTCACTTACCTCTATATGAAATATATTGTAAGGGAAAGTATTGCGATCGTGTAAATTTTTGAATCTGAGTTTTCAACAGAAATACATGTTTTGAGTCTCCTGAGTCAAAATAACCAAGTCCCGCAAAATGGTCTGTCTGTGTGCGTGTGTGTGTGTTTTAACAGTCTAGCTCAAAAATGAAAAAATGAAAAAAACAGTCTAAATTGCATATTTAAGGTGCCGGCCTTTGGGTGGAGCAACCAGGGCAATTGCCCGGGAGCGCTGGCGTGGCGGGGGGGGGGCACCAATTAGGTACCATAATACAATAAATAAAATAAATACAATAAAAATACCCATAATGAAATATAAATCAATATAGCATTTATAATTTTTACTTTTACTTCTTCTTTGTCTCAAAATAATTATTTCTACTAATAAGTGGATTGTAATTGAATGTTGTGTGATGCGTGCACCAGAGTTTGTTTTTTGTTAGATTACGATATACTAGAAAATTTGAATCTTATGTGATGCAACTATTCACAGATAGGATAGCTGTTAGGATAGGATAGGATTAAGCTCCATCATTCTTGGCTGCTACAGCTTAAAAAATCATTATTGATGTTTTTTCATTTAATTTTTTAACATTAATTATTATTTAAATTATATTTGTATTTATTAATTATTATGTTGGTATAAAATATTATCAGATGCATGTTTAGTTCAGTACACACCAGTTTCTCCTCACCAAGTGGCTCAAACAAATATATTTAAAACATTGCTCTTATCTTACTGAACATTGTTGTAATGGTGCCATGATTTTTTTTTTTTAATTTTTCCTCTTAATGTTAATAAACCTGGGAACTGAAGTAAAGCTTACCCATGACATGAGCACAAACCTTATCATATCTGAAAAATCACATCTTACAGAAAATATTAAGTTGAAATAACTCCTTATTTAATGGACTTTCTTGTAATACTTTAATAGTCTACCATCTAAATTGGAAAACAGACAATGTAGTTTTGAAAGATGAGAGATAAGATTATATTATTGCCAGCTTTACAAAATTCTCAAAATCTTGATGTTTTCTAGACTAGAATCATTCTTCAGTTAAGCAGCATATCTTCGCGAAATTTTAATTAATTAAAATTTCATCATTTAATTTAAAGAAAAAACATTTGTCTTTTAATTGTGATTTTTATTTTTAGGTCAGAGTAGTACGCCTGGTTCGGTTACATGCAGACCAAATGGAAGATGTTAATGATATTTTTGCTGGAGATATTTTCGCTTTATTTGGTGTTGATTGTTCAAGTGGTGATTCCTTTGTCAAAGATTTAAAAGTGAATTTGGCTATGGTAATAGTTTAAAGTTTTATATGCACTCATTAAGTTGTTAAATGAAATATTAATAAGCAATACTTTAAATCTTTTCTTCTTTTACTTTCACCCATTTGTCTTTCAGCGTAAGGGTGCTCGAAGCCATCGATCCCATCCATTTTTATCCCTGGCAAGGCTCTTTAAAAATATTAAGGATTTATAAATTTTTATTTGTGAAATATTCATTCTGTTTTATTTATTTTTGTTTAAATTCATTTTATTATGTTAAAAAAAGATGTAAAATAAACTTGCTATGATTTTTTTATTCAATGATAAGAAAGTAAGAGATTGTCTAGTATCAATTTCATTGAATTCCATTTAACAATTAAAATTAATATAAATAACTGTTAAGAATGTAATGGCTGTGAAATGTGGAAGGCATCTTATGGACAGGGAGGTTAAGTTCATAATATTGTTTATTAGGTTATAAAACTTTAGACTGTATTCAAAAAGTTGATTTAAACTTTACACTTTTGTTGATTACATATTATTGGTATGATACCTACTGTCATTACTTAGTTCCATATAATTTTCCAGTTTCTGATTGTCCAATATAGATTTTACCGAATCCCGTCCACATCTGAAGCGTAGCCCTAGTCTTTTTCCTAGACTAAAGTATGTGCTCTACAACCCATAAGCATTTGCTATCTCGAATTGTGTCTTTGTTTGTTTCTGAATAAATTTTATGAAGATCAACAAAAACGAAAACACAGATATTTTTTTAAGTGTACATATTTTATTATTTTCAATTACATAATATATTTGTAGATTTAAATTATTTTTTGTTCAGGGATTAGAAAGAATAATTTCCTTATAAACAATTACTTCATTATAAACAATAACTAGTTTTTTTAAGCTTAACAAATTATTTGTGGCTTCAATTTTTCTCTTAAATTTCAATGTAACAGGGCAGGGGGTCATATTTCATAGCTTGATTATTGTTAAAGGATTAGATATAGGCATTATTACATTTTAAGTGTATTAGTTCTTCTTTTCATGTAATTTATAAACTTCACTCATATTTTTATATTTTCCTTATATTGGTTTTTATTTTATATTTTCCTTATATTAGTTTTGTGCCAACTGATAAAAAATGTTGGTTTTGTTAACACTGAACAAATAAACATTGAATTTTGTCTATGGACTTTTGATCCATCCTTTTTTTTATGGAAACCTAACCTACCTATTAATTACATATGCTTGTTCAATATTTTTTTTTTTTTTTGGTTTGCGCTACAGACCATGCAGATCTTTGACCGTGAGATGTGGTCTCCTAGACAACATCCCGATTCCTGATATAAGTATACGGGGAGTAAGGTCATCAGTCCAATACCCAGTACTTAGTACATATAAACTATATCAGTTTAAATATCTGATTTGTTTTTTGTAATCAGAAATACTCAAATACACAATTCAACTGATGATCAAAACTCGGGGGTATCAAATCTGAGAGTGTTAAAGGATTATTGTATTTCGAAAATGGTTTCTCCCGAAGATTTTATTCTCAAATGAAAAATTTTTAACCTTAAAATATAGGAAATTGTGTAGCCAATGAAAATGGTGTGGAAGCTATTCTGACCATACTTGGCAGGCGTTTTTATAAGTTATTTACTTCTTCAGGATTATTGTTTATGGGTTACAAATTTAGAACAACAAATGGTATATTTATTGGATAATGCCTTAATTTTTTATTAATTTTAATTTTATGCCTTAATTTATTAATAGTCCTGAATATTAATGCCTTAATTTTTCAGGAGTCTATTCATGTACCAGATACTGTTGTTTCTATGTCTATTAAACCTAAAGATACCAAGGACCGTGATCAATTCAGTAAAGCTGTTGCACGATTTACGAAAGAAGATCCAACCTTCCAGTTTTCATATGATTCCGATAATAAAGAGACTATTGTCTCTGGTATGGGAGAGCTTCACCTTGAAATTTATTCTCAGGCAAGATTAACATTGATTATTAGATTTGTATTTTATTAATTATGTTAAACAATTTTTTATAACTGAATAATTTTAAAAAAAATCTTTTTATAACTTTTTTTAAGCATAATTAAATTGTCTCTCTTATTTTTATTTATTTAAGAATAAACTTAATAAGAGGTGTTTTCTTTTAATTGATGGCATTTAATAAATCTCATTATACTTTCTAATTCTAGAGAATGGAAAGGGAATATAATTGTCCTGTAATTTTGGGTAAACCAAAGGTTTCATTTCGAGAAACTCTTGTGCAGTCCTGTGAATTTGATTATTTGCACAAGAAGCAATCTGGTGGATCTGGACAATTCGCTAGAGTTATCGGTATTTTAGAGGTAAGTCGAAGAGAATCATCTTAATTGCACTAAATTTTTATATAGGTCTCTGTTAATCAGCTCCATTTTTGGTGATAAAAAACTAAAATGAAGAGAAATTAAATTGCTACTGAAGATAAAATTTAGATATATACCACAAATAAAGATACTGAAAAATAAAACAAGTTATTTAAGTTTCGTTCACTGAGAAAATTTCTGGTACTTGGTTGGATTCTGAATCAAGATTCTTAAAACTTTTAGTTATAATTGTATTACACTATATAATTTCAATTGAAACTTCTGATCATTTATCCTGTTAATTTATAATTATTTTAAAAATGGGTATAAATCATGAACTTTTCTCTTCCCTATATATATATCAATTTATTCTTTCCAACTTTTCGGACTCTTTGTCCATCTTCAGAGACATTACTATTCACTTATTAATGTTTTTCCTTTATTTCCTGCATGTTATTAACATTTGTCTTTTTCTATTCTATTTAACAGTTTTTTCTACACTTAGTCAGTTTTCATTCAATACGAAAACTCTATTAATGCGTGACAAATAAAGTGGGTTTATGTCACTATGTATGTTTCCTTTGCCAAGATTATTAGAATAAACCTAAAACTTTCCGAAAAAGGAAGAAAAAAGAAAATAAGAAATTATCTGTCTTTGTCTATATTTAGATCAATTAATAAGATATAATTGGGTGAGTAATATTGATTTATTTACAGCCTCTTCCTCCAGAACAAAATACACAATTAATTTTTAAAGATGAAACATCAGGACCTAATGTTCCGAAACAATTCATTCCTGGAATAGAAAGAGGTTTCCGTTTTATGGCACAAAAAGGTTAGTTAATATCAAATTCATTTTTAAATGGATCATATGTCTGCCGTTCTTTAGGTATATAAAATATTAACTAATACATTTTAAATTAATATTACAGGCCTTTTGTCTGGTCATAAATTGGCTGGTCTTAAGTTCCGACTTTTGGATGGTGCTCATCATATAGTAGATTCAAGTGAACTTGCATTCAATTTAGCTGCGCAAGGTGCTATTAGGCAAGGTATTCATTTATTTTTGGAATTGAATTTTTTAGATTTAAAAAAAGAAATCATCTTTCAGGCAGGTGAAATTTATTTTTATGACAACTATGTAAACATGTATAAAATACATTTATATTTGTTTTTATAACTTAAAAAGAATGTTGATTATTCATACCTAAATTAACAGGACTAATTTTGTTTATTTGTTATATGAAATTGGGATTTAGTTTATAGTAAAATAAACTGTAATTTGTATATTAATTACATTTTATGATTAAAATTATGTTTTACTTCTTGTTAAATATTTTTGTGGTAAAGAATCTGAAATTAAGCTCTTTGACTTTAAAAAGTCAAACACATAGGAGTTTGTATAAGTTTTCAAGGCCAGTATAATTACAAATGCCAATATTACAATGGTAAAACATGTTTATATTCTGTGCTATTATCTATTCCTAGTTGCACTTTTGATCTGCCTATAATTGCATCAATTATAATTCAATGCCAAGACTAATCAATGCTCAACTGTATATTGATTCATTTTTCTGTGAAATATGTACTATGTACCAAACTTGGTATTTATTTAAATAATTCAGGAAAAGATTGATTGCAATTTTGTTACCTTTGTCTTATTTTGATATGTTACATGGAGAGTCCATAAGTTTCTGTTCTACCTTACTTCCCTTACTTCAAGGATGCTGTGCACATCTATGCCCGCTCTCTCCATATCCATTGCCCGCATTTCCTCTGTTAGTCAGTGTCTAGCCTTTAAGGTTGAAGGAAACAGCATTTTTACAATATTGAATACTTTTTTTTGTTCTTCCATTCCTCAACTTCAGCTATACAGGGTTTCCCTGGACCAAAGGGTGAGAGTAGAGAATTAATGCCAGAGTTAAAAGTTCCTCCCCTCCCGGGTTCATGTTCTCGGGACAAGAACATGTAATTATTTTACCTTTATCTTCCATCAGGTTGCTGGGCATTAGAGAGCCTTACTTCTGCGCAAAGTAAAAGTCTTTTGGATGGTTTGTGTGGACAGTCCTTCCCCTCGTATTCCATTGTAAAATAATGAGCAAAATCATTTAAGATAGGGAGAGTATGTCTTGAATAGTCAACTAGTCGCTCATTGGATGCTATCACTTCTGAAATGATCAAACTAAGCTGAATTGATGTCTGATTGGTGATTAAAGACCAAAGAAATAGCTACAAGTTTGGAGCTTTTAAAAACAAATGTTCTGTGGACCATCAAAGAAAATTTTTATACACTGACAGGCAAAAAATTCCACCCACTTGATTTTTTCATGTTTTCATCTAAAAATATTTCTGCTTTGGATTGGTCTATTGTTTTTAATGAATAAATAGGTTATCTTTTTGTTTGTTTTCAATTAGGAATGTAAATATACCTTTAATAATCAAAATGTGATTGGGTAAGAAAGATTAGAGAAAAAAAATTGAAAAACGAACCATTATTATTCTAAAAGAAATTAATTACATCGTCGTTTAGTAGTGCGTGTTTCCTCCTTTTGCCTTCACTACTTCTTGAAGACGCCTCGCCATACTTTCCACCAGTCGGGAAATGTCCCTTTGGTGGAAGATAGCCCATTCCTCCCGAAGAGTCCTTTCAAGGTCCTGCAGTGTATCAGGAAGTGTTGCACGCGCTCTTATTCGTCTTCCGAGGTTATCCCATAAATGCTCAATGGGGTTCAAATCTGGAGAACGTGCTGGCCAGGCTAAAACCTCAATATTGTTCTGTTGAAGGAATGTCTGCACTATGCGGGCGACATGTGGGCGTGCATTAGAATAGAACGATCGCCGATTTCGTTGAGGATAGGCAACACATGAGGTTCCAAAATCTCATCTACATAGCGAATGGCCGTCAAAGACCCTCCACGAACAACAACCAATTTTGTGCGGCGCTCCATTGAAATCCCAGCCCACACCATTAAGGAACCACGTTGGAAAGGTTGGCTCTAGGAAAAATTACAGGCTGCATATCTTTCGTTTCTTCTTCTCCACACCCTTTCACACCCGTCTGGAGACTGAAGAGTGAATCTTGACTCATCTGTAAAAAGTACAGCACTCCATTCGTCCATAGTCTAATGGCTGTGTTCTCGAGCAAAAGCCAGCCGTGTTACTCTGTGAGTTCTGGTCAACTCTCGTCCTCTTAATGGACGAAAAGCCATTAATCCATACTCATTTAATCTTCTCCGAGCGGTACCTTCAGAAATTTGCACACCTCGAACTTCTTCGAGCTGATGAATCGCTTGAACAACGGTAAGGTGCCGGTTTCGTAAAATTCTCAAAGTCAAAAACCGGTCATCCCGTGGTTCTGTTACCCTAGGCCGTCCAGAACCGGGCCTTCTATTGTAAGAACCAGTTTCCCGAAAACGCCTGACGGCGTCTCGTAAAGTTTCATATGGAACTCCGATGGCATTAGCTGCATATCTAATGGAACGTCCATCATCAATAAGTGCCACACCACGCGCAACATCCTCAGCACTAAGAGGCATTTTTAAACTTAATATTGAAAAAATTAAAAGCCGGAGACTAAGAAATGTGCTGCAAGAAACGGCACTGAACTAATGATACTGAATAAACATTTTGATTCCATAGAAAGTAAACATTGGAATCTAGAATCATTTCATTGAATCAAGTATTAAGGGTTATTGTCCTCTATATTAACATTCCTCATTGAAAACAAACAAAAAGATTACCTATTTATTCATTAAAAACAATAGACTAATCCAAAGCAGAAATATTTTTAGATGAAAACATGAAAAAAGTGGGTGGAATTTTTTGCCTATCAGTGTATAAGCAAAGTGAGCTGCTTAAAAATAGTGTGTTTGCTGCTCCATTGAATTTTTGTATGATTACAACGCCCACTCAAAGAAATTTTTTGAACATAATTGTAACTGGACAATCGTGCTATACTATGACCCACTCAGCAAAAGGGAGTCCAGGAGAAGGACCTCCGCTAAAAGTAAAAGTCATTCTGTCAACAAATATGGTAATGGCTCCCATTTTTTGGGATTGTAGAGGAATACTGCTAATTGATTTTAAAGAAAGGAACTCCTGCATGATGGCAATGAGCTAGCTATTTTTTATGAATCGCTATTCATTGTTACTAGATTAGATATGTACCTTAATTTTTTTGGATACTTTTCGATTTGTTTCTTCAGTGATGTTTGCTTTATAATTTTTTAATAAATAAAATGAGGTAAACTATTTAACTATTAGATATAGTGTATTTTATTTGTTAACGTGGCAATACTTAAGATTATTTCAATTTTTATTCAAGAATTATGCGTATCTACATCTTTTTTACATCTATTAGTTAACATATTGCTACTAGTGTTATCTAATTGTTTTTCGTATAGCACAACACATCCAAATTAGGCTACTAAGGTAATTCATTATGATTTATTTGTCTTTTTACTTCCTGAAATTTCAGAAAAAAAATTTATGTTTTTCAGTTTTTGAAGAAGGACTTTGGCAAGTTCTTGAACCAATAATGTCAGTTGAAGTTACTATTCCTGAAGAATATCAAGGAACAGTTATGGGTATGTATAGTTATATAAACAAATAATTCTTTTAATGAAAATTGGTTTTTTATGGCACACATTATAGTCAACAAGTCAATGTCAATTATAGTAGTCAGCGACAGTTACTATAATGAACCTTTACAGAGGATATGTCAGGTCCCTTTTTTGTTATTTTGTTTATAAAATGGACATGAGTCTAATACTTTTTGATCTAGTATCACCAAAAAAAGTTTCATTGAAATTGGTTACTTCATTTCCACAATCTTCCCTTGTTAGATCTGATCAGTTGAAAGAATATTAAACATAATATCAACCTAATATGTGAAAGTTCTATAAGTATAATCAATAATGTTTAATCTTAATTTTACACTATTGTTGTTAAATTGTTAAAATCGCATTTGGCTGTCATTAAAAATGGCACTGAAAAGACAAAATATTGTTCTATGTCCAGATTTCGCCAAGAGAAAACAAGAAGAAATACAATTTTAATTATTGGTTCTTTTTTTATTTCAATTAAATTTAAAATGTTATTTAATAGGTATCTGTTGTATATTATTTTTATATTTTATCTGAATTTTTGTATATAGTACAATTCTCATTTTTTTCAACAGTATTGGTAAAAAAAATGGTAAGTATTGTGTTTGCTAATATTTCAGAAAGTGTTTGAATGTAAGGTAAGCTGACCAGACGTCCCGCTTTTTTAACAATAAAAGGCGGGACAGTCCCAATTTTTAACAATTTTGTCCTGGGTCCCGCAGCATTTTGTAAAGTCCCGATTTTCAAAAATAATACATGACAAGCTAGGTAACAGCAGGAAAATTGAAAGAGAATATATGATTTTTGGCGGCCATGCAGCTATTTCACAAAGATATGGGTTTTATATTATTTTTTTTATTTTGTAACGTTAAACTTTAATAATAACGAATAATTGTTATGAACTGATTATAAAGAACTGCTAAGCAAAAGTTCCCATACTTGATCAGTTGCTAGAATTCGACCATCATTATTTGGACTTAATGATAATAAACAACCTAAAAATGATCCTTTTAATGGCGTAATGTTATTAAAAATTATATATTCATAAGGAAAAGATTCAATCTTGGGCATCAGCCAGTTAACTTTATTTACTAATTTGATTATCGAAATGTTGTCTCCTTCGATACATTTATAGCATTTTGATAAAGAGATGCTTGAATTTGTACAAACTCGCTAGTACAAAATAACTAAGTTTCATAAACTGTGTTAATATTGAAGTCGTAAATTATATACCAAATACATCATCAAATTATTCTTTCTTAAAAATACACCTTTAGAACTAGATTCTCAATCTCAGCTTTAATACCTTATTTCAGCTGAATACTATGTCACCTGAATAACATTTGCACCAGATTACCATTATGTAAAATTAATTATTGTAACAACAAATTTGAACAAGTTTGAACTTCATGAATGAACCAAATTATAATCAAGAATCTTCTCTTTTCCTCCAGTCAATGGTGTCCTTTACCAATGTTAAAATCTGGTCACCTTTAAAGCATGTATAAGAGAACAATAAAGTCTCAAAACATTACTAAAATATAATTTTTTTTAGTAATAACATTCCTCTTTACTTGGACTTAAATATTAAAGATTTAAGCAAGATTAATTAAACATTTATTATTAATTCATCATTTTATTTTCATAGGTCAGTTAAACAAAAGACATGGCATTATTACAGGAATAGAAGGAAGTGATCAGTGGGTTACTGTTTTTGCTGAGGTTAGTTTGTGATTTTTTACATATTACATACATGTATGTTTAGGTACATAACATAATCAGTTATTAATTATGCTAGTTTATAAAATTTCATTATTTTTGCTGTGTTTATTATTTTTCCTTCTTAGGAAGTTAATAATTATTGGCATTTAGGAGTTATATCATTAGCCACATAAAATAATAGTACCTACCAAAAATTTGAAGATGAACAGATAACTAAAAATATATTGTATATATATGAAAGTTACCTATAAATTAAATGGAAGTATAAAATTGACCCTTAATGATTTAGACTTTGATTAACGCGTAGTTCTCATAGATTGATTACACGTCATGTAGACCATATTTACTGAGTAATTAGTGCTTAAAAAGTACTCATGACTATATGTAGTACCTACTAAGTGCTAATCACAGACCTTAGTTGACAAAACAGTTCTTGGAGAGTTGAGTTGTTTATTCTTACGCAAATTGTCATGTTTACTGTAAACTTTATGGATGTGGGCACTTCGATAGGCAGGATTTAAAAGTGATATATTAAAAAGAATATAACTGAATGAAGATTTAATTTTTTATCCTGAATCGAAGATAGTAGCACTGAACTTAATTTAAAAAATGGACAAATTAATAATTAAAAAAGAATAAGGACGTTAAAAGATTTTATTTCAGTGATTGATTTGCTTGTATATTTCATTTGTAAACTAAACTATAATGTTCTTATTTAAAAGTAAATAACATACAATTTAAATGAGAGTTTTTGTAAATCAAAGTAATTGACATTATGTCAATTATTCACCAAAAAGGCAACATTGAGTTGGAGAAACCAGCTTGGGCAGAAAAGACTGGAAGTCTACTTTCTGACTAGTTTTGGTCAGCTTGATAGGAAATAAATTTTAATTTGAATTAGGTACATACCGAATGTCTTCTCAGGTTTTATTAATGAGTTTATTGTTTTCTCATTTCATCATCCATTATTTATTATGTGTTATGAATTAATTTTCTAATCTAACCTGTGAGATATAAAACCTAAACTTTTATTTATTTATTAATTTGTTTTATAAAAACTAAACTTATAGTAATTCAGTTTAGTTATACAATGACTTTCATTTTTTAAATAATATTTTAATTTTTTTAAATATGATGGCTTTATATTTACAGGTTCCTCTCAATGATATGTTCGGGTATGTATCAGAATTGAGATCTGCGACTCAGGGTAAGGGTGAATATGCAATGGAATACTGTCGCTATTCACCAGCTCTCCCAGAAGTGCAAGACAAGCTTATTTCAGCCTACCAAGAAAGTACGGGTGTTCTTCCTCAACAGAAGAAAAAGAAAAATTAATGATAATTTTATTTAGTTGCTTTTTAATTTACTTAAACAATTGACTTACCACTATTTCTCATACGATTTTAATTGATTTTCTTGTTTTTTAAACATGATAATTTAAATTATCAATTATTTTTTTTGTTATTTATATAACTTGTGAGATCCTGAGAAAATTCATATTAAAATGCTATGTTCACTAACTTTTATTCATTAGATAAGGTCGATAACATAATATTATTGATATAAATAAAATAAAATAACAGTATTGAATACAATTAATTGTGATGATTGTAAATATTAATTGTATTTACTCATTATGTTTTACATTTTTATAAAAATTGATACAATTCAAAGGAGTTGTATTAAAATGGTGAATGATCTTGACCACAAAATAATATGAAAATCAATAATAGGTTTGTTTTTTCCTTATCAATTGAATTTATATCAATAACTTGACCATGCATTGTCAACCACTCAAGATTTACTTACTTTTCTGTATGCTGTGTACAAAGTTTGTATAGTATAAGGTTGGCAAATAAGTTCTTTCTTAAGTTTTCTATTTATTTTCCTTAAAAATTATAGTATAATAATGACCCAGGTTTGAATCTGCGAGTGAATTATTTTTTCTATCTACAATACTAATAGAATAAATAATGTTAATCCATTGTAATTAAAACAGTGTTGTGTTTGTTTACTGTTGCCCAGTTAGTATAGAAAGAATTATTGTGCATCATGCTGATATTTTAAAAAAGAAATGACCCCATTTTGATAAGCCAAATTTTATGCTGGAAATTTTGATTTTAAACTGCAATGATCCAAATAATTTCAGTGTCATTTATGATCAAAATTCACTCCAAATTTAAGAAAGACCCCAGGGGCAAGTGTGAAAAATGCTTAAACTATTACCTCAAAATTCACTGTTGAATTTTATCAATTGTATAATAGATATGCGTTCATAATTTTAATGTTGGAACCTCAATAGTTTAGGATTATTAGAGTGATGAATTTTAATTGAGAGTATCTTCTTTATTACTACTTATTATTACTTCTTTATTAATCCTTTATACTCTTTAATTGAGAATATAAAGTAATTACCTCTTTGAAAATTTATTAAAAAAAATAAGATAAGATAAGATAGAATTAGCATTAACCTATCTCTAATAATCGCATCACCTCTATGAATGGAATTGAGTTTCAAGATAAGATGAAATAGGAGTAGTAACCTAGTTTTGTACATGTGAGCTTCAGGTATTATCTGATTGTGACATTTTGACGAAGTGAAAAATTGATGGAATTCAAACCCAGCAATAATTTTGGTGTTATAGATTAAATTAAACTCCATGTATATACTCTCTTTTTCTTAAAAAAAATATTGAAATAACACATTTGCCAACCTATTACTGATTTATAAATAGCGTATTATATGTTTAATAATTTATAAAATTATTTAATATTGTAGTGAGAACCTGTTGTAGATAATCATATCGTGTTCCTATTACATAGGAGAAAGATCATTGATAAAATATATTTTTAAAACTATTCTGTGATATTACTAGGTATTTATAAATAAAGATGTTTATGAAGTCCATCACATTGATTTGTTTTCTTTCATTATAACTTTACATGGTTGTTAAGGCTAAAAAAAAAATCTGGTGCAGTGCGCGCATCACATAACTTTCACTTACCACTCTCTTCTTAGCAGAAATAAGTATTTTCAGACAAAGGAGAAATGAAAGTAAAAATTATAGACGCTATAATTATTTATATTTTATTGTGGGTATTTTTATTTGTATAACTACCCTTATATATACAAATTTTAATATTTATATAGGTGAAATCTATACAAATAAATATTAATTAATACCAACAATAGCATTTATTAAACGGAGTCTGTATTATATTAAGCTCATGTTACCTATAGAAGACTGTTATAATCTTTCGGTCAAGCTCGGGTAAGATCAATTACAACTATTCTCAGCTACAATTTTTTATTTATCCTTTAGTTAATTATCAAATTCTTTTATATTTTATATTTAACTGTCTTTTACATTAGAGATTAATGTGAAATAGTCAATCGTTTCAAATAAAAAAAAATTAAAGGTATTTTAGAGAAAGCTAATATTGAAAATTAGCTATTTAAGCCCTGTTAGAGAACATCAATCAGAATAAAAACCAAATTTTATTTAAAACTGCTTAATTTTACACTTATATAATGACTTTAATCAAAATTGTTTGAGCCGTTTTCGAGAAAATTGTAAAAATGTGTTTAGCCTGTGATATAAAGTGCCACTTCCGGGTAGTCGATTTTTACGAAATAGTTACTGTAACATGCCTAGCATATAAAAACCTTAAATATGCTATTTCACTTTCATACGACTTTTATTTTTTGAGCTAGACTTAACACACACATACCTACAGACCATTTTGCGGAACTTGGTTATTTGAACTCAGAGGATCTCAAAACGTGTATTTCCATTGAAAACTGAGATTAAAAAAATTTCACAATCGCAATACTTTCCTCTACTATATATTTCATATATAGGTAACTGAAAGTAAAAAGAGGTATTACCTACTTCAAAGAACATCCAAAAATTTTATGTCTCATATATCAGTATTATAATTACATTTTATGAATGAGTGTTGATTGCTCCTTGCCACTAATATTAGCTTGGAATTTATAAGAACATATGTTATCTGAAAAGGCAAAGTTATAACTCCATTCTACAGTAGTCCGACAAATTTTGTAAAATTTTCCATCTTGAAGACAAAGGTCATTAAAAATCCATTTCTGCTCATTATGGCGATCTGCTTACTTTGGACATCTTTCAGCTAGTAAACTAACTGTTGAGAACCATCTCAGAGTAATGGGCTAAATAAAAAATTGGAAGATAGTAATTTTCCTTAGAAAGGCGAGAAAAAAAAAATACTAGTATTTGCAAATATAAAAATCTGGTGTGTCCACTCACACGACTTTCCAATCTATTTCAGAAAAGTTTTTATATCTTTACATATGTCCATCAAGAAACAAAAAACAATTGAATTAGATTTATTTTCATGAAAATTGATTTAAAAAAATATATTTGAGTATGATTTATTTGATAAACTAAAGCAATGTAAACCGGCTTAAGGTAGATCAGTGTAAAAATTTCAATACCCTCTAATATTGTTGATCAAAAAATTTTTGCCTTGGCCTAATTTTGTCAAACAATAATTTCTGTTTAAAATAGAGGCAATAGTGAAGCTTGTTTGTTGCTGGCTACAGATTTTCTTACTTTCACTTAATCATCTTTTTTCTCTCATTCACCCCTTTCTGACACCAGGATATGAAACCGTAATCTTACATTGGTAACTGAATAACTATAACTTCGTTAATAGTTGTCCAAAATTTTTATATAGTTTTGTAGGGAATTTCAGGGAATGAAAGGTGATATTTGAAAACAAACAGGCTAAACGGTGGACTCAGAGGGCTCCGAAACATATAGATTCATCAAAAACCACATATCGGAAGTTTTACCCGATCGCAATACTTTCCTTACCTGGTATAGATAGGAAAGTAATAAATTAAAATATGTGCGAAAATAGAATAAGTTGTATCATCGCTAATACTGGTTCGATTCCAATGTTTTTCTTGGTAATTTAATTACCTTTCAAAAGTTTTATTATAAATTTTACCATAGAAAATATATTAGCAAGTTAGGCTCCAAAACATTTTTCTTTTCTTTAAAATTTGAAAGGACAATTATTAGAACATTATAGGAAATTTTCATCAAAATCATTAGAGCCGTTTTATAGAAAAACATGTTTTTCATTTATTGCGCATGGAGCACCCAATTTGTACCATAGGTATCAGTAGTCAAAACCATACAAAATAAAAAAAAGAAGCAACTAAATCGGTTCACTAGTTCCTGAGAAAATCTTGGAACAGACAGAGAGACCAATGGCAAAAATGTGTTTTTTGGACTCAGGGGGCTCGGCTTTGAAATGTAAAGATCCGTCGAAAACTTGACCCGATCGCAATACTTTCCTTACCTAGTATAAGTAGGAAAGTAATAAACAGAGCCACTGATTATGGAATTGAACCTCATTTTACAAATTAAATCCAAACAGTAATATCTGCTTATAAATTTAATCACATTTAAACAAGATCTCTGTGAAAAGATTAAATTTACTCAGATTACATTCCATTAAATCCATCAAGAGATGTTTAAAGGTGCAACGAAATTGCTGATTATTATAGACTTTACTACAAAAACTTACATCTTATCTAGAGACAGTACTCTTCCCAGATCCTAAATCCCATTAGAAAATCTTAAACAAATTTCCTGTTAAGTGCACCCTATACTAATACCCAATCTCCCCTCCCAACCTTAGCAACTTTGCAGGTTATTTTTGGAATGAGCCTCAGCCCTTTTTCCTATTACATTAAATTTAATTCTGATAACTTATTTTATTTTCTTGATGACTTAATTGCTCCTGAGCACAAATCCCTTAAAGATTGCTATAGCAAAAAAAAATCCTGTTAAAAAATATGTCTTCCTAGCCGTTCTGTACTATAACGTTTCCCTGAAAAATTGTTAAAAAATATGGCTTCCTAGCCCTTCTATACTATAACGTTTCCCTGAAAAATTGTTAAAAAATATGTCTTCCTAGCCCTTCTATACTATAACGTTTCCCTGAAAAATTGTTAAAAAATATGTCTTCCTAGCACTTCTATACTATAACGTTTTCCTGAAAAATTCAATTTTTTCTACAGCATGGAAATAGTACTCTTTTGTCTGCTTTATATAATCTCTTTTTCTATAGTTAATATTGAAAAAAAATTTTTATTCCTAACCCATCTCCAATCTTGAAAAAAAAATAATGTTCTTTTTAAAGCTTTTCAATCGGCTTTATTAAAAATTACTCGACATTTATTACTATACAGAGAATCACTATCATGTTCTTTTTTTAAAACCTTGACCCTTGGATTGACCAATTTTCCTCTCCTAAAAATACATACCTTTAAACTGATTCCCTCAAACCAACCTCATTATTCACCTAAATAAATGACAACAGTTTATACATAATTTTGAATATCAATTATATGCAGATGACTAGCGATTCTACTCATCCTTCACCTTTTCGAGGCGTTTTTTTAAGCTTTAGGATGATATTAAAACCATCAACTGAAGAAAAGTAGTGCCTGAATCCAGTGATCCTCATTGGTTCAAAACTCTTATCTACAATCTAATGCTGAACATCAACACTTTTTAAGTAATATTGTAGCGTTAGGAAAAAAAAAAATGAGTTCCAACTTTGTAGCCACACTTTGCCTAATCCCATGACCATGAATAAAGTATGGTATCATTTTTCCCTACCTTGACTACAGGTATTTGGTGTATCAAAGAGTGAATAAGACGACTATGCAGATAAATGAATTGCCTTGAAGAGGGTTTTATCCTATTTTCAAATACCTATGTTTTGGATCCATCCCTTCTGATCAATACAAATACACAAGAATAGAATTAAAATTTGACAGTGCTATTGCTATAGTAAGATTCATGAAGGTTATATGACTTTGAAAGAACTTTGGGTTCAGTATTGAAACAAGAGGGATGGCTTTGATGATGGCCATGTTCATTTAGATTGTTAAATCTTGATATCAACTAGAAAGAGATATATAACAGAGATTGCAGCCATATTAATTCTAAAATAAAATTTTCAAGTTCTGGAAAAGTGAACCTTTCCTTAGCTTGAGTATCTTCTATTGTTAAAACAAATAGTAAATTAAAATTGATAAGGGAATATGTTCAACACCTTTAAATAATTGACTATTATTTACTTCATTAAATCATTTTCTGAGTAACATTTTACAATGGTCACAAAAGAAAATTGTGACAAAAGGTAGTTAGTTAGTGGTGTGAACATCTTAAAAAAAAGAAGGTAAATTGTGAAGTATGCAGTAGCACCCCTGGCATTTCAATATATCGTCGGCACCATGTTAAAGTAACGAATCTTATTCTACCCAACATTGCGCATTCGTTACTTTAACATGTTGCCGACGATATAAACAAACTAGATTATAAATCAAATCAATCTTTGGATGGATTTTATTAATTAATATACAATATAATGTACAATATTAACAAAAAATTGTGTTGAATTTACAGTGTTAAAACACACTTATAACCGATCATTTCATCTAAACATATGTGTGTCTATTTACATATAATATTTACATTCTATGCTACACATCAATAATTTACAATATATTAATAATATATAACTCTTTAAAACACAGTCGCGCGCTCACACACACATATTTATATATGAAATACAGATATATTTCAAACTATTTAACATTCTATAAACAATGCAAGTAATAATATTTTATTTATTGGTTAATATTCTCATTTAATAAAATAAAAGATTACATATTCTGTACAAAAGGAACTTTTTATGCATGCCTAAAGTGCTTGTGCAGAAGATAAACAAAAAAAAAAAGTTAAAAGAAATTGTTATTTACAGGAATATAAAATTAACATTTTTAAGTTTATTAACAGAAAATTATTCTTGACCAAAGCCTTCAGTTTCTTCAATAGCATAATTGAGTTTTTCGACAAGCTGATCATAACTTTTATATGGCGGGAGATCTAAGCGATTAAAGCATGTATGAGATCGAGGAAGCCATGTCTCTTTGCCAACTTTTTCGATGCAAAACCTTTGAGGTCCATTGCTTCCTAAAAGTGGTAATTATAACAATGCATTAATAATATATGACAGAAAATAAAGAGTTTTTGCTTATGCATCTAACAATTTTCTATAGTTACATCTATTTCCTAATTCTATAAATATAGAATATTCTAAACATATTATTAATGGGTCAAAAGTGTAAGTGTAGATTTCAATGATAAAAAATTTGAAAAAATGTACTAAACAAAGTAATAATTTTCACAAATATTTTAATAGAGCCAAGATAAATTACTTCGAAACTATTCTTAAAATTGTTAATTTATATATAAGATTTTTAAATGGAATAATGTCAGATTATGCCAAGTTCGATGATTCAGAAGTCTTTTATAAATAACATCATTTTGAATGGATATAGCGACAGTTGAACTCCTAAAAACCATCGTGTTTATATCTCACTTATCGAGGAAATATTTCATTTCATTCGTCCTCTATGTAAGAATCACATTTATAGGGCCAATTTCATTCCCACTCTTAGTGTTAAATTCATATTTCTGTTAAGTTTGATAAGAATAACGAAGGGCAATAAGTTTTAGAAATAAGAAAAATTCTATATATAGAATTTCCAAGTCGAATTCAACCTTTTCCATTTCAAATTCAACCTTTTTTATTTATTTTTAATTTTTCGATGTATGCGTCTGTTTTCGTATGAGTACTTTTTGAAAATAACATCCATTTTAAGATTACACCACTCCGTTTTCATTTATTCGATATTAGGGTCTACTTCATATGTAAATAAATTCGAATAGGTAGAATAAATCATTATCCTTAAGTGTAACATAAAATCGATAGTATTTTGAAAAACGCTTAGAGGAGCATAATAATAGACCTTCATAATGGAGAGAGGGAGAATGGCCCTTATTTAAAAAAAAAAAATCAAAAATCAACAAAAATTCGAAACATTAATTTGAAATGAAAGCGGTTGAATTTGAATTGGAAAAGGTTTAATTTGAAATGGAAATGGTTGAATTTACTTGGAAAAAGTTTAATTTGATTTGGAAAAGGTTGAATTTGACTTGGAAAAAATTGAATATGACATAGAAATATTACACTGAAAAAATCTAAAACGTTAAAATAAATGGATATGCAACCGCATTATCATAATTATTTTTGTATTTTTCAAAAGCTATGCCTTCGATAATATAGTAAGTGGCCTTCATTTGGAAAAAAATCGAAAATTGACAAAAATTCGAAAGTTGGATTTGAAATGGAAAAGGTTTAATTTGATTTGGAAAAGGTTGAAATTGACTTGGAAATGTTAAATGTTGCCGATTGGAGACTGAAGAGTCTAATAATATCTTGGGTCAAGAATTCAACATATAGGGAGGATATGCTGAATCATTTATATCCAAAAAACAACGACTACCTATCTACTCACGACAAAATCGGTTCTTCTTAATATTCCGCTATTAGACAACGAGCTACCGACAATTTTATTATTCTTAGGAAGGACTTATAGCAAGTAACCATTTTAAATTCTAGATAACCCTCAGCTGAACACACAACTTCGGTCAGTCAGTTGAAAGCTGTTGCTTTCTACATGAAAATTTAAATTAACGAGGCGAAATTTGACGGTTCATTTAACAGAAGAACTGACAGCTGAAATTTTGATATGACGTAAGGACTATATTCCTAAAAGATAATTCCCTTTGACTGACGACATAAAAGTCAAGTTACATTAGGGCAGTCAGATGGTAGTTGGTTGAAGAAAAAATTCAAATAGTCGGTTTCTCTTCGGTTTTTTTGGGATACCGAATCTGAATTTGAAGTTCCAGAATGAAATGTTCCATTGCGTATTGATATATACAAAAACATCGAAATTTTCCAACTTTTTTTAGTTTTTTTGGACATGACTCCGAAACTGCATTTTATCGAAATTATTAATATATACAACATTAAAGAAGACAAAATTTACTATCAATTTTATGCATAGCTTTTTGATGTAGGGCTAACAGGTGAGGAGTAAGAGAATATTGACTGCTTGCATTTTTCACATGAAAAACCTATTTTTGTCAGTTTTCCCCAAAACTCATAATCTATGCATATATCGAAGAAATTCAATATAATCAATTTGAGAGAGCATTAAGCTTTGTGTGTACCTCATACAGACACGTTAATATATATGAAGATTGAACGGCTGTTAAAACACAGAGAATCGAAGTCGCATTTCCCTTTCAGTATCTGCCGCTCTCAAACTAAGTTCTTATCTTTTCAATGCTTTATTTTTGGCTAATCTAACTATTTTATAACAGAAATAGAATGTATAAACAAATTCCATTGCTTTTATATATTCTATTGGTATGAGAGACTTCAATATGCATAACAATCATCACAAAATTAAGGACCAAAATGTGTTTTAAAGACCGAGCGGTCCAACGACATTTCACTTACTCGCATATTACGATTCTACATAAGCATGAATTATGTGAAGCTGCCAACGTTATCTTTCAGTTAACAAATGAATAGATGTATACTTACAGATATTAAATAGTATTGTTATATTTTTATTTTTTAAAAAGCACTGTATTAACTCCATTTTGCTTAAATTTTGTTCATTCCCTAGTTTAATTCAAATATAACGGCCAGGGCCATTATTTGAATTAAACTTAAAATTGGATTGATATACGTTATACAACGATATAAATATAAATATGTTCGGGTCGTCTATAACAAACATTATAACAACAAAATTTACCATGTCTCTTAAGGTCGTTATGAACGACATCCACTGTATATTAAATCCAATTTAAAAAGATTATTTTCGAACTATAAAAAATCCTTGACTTTTCCCGGTTTTGAAAATTCCTTTACTTATCCAGGTTTTCCAAGTCGGTCGCCACCCTGAAATCGAATGAAAGAAACAAAGACAGGATACGGAACACCACCATATGGGCTAATCTCAACGTCAAACCGGCAGAGATCATTCTGGAGAAGCACAAACTAAAGTGGTTTGGACATCTTAGAATGGATCCAGATAGAAGTGCCAGGAAGACTTACCAGACCCACATGGAAGGGAAAAGAACCCGAGGAAGGCCTCACATCTCCTGGGAGGACAGTGTAAAGGAGGCATTCAGGAAGCGCAGAATGGATTGGAATAGGAGAATGGAGTTGGTGCATCAGAGAGGCAGCTGGGCCAGACTTCATAAGCAGAATCCTCACACCGAATGGCGGTGGAAGAGGGAATGATTATGATAATGATGATAAATTAATTTCTTAAATAATTAAAAAAAAAATAAACATACCCATAAGTTCTGCAAAGCCTCCGACAGGAACTCTACATGTTCCAGTGACAAACTGCAACAGTCTAGCTCTTTTTTCACTGTCCGTTTGACGAACAAACTAAAACAGAATGTAAAAATTAGTGCTCAACGTAATTTCATGTCATTTAAACATTTATAACACCAGGATTAGGGAAATGTGAAACCAATAAAGAGATATAAAATAAATTTCAAGTGTAAAAACTGAAGTAAAATTAAATTTTTTAAAACTTAAGTTATGTACTTAGTGCATAGACAGCAAAGCACAAGGAAATTGGACAAATAAATCTAAAAATAAAAAAATAAAAAAGTGATGATAGATCATGCTGAAAACAAGATGAATTTATTAATAATCTTGTATGAGTCTAATTAACCATCATAGATGCTGGAATAGCATTGATGTAGCTGAGGTTTTTTTAGAGTGGAAATAATAAAAAGGTACAGCATAGTGTAGGACAAAAAAAACTATTAAAATTTTCTAAAAATACTAGACATTTTTATAATGAAATAATAACTCACCTGCCAAAACCAAAGAACCTGTTTACTGTTTCTAGTGTAATGTCTATAAATTGTGTTACGTTGCCAATCCTCAACATCAATTTCCTGCATGCCACAGAGCATCAACTCTAATTCTCTTTCATCGAAGTACTTTAACCATTCAAGAGGCACTACTTCATTGAACCCATCCAAAAATGCTTTTGTCTGTTCTTCGATACCACGAGTCATGCGCCATTCAGTCATTAACCTAAAGAAATATAAAAAAGAAAGACAATTAATATACAACAGAATCCCTATTAGTAATGAAAAATAAATATTTAAAAAAGGAATCAAACCTCAGATATTCTTCTTTATTAGTTTCATCGACTCTGATTTTATCTCCATTTTCTTTTAACTCATGATGGATAACTTGACCCAGCACTTCAAAGTCAACAGAAAAAAACATTTCTAGACCAATATCGTCAATATTGTTTTCACGTATCCAAACTAATGAATTGTAGAATTCAGGATCAATACTTTCTATATCCTTCATTGTTAATTTCTTATTTAACATTCTTTTATAAAAAGGCATAGTAAAGCCAGAATAGATAAATCTTGCATGGTAAAGTGCCTAGAAAAAAAAAAACTCATAATATTATATAATGAAATAGGGATAATATAGATAAAATAAAAATGATATGTAATATAATTAAAATATTATAATTATTATTAGTTTTTCAAGAATATAAATGCTAGACTTTTATTTTTTTTAACTTGATTGAATAAGTAGGGACTCCGTGCATTAGTCCACTTCATGCTTTGAGAACATGACCGGATAAGGCCTTTTTGCTATAATTTTTCTGTCCCATAACTCGGTCATTTTTCATCGGATTTCATTATTTCTTAGCTTTATGCTATCACTATTATTCGAGTAACGAATATAAAATATTAACAATAATTTTTTTGGAAATTTGATAAAAAAAATCTGGCACGGGCAACACACAACTTTCACTTACCGCTCTACTTTGAATAGAAATTATTTTCTAACTATGTTGGGCTGCTACAAAATTTTTGAAGTGCATTTTTAACCAAGCTACATAGCTTAAAGCTTACAGCTAACAAATCATTAATACCATTAAAATAACAAAAATCCTATTTATCGTAGCAGTGGTTGATTATGGATTTGAATAGAAACTATTTTCTGGCCATGTTGGGCTATTATAAAATTTTTGAATTGCGAACTGAGTTAAAGCTAAAAAATTGCAGCTAACAAATCATAAATACCATTAAAATAACAAAAGTCTGATTTATTATATCATCGGTGGATTATGGATTGTACCAATTACACGATCCGTTGTTATGGATTACACCATCCGTATATATGCATTTGCCTATCTTTCGTATCAGTTTATCAGTTTCGTACGACTTTTCGTTTTTGAGCTATACTGCTAACATACACACACACAGACTAACAGACCATTTTTCAGGACTTGGTTATTTGGAATCAGAGTACTCCAAAACGTGTATTTCCGTTGAAAACTCAGAATCAATAATTTTCACGATCGCAATACTTAACCTTTGCTATATATTACATATATGCGTAAGTGAAAGTAAAATATAGAAATTTATATTTAGTAAAAAATTTCATTTAATGAATATTGTGTATCAGGGGTTAGTCCAATACTCAAAAAAAGGAGACAAAATGGACAGGATTTGTGAGAGCATTAAGAAGAATCAATCTTAAGGAATGTCAAGCTTAAACATTAATATGGAGCATTCATCTGACAAGCTCAGCTTAAAAGGAAGACAAAAACAATAAAAGATGAGCATAAAGACACGTTGTCCACGTATAAGTTGAAAATGGCACACAATATCTGTAGTTAAGAAAACTTCGCTAGATCAGATTGATGGGGGAGGGATCTTCGTTAAAGTCTGTCACAGGTTTATTTTATTTTTAGTTAACTTAATTACCAATAATGAATAAATATAACTCACCATTGCGATGAACCTTCCAATAAACTTAAAATAAAGCAGATGATCAGGATTAACATATGATGCTGGATTAATTTGCAAACTGTAGTTATTTTTGTTGGCATATTCAAATAAGCAATACATTGGATTCAAAACCTCATGAGATAGCAAGAAAAACCATTCTCTATAACAAAAAGAAAATGACAATTTAAAAAAAAATTGCTTTAAAAAAATATAGTAATCATACAGAAGTAATTAAACTTCTTAAATACAAGTGATAGTTTATTAAAAATATAATACATTTTATCTTTGATAAACTATCATTTGTATTTAATACATAATATATATTACACAACTTGTCCAACTACCCCCTACTAGTAGCTCTATAAACCTAAATACACTAAGTGACTTTTTGATAAACCTACGATATAAGAGCCAGAGGTGGTTACAACGCATTATCAGAAGAATATAGGATTGCAAAATATAAGCAATTGTGAAACTAGTTAAAATACGAATTTTTAAAAAAGTTTAAACAAGAAATACTGAAGTCAATAATATTTCATAATAGCATTAAAATAACTTAATATTAAACATGTTCAATCCATTCAGTGACATAGTTGAGACAACACCCAATGTGGAAACACAAACACAACATATTTATGTCAATAGCAAAAAAGTGAGATAATATTACAAATATTTAAAAAATAGAATTAATGTATAATTAACATACTAAAAAATAATAAAATAATATTCACCTGGATACACCACCGTAATCCAATCCTTCTTCACCTCTGAATGTTATATACAATCTTCTCCTTAGCTCATAAGCTGGAAGCCTCATAACTTGATGATAAGAGTCTTCAAAGAGAGTTTGCCGGCTGCAAGTTATTTTGATATGAGAAGGTAACACGTTACTTTGGCAAAGATAACGAAACTGACTAAGTTTCCAACGAAACGATCGCTCATAAGCTCTTGGTACTCCATAAACACCTTTGGGTCTATAAAAAAAGATATATTGTTAGGTCACATTTCCTTTGATAAGTAAACAAACAATTTCTGAACCAAATTATATTTATTTTACACAACTATTATAAATTATTCAAATTAATTCTCAGGTTGGATTGGGACAATAAACACACATTCCTCAATTATATTATCTAAAAGCATACATTAATTTTCTATGAAATATTTATGAATTTCCATTCAATTTTGTCAGGGTCTACTCTCAGCGCTTTCTAATTATTTTGCACTCACCCTGGTCTGCAGTGAATCTTCCTCTGTATTTATACTGCCTGCTTTCGGGTCACTATTTAAAATTCTATTGAATTGGTTATTTCAGAAACAGCACAATGATAATGTGTAACTTTTAATAAGTTTGAGTTGACTTGTTTTAAGAGCATTGTTCATCGACACAACTTCAATTACAAAAAACACATTACATAAATAATGTAAAGATTGATTATTTACACTATACTTTTTTTTTTAACGTTTATCTATAAAAATTATAGTAAAATATATTTTTTTGTAGTTTTAAAAATGTAAACATATTATAGGCGTTAGATGGAGAACAATCAATGTGTGGCTATGAACTAAAAGTTTGAATTTAAGTTTATTCAATTTCTCTTACTTTTAAAAACATAAATTTGACAAAAAAACCTGAACCAAATTTTTACTATCCTAAGATATTACCATCCTATGATTTATGAAAAATTCATTCCTCTTATGACTGAAAAGAAATCTTTTATTTAGAAAAATGTAGAATATGCCATATGACACCTTTGTCAGTAAAAACTAATTATATGCCAATACAAAAAATCTCAGGCTGTTTGGTATTGTAAAAATAAATTACATTACAATGTTACTAAAATACACATTAATTTTATTTGAAAACTCTTTGAAGAATGATCCATAACCTTTCATAAACAGGAGCAACTTTTGCAGATCTCTAAGCTACCATGTTTTTTTTTTATACAGTTGCAATGATACTCTTTGATTTTATCAAGGTAATCCTTTAAAAACTTTTCTTTAAAACACAGCAGAGCTCCATGCTTCCAGTTCATTAACATTGCTCTGGTCTAACAGATTCACCACTAGTCAGTAACTGAGTTCATTGTGTTTTTTCATAATTTATCTTACTTTCTTGGTTTTTTGTTGTTGTTTTTTCTGGTGTTAGTAAAGAGGTTATTACTGTTTTATAATTCATGCTCAAATACTCCTTACTGTTTTTTCTCTTCCAGTAATGGCTATTGTTCTTTGGAAAAGAATTAACATGTTTGATAATATCGGCCACATCTTCTTAGTATCCCACCCCACTTTTCTTTCCACCTGGCAATGAAAAAGAAACCATAGCCTGCCATCTGCAATCTTTTGCACCAACATAATGACCAGGACATTTTCTTTTAACATGAATAAGGACCATCAGACCAATCAAAAAAGAGTTTTGCTTCACATTGTCTACGAGAGCATAAAAACCGAACTGAAATTTCCCATTTTTATGCAGAACTCACATATATATTTGCAGCTGAACTTTAAAAAATGATATATGAAGTTTTAATTTCTATTCACACTTCGATGTATGCCTGAAGATCAGTTTCAACTACATTTTAATTCATCCTCATTCCCTTCACTATTATTAGGCTTATAGTGTGATTGATTTTTCATTTTTTTATTTTTGACCTATATTTTTTATGACTGACTTGAGGGCATACACTTAAGTGTGAATAGAAATTAAAAAATTTACTTTTTTCTTTTTTCCTGGGAAGTTGTCAATTTAATTTAGTTGTTTGGCAATAATAACTTCCAGTTTATTTGACCTAAAAAATTTAGGTCAAAATAAAAAAAAATTGAATCATGAAGTTTTATATTACTTATCCTGAAAGCTCTAAATTAAAATAATACAACTTCCTGTTCTTGTATTTAGACACACATCATATATTGTTTTTTATTATCATACATAAATTATTTTATTTATTTCAGGGGAGACACAGATTCACACTGGTTCTAAATGTAATATAACAAACATTTTACTGCAAACTGATGCATATTGTTTTCTACTTATAATATAAAAATTATTATTGCACACTAAATGCTTATTTATTCATAATGAACAAGAAAGTAATACAACATTAATTTAAAAGCGATCACTTAACTTTCATTGTCAGAAATAAGTATACCCATAATGTTGTTATTATTAAAGTTAATGTTTCCTTTTACATTTCCAATAAATGAATGTATCAAATCTTGATAACAAAAATAAGTACTAACCCTTTAGGAGCACCAGGCCTTGGGTCCTGGAAGGTGGTTGTTCGTGTATTATGATCAACAAAATAGCGGACTCCATCTTCAGTCAGTCGTATTTCCCATCCTGGTGGTAGAGGAGGCTCATCAGAACCAACTTCTTGCCTGTCGATAAAGCAAAAGTAGTTTAAAAATTATAATGATATACAAATTGAATAATCTCATAACAGTATAAGAAAAAGAAAATAATTATTTTTACTAAAAAAAGGGAATTATTTGTAATAATCAGAATTTGTGATAAAAAAAACAAATATTTATGTAATATATGTATATATACTAGCTTGGCTAATTCATGACAACTACCCCCATGGATATGAAATGAACATATAGTAATAATTATCTCTTAAATATTCATACATTATAATTCATATTAATAGTGAATTTCATAAATGGAAATTTATAGAAGAACTATAGCAGTAGATATAAAAAAAAAAAAAAACTGCTCACGACATATTACTTTTTTATTGTTTATGACTAGTCAAAAATAGGTTTCAAAATAAGAAATATCATATGAATATACATATATAATAATTAATAAATATAGTGGCGTAATGATTACCCTTGAGTCCTAGGATCTTCCCATTGAGTAGTTCTATTTTTATGGTTGACAAAATAGACCCTGCCATCAGGCTGAACCCTTTTTTCCCAACCTGAAGGAAGAGGTCCAAGGCTCTCTTCTTCATCAGTCGTTCCAGCATTACTACTAGCCTGTTGCTGTTGACACACAAATAGAATTATAAGCCTTTTAGATTTTATTTTTATTGATAGTTTAATGCAGTATATTCTAATAAACAATAACTAACTGATCAAATATACATTAAGTAAAAATGGTGAGACAAAAGAACATTTTATAAAGATGGATTGAAATAAATTACTTGATATATATATATATATATATATATATATATATATATATATATATATATATATATATATATATAAGGTGTCTCTTTAGAAAGTTAAAGGGAGTTTTAAGTGTATTCCTAGTCACATGGAATTGGATGAAACTTGAAAAATTAGAAATGAAAAGTCATTTTTGTAGAAATAGACACTTCAATTATAGAAATATTCAGATTAAAAAAATCCGCAATGATTTTTTAAAGGTTATCTTAGATAATAAATAAACAGGATTTTCAGTCAAAATGCTTTTATTACGTTTGCCCATAACATTTTCATTATAATGTTGCTTATAAAGGCGACCATAACAAACTTGGAATCCTGATTATTAAACATAAAACAAAATACAATAACCAAGACATACTTTTCTCTAAGTAGTACAGTATAAGAGGAAGAGAATATGTGAAGAAAAAAAAACGAATTGCAAGAAAATGGTCAGTGAATCATTCATTAACAAAAATTGCTAAAAGATAATGAAAATATTAATTTACAATACCAGACAAACTTATGAACTTATTACAAACCATCTGAACTTATGAATGGAATTCATATGGAAAATAGAAAAGGCAATACTACTTTGTGAAATATTAACTAGCAATGAAAAAATAGGATATTTTATAATTTGATTAAATTTGTCAAAATATTCTTAACTTTATAGCACCAATGTCTGTATGTAACAATCTCATAAAAAACTTATAAAAATATGGCAAACCTGTTGCGGATAAAGAAATCTCTGGTTTCCTTGTTGTACAACATGCTGCCTTTCTCCTTGCCAATGTTGGAAATGCTGAAGCCTTTCTGTATTTGGACGCTGCCATGTCGTAGTTCGAGTATTGTGATCAACATAATAAATACGTCCTCGAGGGTCCCTTCTCATTTCCCAGCCTTGAGGGAGAGCTTGAGGTCGCTCCCAGGATGTAGATCGAGAATTGTGGTCCACATAGTACCGCCTTCCGTATACATCATATCTCATCTCCCAGCTTAAGAAAAAAATACATTAAATTCATAGTAACAACATACTTTAACTTAACAATAAAATTTAAAATTGATATATTTAAAATTTTCATAAAAAAGTAAATAAAATCTATGTTTATAAATTTCAGAAAGATCTTGATAGTGGAATGGCGGACCCATGGAATGAATCCCAACCTTTCCATTCTGGTTAGAATAGGTTCAATGGTACCTCTAGAACAATAACTTCTCCTTTATGTAAGAAATAGTGATGTAAGGATAATCAGAAAAAAAAAAAGATATTCCAAAATAAATGTTCTTTTATCAATATTACAGATTTGATCTTTTAAAAATATCAAATAAAAATGGTTTGAACTGAACTACATAAAGAAGTTATTAATTTTTTAAACTTTATTTATTTAAAGAAGTTATTAAACAGTTTGTGTGTGAAACAGACCAACAAAGAGGAGTTAGAAATAATGACAATAACATAGATTTGTACGACACCTAACTTAGACTCTATTTCAGGACTGGTTGCACTGACCTTCATTAACTAGTTCGTCACCAGTTAACAGAACTTTAGTTGCACCATTCTTGATCAGCCTTAACACATTCTTAAGTAATTATGGTAAACTAACTCTACTACAAACTACTAGCAAATTGTTGTATACATACATTGCAGAAATAAATAATTATAAGAAACTAATTGTTTACTAACAAATTAATTTGATTGTTTCAGGAAATAGATTTTGTATTTAGCACACAAGAAAAAAATGGATACAATTTTTTCTCAAGAAAACTTATGATCAGATAAAGAGTTATAAAAATTCACCAATATGTTTCCTAAAAAATAACCCAGTAGATATTTATAAGGAATCCAAATATAAATAAAGATACAGATATGTAACAAAATAAGTTCTTAATTTGATAGGCATTTACTGATAATTTGGAATTTTTTTATGAAAAGAAATATGCCATTAATGCCTTTATGCATCAATAACTGTAATTTTGAGATATTATGTTACTGTTGATTTATAAAAAGTTCTAGAACTTTGTCACAAACAAGAAGACATCACATGGTAAATCAATGTTAACTGAATCGAGTGAGAAAGGTTACTTGTAGCAACTTAATCCACATTCTGAATAGAGCTAGTTAACAGAGAAAGGCAAGTTTAATCATGGCTGTCGGTCGGTGCAACAGGCCCTTAATTAAATATTTGAGATTATTGATATTGACACATGTATAAATCGATTGCAAATAATCCATATAATTAATCAGTAAACCTGTAACATAAAATTTACTTACCCAGGTGGAAGAGGTTCCTCGGGAGTTATATTTGACTGATTCTGGCGAAGCTCAGCATTTCCAGCAGCACCGACCCCCTCACCATTAACATTCATTGAGGAACCACCATTTAATGAACCAACTGCATCTACAAAACATTTATTTATTTTTTCTAATGATGTAAGAAAAGATCATTATAACATTTAAATAAGCAAATGGGGAAAATAAAAAATATACCTGCTGAATTATTAATATGATGAGTAGATTGCTGGGATTCAGGAGGACGATTTCTGGCACGAACACCACCATTTAATACAGAGCTACGAACATCTCCACGATTTGTACCTGTAATAAAATCTTGTATTATAAATCAAAATAAATTATATATTATTTATTTATATATTAAAATAATTGATGGTAGTTGAATGAATGTACAACAACTCATAGCCGACCAACTATCAGGATTCAGTAATTTTTTAAATTGTTTTATGGTTAAGTTTTCACCTAATCATGTTAGCCATCTTCAAGGCATGTCTATACAGTTGGAGGACCTAAGAATTAATAGTCACTATGAAAATGATTGAGTCTTCATAATTTGTCTATTGCTTCCTGAGCATTCCACTTCGATAAGCGATGTTGACATTAAAATAAATATTTTTAGAAATAAAATTGGTCAGAAACAGTGATCTATAGAAGATCATTTATTATGAATATTAAAAAGATTAATTAAAGATGTATGCATTTTGAATTGATCTTTAAAATGGAATAAAATTTGTAAACTGTAACGCTAATGACTTACAAGTACAGATATAATCAGGATTAAACATAAGTTTAATACATTGTTAACTGAAATGTAAGACACATTGTAGTTGCCATCAGTTGTTTCGATCTAAGGTTTATGGATTGGATAAACACAGCCATAATGAAATCAAGAATTCAATATGGAAGTATTATGTGGAGGAAGACCTGTACAAACATTCTCATAAAAGTAAAATGTGTCCTGGACTTGTTGGAGATAATCTAATAATAGTCACGTGACCTTTGCGACTTCATTACACCTTATGTAATTAAATACAACATACAGTGGTAAGAAATGGTGAACCAGTATGCTATTTACCAATAGCAAAGGTGTTGGAAAAGGAGCTTTCAATTTTACTATACTAATAAAGCCCACAGCTCAATAGAACTTCTACATTTTATTCCTCAGTCAGCCACTAGTGCCCTGTGATCAAGGCAAAAGGCTTAATAGAAACTCAAAAAGACATCTTAACCTGTTTCATAGACAAGACCAAGGAAAGATTTATTTTTCTTAGCGGGGAAAGGAATCTTTGGAAGACATTGAAATTAATTAAAGCATATGATTAGATTAATATACTACTCTGTTTCAAGAATATTGTTAGCAGATCCATATTGTTAGCCATGATAAGGGCAAATGTTATTATCTACACAGTTACATTAGGTTTTCAACCTTAAGGTGATATCTATGCACCAGTGAGGGAGGGTAAACAAGTCTTAGAATCACTTGTGTATTTTAAGGAACTAAAACTAATGAGCACCAGAGTGCTGAACCGTTGATAGAAGAACCGAGTAAAGAGGAAGTTGAAGTAGCTAACGGAAAATTAAAATCTTATAAAGCAGCGGGAACCGATAATATTCCTACTGAACTAATTAAGGCATGCGGGGAAGCTGGAGTTTCTAAAATACATCAGTTGGTTTAAAAAATCTGGGAGAATGAGAAATTATCTGAAAAATGGAAAGAATCTATTCTTATTCCGGTTCACAAAAAGGGCTCGAGGACGGATTGTAATAACTACCAAGGAATTTCACTCCTTCTGGTATGTTATAAACAATTCACTTTAATCTTAACTAGTAGAATTGTGGAATATGCCGAGGAAATTATCGGAGACTACCAATGTGGATTTAGAAGGAATCGTTCGACTATTAATCAAATATTTTCTTTAAGGCAAATATTAGAGAAAAAATTAGAGTACAACGGTATTGTTCACCAGCTGTATATCAATTTCAAAAAGGCTTAAAATTCTATTGACCACCAGAAACTGTATAATATTCTAATCGAGCAGGGGATTCCAAGAAAACTAGTAAATCTAGTCAGGATGTGCTTGGCGGAAGCACTCAATAAAGTTAGAATCGGTAATAATCTGTCCGAAAAGTTTGAGGTTCGTTCGGGTTTAAAACAGGGAGATTCCCTTTCGCCTGTACTGTTCAATTTGGCATTAGAACATGCCATTAGGGAGATAATGCGTAACGAAAAAAGGTTGGATCTGGGTGGGACAACACCTGTGCTGGGCTATGCCGATGATTCGGTACTGTTAAGCGAAGACATAGAAACTTTAAAACTAAATACGACAACATTAATTAATGCCAGTAAAGAACTAGGGCTCGAAATAAACACGGATAAGACAAAATATATGGTTAGCTGCAAAAATGGCGATATTACTGGTGATATCGATATAGGTGGTAATATGTTTGAACAGGTAGAGAAGTTTAGATATCTAGGGTCTACGATAACTAGAAAAAACAAAATTGAAGAAAAGATTCAAGGTTAGACTGAAGGCAGGAATTATTTTTCTATGACAAAACTACTTAGCTCGCGTCTCTTGTCCCGGAACTTAAAAATTAGAATCAATAAAGCCATTGTCTTACCTAAAGTTCTTTATGGCTGCGAAACTTGGCCGCTTACATCAAGGGATGAGCAACATCTTAAGGTTTTTGAAAATAAAGTATTGCATAGAATATTCGGAACGAAGAAGGATGAATTAACCGGAGAGTTCAGACGGTTACACAACGCCGAATTGCGTGAACTGTATCCGGGTAATATAATTGAGGTGATTTCATTCCGGCGAATTAAATGGGCAAGTAAAATTGTTGGGCTTAGTAACGAGAGAATTCCTAAAAGGTTAATATTTGCTGTTCCGAATGGTAAATGTCCGAGGGGTAGACCGAAGCGAAGGTGGGAAGATTGCATTAAATTAAAGCCGATCTGAAGGGACTGGGGTTGGTTCAACAGGTTCACTTGATGGGCTTGTTAAACCCCACCATTACTATTAGTTGAAGCCGAATACATTCCTAAGAAAACAATTTTTATAAATATTAGGAGGAAAATTCCATTTTGTAAATATATATATATATATATAAAATCGGTTTTACAGTCCTTATAACAAATAAACGTCAGGACAAACTTATAAGCTTATTGCAGTCATCTCAAAAAAATATTGTTTCCTCATAATACCGACATGTTGCCTAATCCAGGTCCAATTTTAGAAAAAAAACAGGATCTTACATACATTTGCTACAAAGAGAAAGTTGTTTAGGCTTAAATATTATTAACTATAATAAGAATATAAAAAGAAAATATTATCAACATTTTAAGTTTCTATTTACATTTTTTTTTTTTTGTATAACTTAAGATTTGTTTTTTATTAGTATTTAACAGTAACATGAGATAACATTTAACAAAAAATAAACAAGAGTACCTGTATTTCCAACATCTGACATCATATATAAACTTCTGAGATAAGTTAAGGTAAAAACAATGGTATGAAATAATGCAACTTTAAAAAATTAAAAACCTTAATAAATATACAGCGAGTTACATTGGCTAAAGAAAATATTTTAATTGCAAATACAACATAAATCAAATTTAAAAATATACTATTAATAAACATTTCAAGTTAACATATCACATGTTCAAATGAAACAAAGATATCAGTTCAAAAATCACAATAGTGAAAATCTAATCTTAAAACAGATGATATCATAAGTTGTATTTTAAGATTTCTTGCACAACAGAACAAAAAATTCATTCTAGGTATGAACCTGAAATTTACAAATAGTTCAACACATGATAACAAAAGTACACTATATGAATATTAATTTAATCAATGTTCAATTAATATCACAACTAAGCAAATAAATTCTATCTCTGAAATGTAAATTCTTAATGAATGGCAAAAAGGGCGTAAGGAAGAATATACTGTGTCCAGCAAAACTTTTCATACTTACACTCTTTTAAACTGCAAGTAACTTTTACAGGTCATAACTAAGTTTTAAATAACTTTTTTTTATTGTAGTACAAAAATTACTTCAATAGGATAGTAACTTAGTTTCACAGTGAAAAGTAATTTAAAAAAAAATATCTACACCTTATTTTTAAATTAGATTAAATTTACTTCCTTGCAAAAGTTTTCATTCAAATAAATTCTAGGTAAATAAACATGTTTATTTATTTGGGATTTTATTCTTAATCCTCTCCTTCACAAGGATCTTATAGTTTATATTTCTTACATTCATAATTTGAAAGCTTTGCTGTTAACTTTAATATAATCATCAGAACAAAATGAAATGCTTCTTTGGAAGAGATATAAAAAGTATTTCTTAAAGAGAACAGGAACATAAGAGGTTCAGAAATATTAGTGCAGAAACCTGACTGCTACTTCCTACTGTGCACTTCATAATTAATTGGTACAAAAAATAAAATAAATTATCGATAGTTGATGAAGATTGATTCAGTTGAGTTTCAAAAGAGGTGAGTAAATAACTGTTAAAAAGTTTTAAAAAATTCGGTAATAGTACTAAGTCACTACTTCAAGAAAAAGGCAAGTTTCAAGATCACTTTAAGCACACTTTAAATGGAATCCCGAAGAATGCTGAAAGTAGCCGAGTATTGACAACCATGTTGCACAAATGGCAAACCTGTTTTCACTAAATATTTTTGTCTAAAATACAAATAAATGATTTATTGAGTGATTAATCTGAAGGAATACAGGAAATTTTAACTATTGTTAGTCGAAAACCTAAATATCATTTTTATTTCCTAGCAAGAGTTGTAAATTTTAACAAACAGATTTTTCACTCATAAAGTTATTTATGTAAAAAGAAGTGAATGTGATAGAAACTTGACACAACATCAACAATTTGTTATTTATTGTGTTATTAAGGGTTGTAGATCAATTGTGTCTGTCTCCTTTCTCAAAACTTTCAATTATAATTTGGATGATCAAAAATGTTAAACATACCAATTCAATCTAAAAATGATCATCTACTAATAACAACAATCTAACAAATCAATTAGTATGAACAGTAATTTCATGTTTTCAAGCAAGTTTTGCTTAAAATGAAAATTTTGAAGTATAATCCCTTATCTTATATCTCTAAATAAATATCTCTGTAACCTATGAAGTCAACAAAAAATTGTTAGGAATAATTTTTTTAAATTTTTAGGAACTTAAATTTTGTATATAATACTAATTTTTATAAACCTGATGACTTTTGTCGAAATATTCACAAAAACTAGAAAAATATCAAATCAAAAACATCGACACTAATAAAAACCTTATAATGATCGAGTCCTGAATATTTATCACCCATGATAGAAAAATATGTTTCAGGATTCCACCTGAAGTGTACTCAAAGTGAAACGAACTGCCATCTTGAAGTACAGATTCGGAACTAGTAACAGCAAATCCTATAAATAAATTAACAATGGAGAAAACAAACTGAAGATCTGTTACAAATCCGAAAATACTAAAATGACCTGAATTTAAAACCTAAGTGAGGAAAAGAAACACTTTTTTTTATAATTTAAAGAATAAGAAAAACAGATTGGGTTCTGCCAAAGAGTTTATTAACAAAACTTTTAGAGTACTGGGAGGAAAGGGGAGGTAATGCTTCCAAATAAGAACAATTTTAATGTACATAGATCAGATCATTGAACAAATGTGTAAGTGAAGGAAACCTGGTAAGAAATTTAAACAAAAACAATTTCTGTTACACTGAAAGGTGGATGTGAAATTGTTCTTAGATGGACAATAAGCAAGAATAAGGAACTATTCTAAGACGAAACAGATATACTTAAGTTTGTAAAGTTATGGGGGCTTGGTTTAACAGGTCATGTTGATAGAATGAATCAATGTAAATAAATAGTAATCGGATGGAGTCAAGTCCTATGATTAAGGCATATGAGTTAATATTTCCCAATTGAACGCCTCAATTGTTTCCTTTACTCGTTTTTTTCTGTGCGATTATTATGCATTATTATGAAGCAAATTCACTTTTAGTAGTCTTTTAAAATATTCTGAAGGTCATTTTTCATACAATACTTGATTAAAATCATTAATATTGTCGATACCATTAAATATTAACAATTTCAATAAATTTTTTTAGTAGCTGATAATAGAATACACCCTTCTAATCTCACTAAACACAGAGCAGTCATCTTTCCGTAGTGTCTATACTATATATTGATACTGATGTTTCGCCTGGAGTTCTCAAATTAAATCCACCTTTCAAAATTTGACAAAGAAATGATTTTACATTGTGGTGGTGATCAGCTTTTCAGAGTTAGTTTTCTTGCTATCTTTCATTTAATTGATGTGTAACCCATTTCCCCATCTCCTGGATCTTTACCATGGCATTTTATTTAACATGTATGGAGACATCTCTTATTACATTCAATTGATCCTTGAGCTGTTGTTGGATTTGAGTGTCATCCTCATCTAAAAATGCTTGTTGTTTTTAACCTTTTTTAGTGGTCTTTTAAGTTCTTAATTTCTCACATCAAAATCGACGCTTTTGAATTTTTTAAACCATTCAAAGCATAGTGATTTACCATGTATTCTCACCGTAAGCTTTGACAAACATTTGATGTGATTCTGCAGCAGTTTTCTTTAAATGGTAATATAAAACTAATACTAGTCTTAAATTGTATATTATAGGCACAAAACTCGACATGTTCAACACAATTAAAACCATGCTGCTATATGAAATTTGTATTTTAACTTATTTAATTTGTTAGTACTTGTATTATTAAGAGTTGAAAAGTTTTGCTAGCTGCCTAAGAAACTAAATTGTGCCAATAATGCAGTTTCATAGTAACTACATTAACAATTAGAGCCATGACACGAGAAAATGGCTAATAAAAATTTGGAAAATTATTTTTCACCACTAGTCAATAAAACTAAAATAATAAAAAGTCATGAATATGATAACAAAGAAGAAAAATGGCTTGAGGATTTGACTGAAACACCAATCAGTAACATATCCTTAAATGAGTTAATGAACTCTTTAGGCATGTTAATTGATAAGAAATTAAAACAGTGGGCAAAAAGTTGGAAATACTGGCTACAGAAGATGATATTGCAATATTCGCAGATAGAATTGAGCAATTAGCTGTAGAAAATGTAATATTACAAGAAGAATTACAGTCACAGCGTGAAGTGAATAAATTACTATTGAGACAGGTGGAGTTTATAAAAAAGGAAATCAAGAAAAATAACATTGTTATTAAAGGCTTGGATACTAGCTTCGGGGTACCTATACTAAAGGCTTTGATATTGATTCTTCTGGGGATTCTATACAAAGCATTAACAACTCTTCAGTAATACTTTAGGTAAGCCTGAAAATATTACTATAAATCGAGCTCAATTTATTGGTAATCGTAATATAAATAAGAAAATTATCTGCGCTGAATTCTCTAATGAATCGGAAATCTGAGAAAAACAAAAGGCCTAATCACTAAAAAAAAAAAAATTCCTTTACAATTCAAAAGTATCTTCAGTTTGATGGCTTTAAACTAACTAAAGTTCTTTATAAAGATGTTAGGTTTAAAATACTGAAAGAAACCTAAATACTATGTCAACATAAACATTATATTTAGTTATATTTTATTTGGAGGAATTTTTATATTTTATACTAATTTACTTCTTTCTTCCTGTTGTATTAAGCTAGTTGTTCAAAAGATCAGTATGGAAGCGTAGCATGGCATGGCCCCGTAATGTGCACCGATAAAATTACTTTATAGGAAAAGAGCCCGTCCACAACGTCCTGTTAGATGAAGCCAGCATGGGCACTCCTACCTGAGCCCATACTACAATAAGATTTAGGTAAGGCAACATATAGTTGTCTATGAGGAAAAAATATAAGATATTCTTTTTTTTCAACTCCTCTCAAAGGAGAGAAAAAAAAAACCAACCTGAAAGCACATTAGATAATAATAATTTGGTAATATATCTCTATTAAAGAATTTGTCCCACAGCCTGATTTGCAGTGACTGCAAACAAATTTTACATGAAGCTGCGATAGAGTAATCCCTAGTTTTCCAGATTGATTAATGTTATGGTTAATGTTATATTATGGATCTGAGTGATTCTATAAGACCTAAAGCCTTCCTCAATAAACAGTCTATCTAATTCAAAAATTATTATTTCAGAGGATTCAGGCCCACTGACCATGGTTGAGGTACACTTGTGAGGTGAAAAAAAAAGTAAATCATTTTTAATTAATGCAAATAAATGTAAATGTAGTGGATTAAAGATTCAATATATTTAATTTCTTAAAGCCAAGAAAACATAATAAAACAGTGCTAAGTATTAAAAAATAATCGAGTAGAAGAACAACAGAAAAAATAATATAACTCAATTAAATAATATACATTTAGAGACTAACGTAGTAAGCCAAATTAAAATTTACAACCATGTATAAATATGAATATTTTAAGAGCTAAATGCAAATTGAAATAAGAATTTCAAGGTAAGAACACAAAATGGATTTAACATTGGTATATTTACTTGATGTATTTATGTAATACAGTTGTAAATGTCATAAAGAAATAAAAAAAAAAAAAAAAAAACATTGGTATATGAAATAAACATAACCGCTAAAGTAAATAATGTCAACATAATATAATCAAATGTTACTAGTGCTAATTCATTTCGTGTATATAAAGATCGTTGAGTATGTTTGGAGTCAAGACAAACATGAGGCTAAAACATCGAACTAAATTTTAAAATCATACAGTATATATCTAAATTAAAAAAAAAGAATGTCTGTAATAAACAGCCTTAAGGATACCTGACTGTGAAGCTCCGTGCACATGGTCAGGAGGAGACACTACAGATATATCCACCTTCAATCCATTAAGTAATGCAATAAGTTCACCAACTTTAACTGGACTGGGTAAATGCTTATCACTCATTAAATCCATATTAAGTTCCAGATGCTCACACCGGCCATTGTAATGTTTTAAAACATCATATAAACTTAGACGTTTTTCTCCAATCACGCTATCTTTTCGAAATGTACTATGATTTAAAAGTCTGAAGTGTAAAAAGGAAACAGGTGTCACTAACCTAAGATCATAAGAATAAAAACAATGTCACTGATGAACATAAAATATTTTTAAAAAACAACAATAAAAAACTGCTTCAAACTTACACTGTGAACTCTTCATTCCATTTTGGCTGATATGTGCATTTGACAACCTCGGTTTTGCGAGGATTTTTATCATCCACAAATATTTCTACATAAGGATTTGGCTTAAACAAACTGCTCCCAACTCTCAAGTGGGCACATTCAACTAAGAGAAAACAAAAAAAAAAATGCTTTGATAAATCATAACTAAAAAAAAATAAACCTAAATAAAGGCAAAAACTTACTGGTAACACTAAGCTGATAGAAGCCTGAACTAATTTGATCTGACATTCTTACAGCCCTTAAAACAAACCACTATGTTTAAGAAAAGCTAACAATTCTGAATGATTATACATGGTCACCAATAAATACATGGTAACATCTAATGGCAATAATCAGGACTAACTGTACCTGTAAAATTGACAAACAATTATTCATAACATGACATTTTTTTATCACAATATTCAATAATTAAGTATTTTGCAATGTTACGTTATAGGTAGGTATATGCGACTTCAATGGACAATGGCAAGTAAAACGTAAAATTCTTGATTTAAAAGAAATCTTGTGGGAGAGTATCTTCAAGAATCATATTAGCATTAACTAGATATTTATGAAAACAATTATATAGGTGTTATCAGTCCCGACAGTCACATCCGCCATTTGTAATTCCTGCACGAATTACGTCATTTACAGTGGAACAGAGAGTAATGAAAAGATTCTACAACAATCACAAAATATATACGTTATTGACTATAGTCATAATTAGATACACAATACGCTTATGCCAGATATATCTATAATGAGCTACAAAAAGTATTAAAATAGTTCCAAAATGTCTGAGATACTTTGGTGTTTAGTACAATAGTGAAATTTTAGACTGTATCTGGCCTCCCAAAGCAGAATGATTGGTGACAATATGATATTATTGCATAAGTACCGATTGAACAAGTCGGAGTGAAGTCCTAAGGCCCGACTTGGTTAAAAGCAGAGATGGGCAAATGCTGCTCTTAGTATTGAATACCAAGTATTTTACTCAAATACTGACCTTTTTTGAGTACCAATGAATTTAATTACAACTTCAGTTGATGTCAAACGATTAACTGAAGTAGTGATTGAATCCCCAATAGTGATTTAATTTGAGTAGAATACTTAGTACTCCATACTAAGAACATCATTTACCCATCTCTGGTTAAAAGTGACTTCGAAGACTTTGAAGTGTGACTGAAAAACTGGGCTCATGCTAAGTAATAGTAATGTTGACTTGTCCATGATATTTCTAAGGTATTTTTCGCGATTTTAATAAATTTTTTGTACATTCGAAAAACTTTTACACTGGTATGAGCAACTATAACAAGTACTAGCAACTATAACTACTAGGCGTCTGTGAACAAACATAGATATTTTTGTTTGTCAAAGTAATTTATAAATATGGCATTATTGGCCATCCTCTTAATTGACTCAAAACACTTTTGTCTAGTCTTCCTCAATTTCTGCTCAAAATTTCTTTCTTTTCAACTTTCGGAGAGGCTTAGTTGAATTTGTCAACTCTATATCTTATTAATAAAAATTAATTTTATCGTAAATTAATTTTTTCAAAATTATTTGTAACAGTAGCTATTAAAATTTTACAAAACGTGCACACATCATGGTGGGAGTCTTTATTGCGTACTTCTCAATTTTATCGTTCCAAGTGGGTGAAAAGAAGGTTCTTGGACGTCCTGTTGGTATTTTGTCTCATTTGGGCTTTGGTCTCATTTTCAGAGTTTTAATTGGGTTTCTATAGTGATCCATTCAGCAAACATGGCCATACCACCTCAGTTGCCTCTTCTCTAGGGTTTCCGTCAATGGGCGTATATTCAGCTTTTTCCATTACATAGTACATTCCGCTTATCCTCTCATTTCGAACACAGTCTCTCCGTGTTTTCTCTACAATTTTTCTAAGAAACTTTAATAAGGAAGACAAATTTGAATAATTGAAGCTTTACATCCTCTCCCACTTCCCTTTTTCCAATAATCTAGTAACAGATCTAGTAGTAAACGGATTTTACCTTGGAGATTCTGCTTGAGATTTCCGAATATACTAGATCAACTGGTCATCGTGCCAAGGTACGTGAAAGCTGTCACCCATCTCCATCAACTCTCCACGACAGATGATATGGACATCTTCTTGAGATCTACCAACTTGGAGAATTTTGCTTTTTTTTTTATATTAATCGTAATTCCTTTTCTCTTCAGTTCTTCATTCCATTCCGTTACTGCCTATTGAAGTCGCTCAGAAGATTCAGCAATAAGAGCGATATAATCTGCAAAGAGGAGGAACTGTATGACCACAGGATGTAGTTTCCATTGTCCCATGTTCATTCTGGCTGTGCGTCTATTGCGAATAAAGGCAATCTCTTCCATATACACAATGAAGAGAATAAGGCTCAGAGAGTCGTCTTGTTTCACTCCCTTTTGCAGGCCAAACCTTCCTAACTCCTGTCCATTTAGACGGACAACACGCTTTGGCTCGTGGTACTTTGTTTTTATAGCATTTAAGAGCTTTTGAGAAACCTTCTTTGCCCTTAAGGACTTCTAAATTGCTTTCTAGGACACCGAATCAAATGCCACCTTCAGCTCCAGGAATGCCAGATAGACGTTTCTGTCATGGGCTCAGGACTTTTCTATCACATTTCGCAAATTGAAAATCTGGTCTTGCGTTTGCTTTTAGGGCTTGAAAGCACTTTGCTCTTCTTGCAGGATATACTCCACCATTTATCTTAACCGGCTCTTTAACATAGCAGTATATAATTTGTAAACCACGGATTACAGGCAAATAGGGCTGTAGTTGGAGCAATCACTTTGACTTCGTTTCTTGTGCATAGGGATTATCACGGTGTACTCCTATTCCCGAAGAATTCTTTCATCGTCCCAAACCAATTGAAAGAACTTTTATAGGGATCCGACTGACTACGGTCCTCTATATTTAAGGAATTCTGGGACTATGTTGTTTTGGCCTGCTGTTTTTCCTGTCTTCATCTTCGCAATAGCCTTTTCAATCTTGTCATCTTTAATCGGGTAATTTTCTTGATCATCCACCTCAGCTTCGCAAACAGAATGATCCGCTTCTCGTATTATCATTTAACTGTTTTGATAAGTACCTACGCCAAGGTTCTAGCACATCTTTCTCCTCTGACACCACCTCTCCTTTTTTCATTTTTTATATTTGAGATATGTTATGGTTTCCTGTCTCAGAGAAGCTTGTTTTTCCTCCAGAAGAGTTTGATATTTCCCTATGCTTTTCTCATTGCTTGTCTCACTGCCATTTTCACCCTGTTTCTTCCGCCTTTATAGAACTCGTAGCTGCTTCGGCTTCTTTTCTTCTCCCCTATGGCAAGTTTCGCACTTCACCAATCTGAACGCTCCCATTTAGCCGACACTTTCTTCACACCACTCACCTTTGTCGCTGATTCCAATATAGCTGCTTTCAGATCCACCCAAAGGATATCCAAGTCTTTAGCCAAGTTTAGCTCTTGTAGCCGAAGCTTTAACTCTTTCTCGTAATCCATTCGTTTCCGGGGGTCCTGCCTCTGCCGATTCTTTCAAATGCTATGAGTCTAGGTTTCTTCAGGAATTCTGGTATCGGCAATCAGAAGTTTGTAATCACTTCCAATTTCAGCCCCTTGTATAGGCTTAGTAAAATATAAAGAATATCAAAACTATTGAAAGCAATTGAAAAATAAATTAAACCCACAAAGTGTTTCCGCGTGCTCAGAGACAAAACTATGATAACAATTTTTGTTTAAAATTATTGTTATCTAGAAACTTTTAGATATATATGCATACCTTAATTAGGGGAAAAGCATAGAGATGAGTTCAGCGAGAGAGAATTCTCAGTTAACCATGCCTCTTACTACAAGACATTTCATGCAGATGCTCGGTGTTGGAAGGGAGCAGATTCAGACCATAGCAGAATCTATTATTTTAGATTCGTGGGGAATCGCTTATTTGATTGCGATGCTGTTCTTGGCATATTAGCTGATGCTGTGGTCTCACCTAACTCTCTCTTATTTTTTTAAAAATATTATCTTTAGATTGATTGAGTATGCTGGGTGATTTAGCAACTCAAAAGTTGTATAGCAGTGCAATATTATTGTAGTTCTCTCTTTGTTAAGTAAAGAGTGTTTGGAATTTTCCATTTATAACATAATTTATACTTTATTTTATACTCGATAAAATTCGTAACTAATTTTTAGAAATGACGGTGAGAAATTTTATATTTTTTTTTTGTATTTTTATAGAAAATCAGAAAAAAGTACATATTTACAATCACAATTGAGGAAATAATAAACATATTCTAATCAAAGTAGATATGATTGTAATTTATTTGTCTATAAAGCAACAAAAGTAAAGAATTGCATATTAATATCAAGAATAACATAGTGAAGCTAATTGTAAAACAAATCTAAACTTTATTCGTGAAAATATAACATTCCATATTTATATAACATACATATGAAGTACGAAGTTGGTCAATCTTTATAACTCATACAATACGTTAAAACCTCATTTCAATACGAGGATCTTTGTTTTTGTAAAGATCTTTCCTATCAGTTTTTAAATCTGTGTATGGTCTTTAATGTTGTTGGTCTTCTTGTGCTCAAGTTTCGGAAATCATTAGTTACCTGATAAGATTGGTGTAATAGTTGATAAAAAAAGGCCTGAAACTAAAATCCAAGGAGTCCAATTAAAAAAAAAATTCTTTAAATTCACAAAATCATCAAAATATTCATTTTTATCTTATTTTTCGAGTTATTTCATTATCATTGCTAATTTCATAACGTTCAAACACACGTTCCATAATCATTAAAAATCGTAAATATTAAAATAGCTTTTATCATAGTTGTTGAGTTGATAACGTAATAAACAAATCAGTGCTTGACATACCTATAGGGTCAAACAAGCTTCTTTTGAGATATCAACATAATTGATTTCTGATATAATTGACATAATCAATTGGATTGAAGAATACAATATAATTGAGTTATGCATAATTGAGAAAAAAATATCTACCGTTGTGGTCAAGCATTAAAAAAAACAAAAAAAAAACAGAAATATAAAATAATTTAATTAATATGGAATAGTTGGACGTTGTGGAGGCAGCTATAAATTAATATTTATAACCAAAAGATTAAATAGGTAAAGAGATGTGGAAAAAATACATGTAATTTAATTGGAAAGGAAAAGAAAAAATCTGGTGCGCGCAACACACAACTTTCACTTACCGCTCTACTTTGAATAGCAATTACTTTCTGGCAATGCTGGGAAATTATAAAATTTTTTGAAGTGCATTTTAAACAGAGATAAACCTTAAAGCTTACAGAAAACAAGTCATTAAGACCATTATAATCACAAAATGTCTATTTAATATATCGACAGTAGGCAATAAAAATTTAGTCATTCCATCTGCTTTTACGTTTAAACATAAGGATATTCATAAATATACTTGGACATCACCGGATTCGCAAACACGAAATCAAATCGATCATGTCTTGATAAAACACAGCTGGCAAAGTAGTATAATTAATGTACGGTCTTATCGCGGAGCAGAATGTGGGTCGGATCATGAATTAGTAATCGCGAAACTTCGACAAAAACTTAATATAAAAAAGAGAAAAGAAAACCGTTTCGATTTTGAGAATTTTAATTTGGAAAAATTAAAAAATCCATCAATTA